GTAAGATCAAAAAAACCACTATCACATATTGGCTCTACTTAAAAGCCGAGAGCTTCCAGGGTTTACAAAAAATCACTATTTTTCCGAAACCGGTGGGCGAAATAAAACAGGATATCGACGAATACAGATTTAATGACTCTTATTAACCCAAAAAAATGTACTTCTGATTTGTTTAAAGGTTTAATTTTTTAACAGGAATATATATAAAAGAATTACGCGGAATAACATAGTAATAAGTAATAGTCGTATATAATAAGTAAATTCAAAATTCCATTCCAGAACCCACTAACATATCACACTATAACTAATTTAATTCAAGTAATGAGTTTGTGGTTTTTAAGTTTTAGGAGCGTATGAAAAAAAGGGAGGCAGGCGCTGAAAAATAATTTATTTTCAAATAGGCCAGTAAAAGAAAAAGTTTGATAACCACTGCATTAGACAAATAGCAGAAAAAAACGCAACTATAGGAGAGATTTACTATCCTAAACAGTAAAACATAAACTACCTAGTTACAATAAATAATAAAATGTTAATATCTAATAACATTTTTTCGTAGACGATTTAAGTCATTCATAATGCAAAGGTTTTATTCTATAATTACACTGGTCTGCAAAAAAAAAAATTTTTTTCTCTCCTTCTTGTTTTCATGCATTAATTCATCTTATTTTATGCTGTAAACACGGAATCTGATATACAAATAAGTACCACACGTAGGTTTTTAATTTAATATTTATTTCATCAAAAAACAATATTATTAAAGCATAAATTATTACAAGGAAATAAAAAATGTGGCGGCTTGAATTTTATAGTAAAAAATCCTAAAATATATTAACAAAACTCGATCGAGATTGTAGACCTGAAATATTTTTATTTTCAGCCTCCTCATTAACTGGTGGAACTGGAGGTGGAGTGTCTTTATCACGAGGAATTGGTCTCTTTGCAGATAGGACGTTCGGATAAACAATCTTATCTCTATTTTTGTTCGAGAATCCTCGTGTAGATGTCATGCAGAAATAGCAATCATTCTCGTGATTTTGAGGCTCACTACAAATCATCGGCATTGAAAACGGCATGGACTTGTGACTTTCATCAAGCCAACCTCTCAACGTTCTTGAGCAGCTATTGCAGCATACTTTTGGCAACCGACTTTTATCTCTCTCATCGATAGAAAATCCAAAATATAGCTTATAAGCTTTTTTAACCAGATCGGTCATGACATGTCGCTGTGTTTTTAGTATGTATTCCCCACAAATGTAGCAAAAACAATCTGAGGAATTTTTGCAAGTCCGTGGCATTTTGTAACCTAAATTCACATAAAATTAATTTTAAAACAACTTTCAAACTTCTATTTTATATTTATTGGCTCTACTTAAAAAAAATACTCAAACTACACATCAAATACTTAAATCCAATGTAGAGAACATGAACTTTATGCAAAACTTACCAAAATATTTGATATAAAAGGTAAACAATTAAACGACAAGTTTTCACTGAACTGTTGTAGTGTCACAATGAATACTGCGCATGCGCGTATTTGCTACCATAAAAATCATCTTCGGCACTTCCCTCCTTTCTCTTACAACTCTCTGAAACTCATTTTGTATGTATATTTACTTTTTGTAACCTTGACGAATGAACAAATTGAAAAAAAAAACAAAATTTTGAAATATAAAAAAAAATCATATCGAAAAGTCTGGACGTGATAGAAAAAATCGGCCAACGGGGATAGATTTAAAACGTTTGAATCATTACATTTATCATAAAAAAATTTAAAGGAGGATTTCATTGTAAAACCAGTGATTATTTTTGAATGGGACAAAAGTGATACAGAAAAAAAATACCTTTCGAGTTATTTACTAAAATAAGTGATAGACTTCAAATGTCTCGCGACTGAATCAACAAAAAAAGTTCAAAACTATTAGTGAATAATCGAAACAAATTCACAAAAAAAATTGATTCACTGCAAACACTTAGTACTAGTTAGTGTAATGCATCTAATGATATGTGCTATCGAATCAAACTTTGACAAGTTGATATTATTCTATATTTATTAAATTTTTCTGCATATTTGCCTAACACTTATATACATATGTCAAAAATATATTTTTGACAAAGTCCACATTAATATGTCCCTTTTATATTTGTTCTGTTTGCCAACTGCCGAAAAATATACTATTCCCTATTTCATTTGCAAAAATTTAAGCACTTTTCTGCTGTTTCTTTATCTCTGCAATACGTCGGGGATTGTGGGTCTCCCGTTAAATATTCTAGCACTTGTAAAGTTCGCTTCATGATTCCAGAAAGCCTTTTTAAAAATATCAGGATCTTCTTGAAATTGTATCTCAAGTAGACTGGGGTTTGCTTCAACATTTTAACATTCATAATATAAAAGAACTCTATGCATATAATAAAAAATCTTTTTTTTTTAATCTCTTCAAATAAGACAGATGAGAAAGGTGGCGAATTCCCGCAAACCATATTTTCGAATATCGACAGCATAGTAAGACTTATTTATTTCTATTGCAGTGTCTCTTCCATTTAAATTTTTTATCTATGGAAAGACCTTAATATAATTACGTTTCTGATTTGATTTCGCATATGGTGCGCCATCTAAGGTCCGCGACAAAAACTAATGCACGCCCTCGCAGATCACCATCCCCAGCGATGCAATACCTAAAACTGTGCGAAGCGTATTGACTGCCAGATGGCGCAGTAGTCGGGATTGTATTTGAATGCATGGTTGACAAAATGAATTGAGCAATCGGTCGCACAATTAAACCAATCTAAACCGATTTTCGTTAAAACAATTTATTTTTATGGTTTAGTATGTGCAGACGTCATAATGGCCTCAATTGAATTTAGAAAAATTACTGCGCAATATCGCCCAGAACGTGTTTCAATATACAGAGTGTTTTTGAGATGCAGGGTGGTAAAGTTTTCAAGAACATTACATATTTTTTAACATCGGTAACACCAGTTCAAATATTTTACTGAAATTAGGACTATGCATCAAGAGGCATTACTTATTGTACCACAATTTTTTTAAAATAGACCAGCAGCGGGCGTACGAAATTTCACCCGTCTATTTTGGTAAGCATTGATGGTTCGCCACTGATTTCGGATATTAAGAAAATAAATTTTAATTTTGAAAACTCTACCTCATTGGATGTCAAAAGTTAAGATTGAAAAATTTTGAATTGGAAAACAGTCTACATACAAGATGAGGGGATCTCCGTACAGGATTTTTTGAATTTGTGGAAATGAAAACACACATCCTTCAACGTTTCTGAATAATTAGAGAAAAGAAAAGACACAAATTAAATTAGAACAAAAAATGTTCTGAACATTTTTAAATTTAAAATTTGCAACAAATTCAGTTAAACATTAGTAAGTCGATCTACTTGGTTTTTCAATTGTTTGTCAATTTTGATACATCGTAAAAATACTTTGAATACTTACAATCAAAAAGAGGCTCCAATGTTTGGGGTGCAAATTTAACAACAAAATTGGATTATCGGTTGGTAATCCTGCAGTTTACTTATTTTGTAGATGAGGTCATAGATATACCATATTATATAGGATTTTTCGTCCCTTGTTGCCAAATATTCAACCATCGTATCTTAGGTCGTGCTCGTTCTTTCCATTCATTCTGTTTTATTTAATTTTTGGTTTTCAATAAGAAAATTTGTTTTCTATTATTTTGAGCATCGAAAAATCGTATGTTTTGCTTCTAGGATTAACTTTAACAATTTGATCTTCGTTTATCTGTCGCCGTAGAATTTCTATCGATAGCCTGCTATAGTGCTTATGCTACTGTCATAAGTGACAGTGACCAGCACACGATAAATGGTACCCTTAATATAGCAAGCAATGATAATTACTGGATGGAGAAAGAACCAATAAGAAAGTGTCATTTGATGCAATGTTTCACCTTCCAAAGAATAAAAAAAATACTACCATATGCCCTAGGACACTGCTAGGAAAAAGTATCCTAAAACGAAATGAAAGTTCTGAAAAAAGTCTTTGGTTAGTTTTAGTGAAAGAAACTTCCCAATGGCGCTAAACGTAGAAAGGTTTAAAAAGAAAAGCAAGGTGTAAATCTAACTGAAAAAACAGCACAGCAGCATAAACAAAAGTGTGCAAGTGTAGTCGTCTTGAGTCACTAAGCGATGCCAATGTAAATTATATGCTAAAATGTATCCTGTTTATTTGAGTAAACAAATTAATCAATACATAAAAACCAAAGGGAAATTAAAAATTAAAAATCAAAACACTAATAATGTAGAAAAAAGGATACAAAAGAAGCACACGAGGTTAACTTAAATAAACTCCAAGAAAATATCGAGCGAATATTCAAGATCATTTGGGTGCTGTGTTAAGGGTCACACTTGATGACCCAAGTGTGACGCATGTTGATTATAATAATGGTAAATTGTAATAAGGAGGTACGCCATGATGGCATTCCTTCTTTTATCTTTAAACTTATTTAACTTTTGGTTTAAGACAAACTCATTTCTTTCAGCAGTTTTTGAAAAAGGTGAGGTAACAACAACACTCACCACTTTCTTGTCCTGTTAAAATATATGAAACCATTTATGGCAACATGTTTTTTTTTAATAAAAAAAAACTACATCTCTATTTTTTTGCGAAATTACTCAATATATTGTTGACGGATTGGAGAAAAAAAGTCGAGTTAATCTTAATCTTAATAAACTGCTTTTTCTTGTGTTTATTAATAATCTGGTTGATTTAATTCATGATTCGAAAGAACCTTTATATCCTGATGATCTGAAGCTTTATGCTATAATTGAAAATTAGATTGACTGTCTATAACTTCAACAATAATTTCAATGTTTTGTGCTTAGCTTTAGTAGAAAAAAGGAACAAGTAGAATTTGAATACAACATTGGTGGAACAGTGTTGGTTAGTTAGTTAGCTTTAGATACTCACTTATTTTTCAGGGTACATATAAATAAAAAAAAAAAGAAATTGTAAGGATTTTAATTTAGTCTTAAAACATTGTATACATTATTTATCGATCTCTTACATGAAACTCATAAGTATAACATTGAAATTGAATGAATTACCGTGAAACTGGTGTGTACAAAATGTACCAGGGAGCTGCTGGAGGAAATTTAAAAAATTGGGACAACGTAAATACGTACAAGATATTTATTACTTACATAACTTATTTATTATTATTATTTATTTATCATAATACATTTCGTGTTTGAATTTCCTTTCTACCACCCTGATTTTATGTGTGCGGTACTGTGCTTAACATAAACATCTTTTTGTATCATCTAGCATCTCATTAACATTTTTGGAAATTTGATTCGATTTTTGACGCTTTATGTTAAGATCAAAAATGAAAAGATAGACAAACTAAGAGGATAGGTATTGTAAGAGTGTACCATGAAACGTGTAGTTTTTATTGTACAATTTCTTTGTTAAAACGAATAAAAATTATAATTTGGCTTCACTGTGCAGCTAGCGACCACAGTTGCAATTTCCTCGTCTTCCATATGCGTCAACTGCAGGATTACCTATCGGTTTTACAGTATAAAGCGTCTACTATTATTAATGACGTAGATTTCGTTTCCAGATAAAGCAGATAGCCGATAGCTGATATCACGGCCGATCTTTTTTATTTTGGTGTGCTGACGCACACCGGTGCCCCTTTCACCAGTGCGTTGTTGCCAACGCGTTCCGTGCGACACGTCATTTAATGGACCGCGAAGGGCGTGTTTTTCAGGTACGTGTTGTCTGCGATTCTGCTCATCCTCAGAGACTCTTCCTCTTTGCCGCTGATCTCGGTGACCTCCATGAAACAGAACCGCTTGTCCCCGGGATAGTCGGGAGTCAGCGTGTGCAGCTGGATGAGGTGCAGTTTCTTGTTTGCTTTTTTTGTCGTCTCCACTGCGATCTGGTGCTGTTTGCTTCTGAAATCGATATGTAATGTTAATATGCAATACTGATTTTGAGACAAATATCCCATGGATTTACTACTTCTACATGCAGTGCACTCGTAACAACGTGTTTCGATATTATACTACTACAAATAATAAAAAAAATAATAAAAATAAAATATTTATAAAGCACCTGCATTTGCAAAAATAAGTTATAAATTATATTAGAAAAAGATGTTTGTCTGGATCCCAAAATAACCACCAAAAAAATTCAAAAATTAAAAAAAAATAGTTTGCGTCATTTTATTGCTTCCAATTTAAAGAGTCTAAAGGCGGGTCCAGACTTCTACCTCCCTCCCAAGTCTGAAGTCGCTAGCTGCAAATGTGGAGTACTTATTATGTTTTATAAAATTGCACGGAATATCGCGAACACCCTGTACAATACTTAAAAACCGTATACACAAAACTTTAAGCTGTCTATATCGGCTATATCGTCACGTAAAAGAAACTGACATCTAAAACACAGATTTGGAATTATTGCCAAATTTTCAATAATAAGGGGCCCCATTTTTCAGTTTTTTTGAATTTGCGGCGCACCCTGTATATTCGACAATTGTCGACAACAAAAGTTTATAGAGCCGTATCTTCTGCTTCTTCTGGTTCAAGAATTTTTTTGGTCTCTGAAACAGTTTTTGATGTTTTTTGTAGACCCTTGCACACGCGATTTTTAATTTTTTTAGAATACTTCCCGACCCCCCAACCCCCCATTTTGAATAGGTTCCGTCACGAGGCAAAGCTGCATATATGTGCCAAATATGAAGTCGATTGCTTCAAATTTCGGACACTTGTCGTGTTTCATAGCAAGGTCCAAAAAACAGTCGAAAATCGCGAAAAAACGATGGATCAGGACCATTTCTTATAAGCTTATGCGCCTCGTGAAAGAGGCAAATTTCTATTTCGCAGCTCCAACGAGAACGGAGAAAGGAGAACGGACAGACAAAAAAAAATTTTTTTTCGACGGTGATCATTTCTGTACCCACGGCGATCCCGTAGGACTGTTACGGAGATAAAAAATTTTTATACGAGGGCAAGGAAACCTGATGGCGGAGCCTCCATATGACAAAGCAGTAACCAGAAAGTTTTTTGAGAATGTGGGGGGGGGTATAGGGCGTTCACTGTATTATTATCATAGGTTCCCAGTTAGTCACGGTTCTATAATTAGACGTGCGTATCCGTTTAAATACGCTCGCGTGGTCCAGATCGAAAAACGGAATTATTTCGTCGCCGCTTCGAAGATTATTAGCAACACGTGTGACTGATAACATTCGGTAAACCTTTGCCCTACTTTTTTATCGCGATTCTTTCCTCCGTTCCGTCAAATCGAATCGGGAACTTTCGGTGCGTGAACGGCCACTCACCTGGTGAAAAAACTGACGAAATTCTCGTAAACGATCCTGCAAATCCACAAAAACTCGAGCACCATCAAATCGATCAGACTGATTTTGTTTCGCATATCGACTGCCCCGACTAGTTAACTAATTGCTGAGGAATGCGGTTAACAAATAAACAATAATGAGGTGGCGGTCACGAACGAGCCCGACTTGGATTACGGTGCGATTGTGAATCGGCAATGCAACAACATTCCATATATACACATCGACAATAACATATCTAAAGAAGGCGAGAGCGTTGATAATTAATACACGGCGAGGCAACTGATAAGCTTATCTGGATTTCAAATGCTTTTGTGTTTTGTCACTAACTCCTCTAAACAATTTTATAATAAATATAATGATTCAAACGTTTTGAATCTATCCCCGTTGGCCGATTTTTTCTATCACGTCTAGATTTTTCGATATAATTTTTTTTTATATTTCAAAATTTTGTTTTTTAATATAATATAAAATAGAAGTTTCAAAGTTGTTTTAAAATTAACTTTATGTGATTTTAGGTTATAAAATGCCACGGACTTGTAAAAATTCCTCAGATTGTTTTTGCTACATGTGTGGGGAATACATACTAAAAACACAGCGACATGTCATGACCGATCTGGTTAAAACAGCTTATAAACTATATTTTAGATTTTGCCAAAATATTGGTTGGTTGTCAAAAGTATGCTGCAATAGCCGCTCAAGAACGTTGAGAGGTTGCCTTGAAGAAAGTCACAAATCCATGCCGTTTTCAATGCCAATGATTTGGAGTGAACCTCAAAATCACGAGAATGATTGTTATTTCTGCATGACATCTACACGAGGATTTTCGAAAAAAAATAGAGATAAGATTGTTTATCCGAACGTCCTATCTGCAAAGAGACCAATTCCTCGTGATAAAGACACTCCACCTCCAGTTCCACCAGTTAATGAGGAGGCTGAAAATAAAAATATTTCAGGTCTACAATCTCAATCGAGTTATGTTAATATAATTTAGGATTTTTTACTGTAAAACTCAAGCCGCCACATTTTTTATTTCCTTGTAATAATTTATGCTTTAATAATATTGTTTTTTGATGAAATAAATATTAAATTAAAAACCTACGTGTGGTACTTATTTGTATATCAGATTCCGTGTTTACAGCATAAAATAAGATGAATTCATGCATGAAAACAAGAAGGAGAGAAATTTTTTTTTTTTTTTGCAGACCAGTGTAATTATAGAATAAAACCTTTGCATTATGAATGACTTCAATCGTCTACGAAAAAATGTTATTCGATATTAACATTTTATTATTTATTGTAACTAGGTAGTATATGTTTTAGTGTTTAGGATAGTAAATCTCTCCTATAGTTGCGTTTTTTTCTGCTATTGGTCTAATGCAGTGGTTATCAAACTTTTTCTTTTACTGGCCTATTTGAAAATAAATTATTTTTCAGCGCCTGCCTCCCTTTTTTTCAAACGTTCCTAAAACTTAAAAACCACAAACTCATTACTTGAATTAAATTAGTTATAGTGTGATATGTTAGTGGGTTCTGGTATCTAAACTTACATTCTAAGCTACAATTTGGAATGGAATTTTGAATTTACTTATTACATACGACTATTACGACTATTACTTATTAGTATGTTATTCCGCGTAATTCTTTTATTTATATTCCTGTTAAAAAATTAAACCTTTAAACAAATCAGAAGTACATTTTTTTGGGTTAATAAGAGTCATTAAATCTGTATTCGTCGATATCCTGTTTTATTTCGCCCACCGGTTTCGGAAAAATAGTGATTTTTTGTAAACCCTGGAAGCTCTCGGCTTTTAAGTAGAGCCAATATGTGATAGTGGTTTTTTTGATCTTACAGTTTTTTGTCGGTAACTGGCTATAACGGGATCAGAGGACACTAACAACATTCGCTTTATTTTATTCGTGGCAGTGCGCGATTTTTTTTGGGTGTGATGCTCGCGATATCGCCGACAATCTTTGTGACGTGCCTCTTGGCCCTCCTCAGAGAGCTGCCCAATAGGCACAACATAATGTTTAATAATATCTGTGGAATGGTACAGCAGTTTGTGGACGGTTCAAATTTTACAAGATCTGTAATATACCCCGAGCAAACTGTGTCCAATATCACACCAAATTGTCCGATTAATGTTCTATTGACTCCTGTTATATCTGAACTTTTTGCTGGAAAATTAAAAAGGCTCTGGCGGTATTTCCGTCATTACTGGACCCGAATCCAGGTTTTGGCTTGTCTACGTCTAAAGCCATTCCTAAATCTTTTTTGGATCTCTTGTTTCCTAATTTTAACTTTTTAACCATTTTTTGTGATTTAACTTGTAACCTACGTGAAGTAAACATTCAAAGCATCTTATGCGCGCATGTAACGTAGACAAGCCAAACTCATAATTTTTAAATTTATTTTGTGTATTGTTGGGCTCTATATTCATATTTTTTGGAGTTGCGTCACAGATATAACAGGTTTGTGATGATTTTGTATCGGTTAGAATACTGCACAGTTTTCCATCTACCATTGTTAAGTGAAGCTCATCATGAATATTCATTTGAACATTATTTTAATTAATTTATTTGCGAGTGTATTTGTTTAGTCTCATCACTTACGATTTCGGTAGTTTCTTTAGAAAATAAGAATTTTATAGCCCGACAAAGTTTGGTGGAAGTTGGGTGATCGTTTTGCCATAGAAGAATATTTTTGTCGAGTGGACCTTATGGGCAATCTTTCCGCATCTGCCTAAACCAAAACTCTTACTTTTTTACTTCCATGTCCTTAATTACCCCCCACTCCCTCTCCAAGCGTTGTTCGTTCTTCTCTCTCTCTGACTGTGCCAGATGTCTGTGTGATGGATGTGTGTGTTTCTACCGAAGCACACCGGGTTCAGAAGCGGCGAAAACAATACTCACACTATACTTCACTAACGGAGTGTATTACTATACGTGAAAAACAAAAGTACAAATTGCATGGACCGGTCGTATCGACTCTGGTCCAGCAGATCGAAATCGAACAAAACAATCAATAGCAAGTCAACATAGTTCGTCCCCTAAAAAGGAACTGACCACTCCGCGCTCCTTCGCCGACTTCGTCTCCGACAATTGGCAATAGAGGGCGCTCCGCACCACCACCACACAGTACACTAAGACAAATTTTTAAACCATCACATCTGACTTTCTTGGTCCATTGCTTTATTATTACTATTATTATTATTATTATTATTATTATTATTATCACTAGACTGAATCGAGGGATAAGAAAAAATGATATACACTGAAAAATGTTTATATTTACAAAAAATATTTAGGACAGGTTTATAAAAAAGTATCCAGCAACAACTAAGAAAAATTCACACAGCAGTTACTTTGACGTATTCCACCACAAGTTGTGCGTTTTCCGGGTTCCAAGTTTCCATCCACGTGGACCGACTGTCGAAGAACTTTTTCACTTGGGACCTTTCGCTGTTTCTCCACGGTTTGGGATTCGTGCCGGATTTGAAACCATCCGGAAAGTCTGAGATCCCGCCGACTCCAACGCCCACCACCAACCTTACCTAAAAGGAAATAATTATGTTTCAAGAGTTTCAAAGTTGATGCGAAAGACTTAAAGAGCTGTTTGTTTAAAATGAAGGACGGTTTCTTATATAAACGTGCAATTAACATGGCGCGAGAATATTTTCATTTTTCTAGATTATTCTTCTTCAGCATGTTGGCAATCACTTTGTCTTTAACAATGTTGTTCGTCACAGCTCGGAAAATTCCTGTTGTTGTTGCTTGCATAACCAAGAAATTCTTCTTCTGACAGGTCCCCGTTATTCTGGAATTTTTCCTTGTAATATTTCTTGACCGTTTCTTGAGATCGTAAGCTTGACGCGTTTAATATGATAATAATAAGAGTACGTTTATTTGCCAACGTTATACCTACATTTTGATACAAATGGCAAAAGGGAGGTTGAAAGTCAATTTAGAAAATAGTGGCGTTTTATTTAAAGATTCAAGGATGTCAAAAATGATTTGCTAATTGCAAATACATAATCACTCACAGATTCTAAATAAATAATATTTTCGAAAAGACTCATTTTTAAGAAATCATTAAGAAGGCCTCAATCGGCATTTTTAAAATTTCTTAACTTCATAGACTTAGGATTATGTTTGCACGTTTACTTTTTTCGTGGGACAAGTGATACAAATGGAACAAAAAATTTGCATAAATGTGTAAAAAAAGGAATACAGTGCTGCAAAACACTTGAAATATTGACAACGGCATACGGTGAATCTACTTTGAGCAAAAAAAAATGTTTATAAGTGGAACGAGCTGTTCTAAGATGGACGAGAAGACGTCAATGACGTCGAATCACTATTAGAGAAGTGGTCCAAGACGTCGTCATCTCTATTGCAATTTTTTTCGAAGTTTTGAGCCTGAAACGTATAGCAGTAAAATTTGTTCCTGATATGTCATAACTGTTGATGAATCACGGGTATATCGTTATGACTTTTACTTTTTAATAGTCTTTAAATTTAATATTGGCATTTCTTTTCAACATTTAGTACCACTTTTATTGGCAAATAACTTTAACGTAATAAAAGAAATCCATTCACAGTCGGACATTTTTGAATTCCATTGATAATATATCAAACTACCCTTTATTTTGAACAAGGAATCACCTCCTTAAGTTTTTCTAGTTTCTTTTAAAACACCCTATCTATGGTTGAATGCGCAAATAAGCTATATGCTTGATGTAGGATGTAAAGTTTAATACTCAATCGTACACAGTGTTAAATAGAAAACTTCTATGGCACACCTGCAGCAAATTTGGTTATTATTCTTTTTTCTAATTGGTTTGGCTTTAAAATTGGTCTGATTCAGACAGTCTGTTGAATAACCTTGTTTGTTAACAAACAAACAAATAAACAAATTTTAACATACCATACGGGGCTTGTTGAATTCAGACTCTTGCATAACCTGATAGGGGATTTCTCCGTACTTCAGATCGTCGAGGTGTAACTCCATTTTGGCTAAAAGCAAACAAAAACATTGGTTCCTAAATTGGTTCCACCATTGCCGTCATTAGTTCCAATTTATATTTCGTCCCACAAAAACAACTCTCTAGGAAAGAAATTAGAGTAATGAAAAAAACACACAATTTTCCACACAATGGGAAGGTGATGATGAGAGGAAAAAAAATAAATATTATCTATTCTTTTGGTTAATGAGTGGTCATGGTGATATTAAACTTCCTATCATTGTCAAATTCAACTGTTGTTTACCCATAGTTACTTCAATATCAACTTGTTAAATTTCTTCAAACTAGTTTTATTTGTATTTAGGTATTGAAATTGAAAAGAAAAGTGCCAAGGCGCCTGTAACAGACTAGGATGACAATCTAATATCAGAAGCTAATTAACATATGAAAAAAATACATATTCTATAGATGACCGTTACCCAGAGAACATGCAACCGAAACTTCTCAGCGAGTCAGACGACCATTTCTTTCATTTTCTACGAGACTTTTTTAACCCTGTTTACGAAAAAGGAGCAATGACGACTATAAACCTTTTGTGGCCCTACGAAAACAGGAAATGCAAAACACTGTGATAATCCTGACAAATCATATTACCAATGATGTTACCAAGATCATCCACAATGTGAAGGAAACATGTAAGAGTTTCAGTTTAGCTTCCGGAGCGAGAGAGAAACCATTTTCAGCCTACAAGTTCCGATTCAAACGTTCTTGAAGCTTGAAGCTGCTTGGTAAAGTGGACATTGATAGTGAGGATCTATTTATGATAAATATTCCCTATCGGCATCAGAGCGCCGAAATAAAGGTTGGAAACTTGTCTAGCGAGAAGCTCACAATTGGAAAAGGTGAAATGGAGAAGTAATTAACAACATTGGGTATGCTGATAATACAGTTATGATCGCAAATAGCTACAGGAATTACATAGACTACACGCAGCAAGTATATCCATAGTCATCAGCAAAATAGCTTTGTTAATAGCCAACATCTGTAAAGGACAGGGGAACAGAAGAAGAAAAAGATTCACCTGTAGATGACTGGAGATACTTGACCAAAAAGTCTCATTACATCGATTTATTTTCTATCGGATATTCTTAAATTCCACTAAATTTCCTCACCTTCCGTCCATGTTAATTTGTAAGTGTGCATTTCGTTGGCCAACGGTTGGGCGTTCCTATAGGAACTCAGATATCTGCTTCTATTTGGTTCCAACGGCGAAACAACAGGTCCCCCGAAAAGCAATTTGCCTCCGAGATCATCTCCATTCCCTCCAGTAAGTAACTCGTTGCCTCTAGCGTAAGCGATCCAAATTTTGCGTTTTGGGTCCTGTATATCTTCCAGGTAAATTTCTTAAATACGCTAGATTCATTATTTCAATTTCGATTTAGGAGCATGACTTAATCTACCTGGATAAATCCAGTCTCCCTTGGGAAGCTTGGCTCGTACTTCGACCTTTCCGAAAGCAAACGCGTTTTTTGCAACGATTCTTCCGGACGTCACTGGATTTTGATATATTCCAAAGAACTCTCTGCTGCATTCATTCGGCGAAGTCCTGGTACACCTAAAAGTTAACGGTTCAATGAATTTCGATGCAGATTATAATAAATTAATAAAAATACAGCAATTACTTTTTCCAGAAAAACCCTATCCCATGATTAACCTAACATGAATAAAATGTTTGTTTTGGTTGTGTATAGTAAATGTTCTGTAGCATTCTGAAGAAGCGAGCAGCATGTTTGGTGCATCGTCAGCGGCACAAAGTCGATGCATGACACAAGAGAAATCCGGATTCAACAGTTAGAATTAGGGACGACTTTAGTAGTGTAGCGTGGGAAAGCATTCCTGAACCTGTAGGTGTAAGCCTAGTGAAGGGGCATTCCAATTATCACAAGGAAAACAGGCAAAATAGTGCCAGAAACCGAAAGGTCTTTTGAAAAAAAAAAGTCGTTTTCTCAAATGTCAACCCATGAAATCGAAAAACGTTTCATTTTTTGTCTGTTCTCTTTTCTGTGGTATGGACCTTCGAGAAGTTTTTGAAGCCGGATTACATTAGAAGACAAAACTACGGGCTTCAAAGCTTCAAATATATAACACCTTACCTTCTCTCCAATAATATCCACATTAAAGATATTAAGCGTTCCATCAAAAAATACACTTCACCACAATCTTCCAACAGCAATGAGGCCAGAAGCAATCCTACACTTGCCACTGTGGTCCTTCCTTGCATTCAAAACATCACTGACCACATATCAAGAGTTCTAAAGAAGTATAACGTCAAAACCAGATTCACCACTTGTCCAAAAATCTCTCAACAACTTGGATCCGTCAAAGATAAAATTCCATTTGAGATGCCAGGAGTTTGCAGCATTCCATTCATATGCGGCGAAAAATACATTGGAGAGACCGGACAAAAATATCAAATAGACACAAAGAAGACGAAAGAGCCTTACGACTAAGACAAATAAACTCATCAGCTGTTGCCGAATACCAAACAGTCTTAACAGCGGCTCAGGTCTTTACCTGTCACCAATATGGGAATCAGTCATCGGAGACAGAGTTTAGGCCCCTCATTTAGCTCCGCCCCCTCAAACAATATATAAGCAGGTACAGAGTAAAATAGGAGCCAGTTTCAGTCAAGCTCTGAAGAAGTCAACAGGGTGATTGGCGAAACGTCATCAATTTCGACTCAGCAAAAACCGACGCAGGAGGAATCCAGAAGTTTTGTAACAAGTATTACAGTAGATTACACTAGTTGGCAATTAAATCCTTCTTTAAAAAATTTTATGATAAATATAATGATTCGAACGTTTTGAATCTATCCCCGTTAGTCGATTTTTTCTATCACGTCTAGATTTTTCGATATGTTTTTTTTTCAATTTTTTCATTCGTCAACGTTACAAAAAGTAAATATACATGCAAAATGAGTTTCAGGGAGTTTTAAGAGAAAGGAGGGAAGTGCCGAATGTTATTTTTATTTTAGTAAATACGCGCATGCGCAGTATTCATTGTGACACTACAACAGTTCAGTGAAAACTTGTCGCTTAATTGTTTACCTTTTATATAAAATATTTTGGTAAGTTTTGCATAAAGTTCATGTTCTCTACATTGGACTTAAGTATTTGATGTGTAGTCTGAGTATTTTTTTAAGTAGAATCAATAAATATAAAATAGAAGTTTGAAAGTTGTTTTAAAATTAATTTTATATGATTTTAGGTTACAAAATGCCGCGGACTTGTAAAAATTCCTCAGATTGTTTTTGCTACATTTGTGGGGAATACATACTAAAAACACAGCGACATGTCATGACCGATCTGGTTAAAACAGCGCTATATTTTGGATTTTCTATCGATGAGCGAGATAAAAGTTGGTTGCCAAAAGTATGCTGCAATAGCTGCTCAAGAACGTTGAGAGGTTTTGATGAAATAAATATTAAATTAAAAACCTACGTGTGGTACTTATTTGGATCTCAGATTCCGTGTTTAGAGCATAAAATAAGATGAATTTCATGCATGAAAACAAGAAGGAGAGGAAAAATTTTTTTTTGTAGACCAGTGTTCTGGAGATAGCACAAAAATACAGTAAAGTGAAAAATATACAGAGTGTTCCATTTATGGGTAGAAATATGAAAAATGCCTTTATCGCAATAAATCGAATGCGTTAACTCACAAGCCGTGGCAGACGCCGCCTTTTGGTTTTAACTGCCTTTTAGGTAGCTTCGAGAGCTTCAATTTTTGCCGTTTTCGTCTCTTGGCCAGAAAGCCATTGTTTAAAATGAAATATTACCTCGTCACTAAAATATTTTTAGGCTCTCTGTCTATTATACTGGGTGTTCACAAAATATTTCTTGATTTGTGATAGTTCGTCGGGACGTTTAAATGATACAGGGTTAAACAAAAATACTTCCTCTGGATCTTAGCAAAAAATTAAATATGGCAGTATGATACGAAGAACTACATCCAAACGGATACTTAAATCGAGAAAACTATCCTCTATGCTGTTAATAGCTTCGTCGAATCGACATATTTTGTCGAACCCGGATACCTGTTGTGTAACTTGCTTAAATTGCCCAAACTTAAAAACAGCATGAACTCCTGGAACTTTGTAAGTGGAGCTTAGATGACCTCGTAAAAAAACCCACTATTATTCCCAAAAACCCTACACAACAGTAATACCTGCGTGTGATAACATCCTAGTGTGTCGTTAATAGATATGAAATACCTGAAGGCAGTGCGTAAAGTTATTATAAAAATTATTTTGTTGAAATAAAAAATTCTAGCGCATTCGCCAATTTCTGTTATAATTCTGGATTGTCTTAACGCGGTACCATGATAAAAATAGCTATAGGACACGCACCCGGATGAAACATCCTGAGACATGATCAAATCGGCTTTATTATCGGTAACTTTTGGTCTTATGTGCAGCAAGTTGCCCGACAGGAACGTCACATCATCGGCCTTCTTATAGACAACGAACTCGAAGTCCTGGAAATGAAAGGGACTATAAAAACAAAAAAAATTACGTCATGCTTTTATAACACGTAATTGCAATTTTTTTTCAAAAAACAAGGACTCAGTATGTGTGACTTTCGTAAAATCAAAATAATACAATACAAAATGTATACAGGGTTTTGTGGAAACGACGTCATGTAATTTAATAAATGGGTCTTATGGCCGAGGCACCAGTGCCGAAAAACTTGTTTTGAAATTTCCAAGCTAAGGTAAACTGCCATTACTGGATCTTTATCATTGTGCCAAATGTTTAAGTCGCTTTTAAGAAGCTCAAATATGAGAAAAACTGATTCAGGAGACTTAAAAATTGTTCTTCCCAACGAAATTTCTATGCATCATGCTGTTTGTTTCTTCGGACTTTAACCGTAACGGATTTGCTTACATTTTGTCCCGTAGATCTTTGTAAAATTTTTGATAATTTCTTTATTAGATTGAATAAAATCTTATGTTGCTTATTATACCCACCTAAAGTCATGACTAACTGGGGCTATTTTTTGACGTCAAATATCGAGAAGAGCTTTCAGAATTTTCTGTCTCATCTGAACTGAATCGCCACAGTGTCTGACGTTTTAAAATGATAATTTTCAAGTATTATATAATATTTTTTATTGATGTATACATACCGGGCCTACCGGAATGTACTGTTCCCATAACCAAACACTTTCATTGAGTTCGCTTCCTATGAAACGGTGTTCGAAGAGAACTTCTCCCCGGCAAATCACGCTTCGGTCCGAGGACGTCGTTGGTGTTTCCAGGCATTTGGGATCCCTGTCGATGACCTTTTGTTTTGTCAGCTCTAAAATATTTATTATTATGCTGTTGAAATACTATTTACAAAACTTTTGGATTCCTCCTTCGTTCTTGAATCGCACTTGCTGACGTTTGACGTTTGCCGTTGAACCCGTCAATTTCAGTTAAGCTCTGAAGAGGACAACAGAATCATTACCGACCGACGCAGGACGAATCCACAAGATTTGTAAATAGTATTGTTGATACTATTATTCGTAGGCTCTTGGGTATTTTTCAAAAAATAAGCAATTATCTAGAAGGTCTAGAAGCACTGATTTAACCTCATTGGAGTACTTTCACATTGAGGGACGAAGTGTATTAAAGTAGACATCGCGGTACTGAGGCTATACAACATAGAGTTAGGAATTATACCTAATATATATAATTAAATATTTAGTTTTTTATGTTTTTTTATGAATAAATTATTATATTCCTTTTTCGCTCATTTAATTAATTTATTTTAAAGATATTCACTCAACATATGAAACGACGGATCCATCCAAAAAAGCTTTTCATTGTGGGATACGGAGGGTCTGTCATCAGTAAGTTTGTTTCTCTTAAATGATTTAAATTTAAATGATTACTGCTTACTGCCAAAACTGCGTTCCGTGGCTGCAGAAAATCATTAAAATTAGTGAAGCTAAGCTGAAGACTACTTTTCTGCATGAAGTTAATTCCAAATAACTGCTATTTCTTTTTACAAAACTTCTCGATTCCTCCAGCGTCGGTTTTTGCAGAGTCGAACTTGCTGACGTTTCGCCAATCATCCTGCTGGCTTCTTCAGAGCTTGAATGAAACTGGCACGTATTTTACTCTGTAAATGCTTATATATTGTTTGAGGGAGGCGCTAATGAGGGATACAAAAACACCGTCTCGGATGACTGATTCCCAAATTGGTGACAGGTAGAGACCTGAGTCGCGGTTAAGATTGTTAGGTTAGGTTGGTAGAAGAACTGAGTACATGCAAGAATTTTAGTTCTATCGAATAAAATTTTATGCCCGGTTTCATGAGTGTGTTCGGCAACAGCTGATGAGTTAATGTGTCTTAGTCGTAAAGCTCTTTCGTGTTCTTTGAGCCTAGTTGATATTTTTCGCCCGGTCTCTCTGATATATTCTTTGCCGCATATGCATGGAATGTCTTTGACGGGCCGAGATTTTTGGACAAGTGGTAAAAGTCACCCACTGCTTAACATTTTTATCAATCACTTGTGTTGCTTCTTCGCTAACTGTTACTCCTTGTAAACTGAGTCGAATATGGTATGCACTTTTGTATGGCACCTTCTACATTTTGGTTTGTTTTCTTTGTAAAAGTTCATTGCTGTGTAGTTGTAGTTTCGACTTTCTCCTTTACTCGATTGAGCTCTGGAACCAAATTTATACCTTATATCATCTTGAAGAGCTTAATCCATGCGTATATTGAACGACCTAGGTTTTAATTTTTTTCTGCACAAAAATATATGGTGGGTGTTTTTGTTTTTCCCACATTTGGCAATCCTGCATTTCATTTCTTGGCAGCGGCCTATGAGCGTGAAGAAAAGTAAATGCTTTTACTTTTGTTCCATGCTCTTTTTTTTCTTCTTCTTTTGCTTTGGTTTTGGTTTTACTTAATTGTACCTTCATGGCATTTTTAAAAAAGGGTTCTGCTACTACTGCTTGCAAACAATGCCGTTTGCTTTCCATATTTCAAAAATAAAATTAGAAATCTTACAAAATGTACTTTACACAAAGTATAATGTATAAAGATATTTTTAGTAGCGCACTGGACACTCACGTTCTTGGTTTAACAAAGAATGAGATATTTATGTCGATTAGGAATTCCCCGTAGAAATGCGATGTTGCCAATAAGCGAATCCTGTTGCTAAAATTGCTAAAAATTGTTCTATAGTAGGCTTAATGCTTATTGGATTACAAAATATGAAAAATTTATTAATCTTCAGGTTTGAATCATTAATGATCAGATTCAAGTATTTTTTATTTTTTTTTTCTAATATTCCTAATATTTCAATTTACAACAATATAAAATATATCCAGAATTTCAGAGGCAATCCAAAAATGCAATATTATTCAAGGTATCCTATCTAGAAATGAAAAATAAAAAATTAAAAAATGCGCTTGAAATTATGCAACTTTCCTACTTCATCATTTCGTCTATTTCAGAAAAACTGCTGGTATCTTCATCTAAATTGGCTGGATTCTCAGATATTGGGATTGCTGTTGCTGTTGTTGGGATAAATATTATTTTTTCAATTTTTAGCAAGATATCTACAAATTGCAAATTGTTCGGCTCTCTCTATATCATACGTATTCCTAATGTTAGAGATCGCCTGGTTCCATTTTTCCAATATCTTAAATCTTCTTCACATACCTTAAAGATACGACCTGACGCGGCAATGTTTTGACTACATATTTGTGAATCCTAGAAACTATATTTTACTTTCGGAGATTGGCCGCTAATATTCTGTTAATATATGAGAAATGTTCCCATTTTTAAAACAATAAATATGACATCCCAAAAATTTATTCAAAAATGTTGCGTGAGAGAAACAAAAATACATTGTTTTTCTTTTAATTTAGTCCCTATAACTACAAAAGTATGAAAAATACCAAATCACAAAGTCTTTGATGACCTGAGGAATTACAATCGTTCTATTTACAACAACGTTGATAATCCGAGGAAAGTTTTTTCAAGCACCCCAAGTGGTTTAAATTCGTTAAGTCATGTTAAAGTTCTTGAAAAATTCGGAAAAAAACGTTTTTCTCTTGGTCACTTGTCTGTTTTTTTACTAGCCAAACTGCTTACCATTTACAGTCCATTTAAGTTGGTCCCTTCTATAACCGAGTTGGTCGTGTTGCACGAACACCCAATAATTGATGACGTCGCCTGGCTTCAGTTGAATGTTGGGATTAAAGTACGTAAATCTACCGTTTTCCGGTCTCGTCACATCCTCGTTGAAGTCTCCGGGTTCCGTAAGCCCGATCGGCTGGTTGAGTTTCCCGTGGAATGCGAAAAACTGCACCTTCGGCTCAGCTAAAGTTTAACCCACAACAAGTATAATTATAACTTTGAAAAGCACGTTTTCCAAAAGTGAAAAATTTAAAAAGGAAATATAAATTTTCATACTGCTAACGTGGGGTATCGGTCAAACTCGCTTCACTTTTCTGGAGCCTATATGAAACTTTCTTTTTCCTGAATTCCTTGAAGGCTGTCGTAGATACGCAAAATATACCATTGAGTTTGCAGGTCCAAAATTTCAAGATTTTAATTTAAAAAGTATAATTAAAACTTCACTTAGCACGGCTCAATCCGAAGTTAGAAAGAAATCTGTTTTTCTAGTTTTTTAAGAATATTAAATGTTGAAATTAAAGTTAAATTTGCCTTTGGCAACATGGCATTTTCATTAATAAACAAAATGGATTTCCTAAAACTTAGTCTACAATATGTCGTTAATCATTTCCATTTGTTTTATGTACCGTGTACTCTTACGTTTTTATTTTGCAATTGAACAAATAATAAAACGTATTCCATAAGTAAGTGCGGGATATTAAGTATGTTATATGATATTATTGCAAAGCCTGAACGCGTTGCCCTAAAATCTCTAAAAGCAGAAAAAGGAAATTTAATTGGCCCTTTTTGGCAGGTTTTTTTTCACTAATGTTATTGTCTGTTTCTGCTGTCCCACTCACACAAAAAATAGGGGCACACTGCTAACCTACAAGTCCCACAATTTTTAAGTCACCAGAAATCATCGAACTGTGATTGATTATAGCAGTAGTTCCAGATTTTCGTATCATTATTTCATTTGCACAGAGTAAGCAACCGATACAAAAGCAAGAACATTTCCGTTGAGCCTCTCGGGTGAGCCAATAGAAAGCCTCCAGTCCTCAGAATTCCCGTCCGTATCCAAGAATATTTATTAGATTACGAATATCGGTGTAATAAACGCGCTTCCTGAAATATTATATTTCAATATTTTGCGCCCGTAAAAATTTAAAAAATATACTGAGATCAACCCACATGTTCCACTAAATTATTAAGTTCTGATTGTGAAAATAACTGTGGTTGCTGAGAAACACTCCATATATCACCAATATCACCAAAACCAGTGGTATCTTTTCCTACGTTGACTGGATTTTCAGATATTGGGACATCCCACTGCAGATTTGAGGTTCCGATAAACAAAATTTATCAAATTTTTAGTATATCCACGCGCATGAAGAAATAACAGTCATCATATTGATTTGTTAGCTCTCTCTATATCATAGATATTCCAAAATGCAGCTATCGCCTGGTTCCATTATTGTAATGTGTCAAAACTTCGTCACATACCTTACAAACAATATGTAACGCCCAAAGTTTGTCTTGATCACCAATTTTTACTTCAAAATAAGCGTAATAAGCAAGGGCGTAATTTTAAGTCATCAATATCATCTCAAAAATTAATTCAAAAGTGTTGCGCTATAGAAACAAAAATACATTGTTTTTCTACTAGTTTAGTCCCTATAACTACAAAATATTAAAAATATCAAATCAAAAACTAGTTGTTAGCCGGTGTAATTTGTCTATATTTATTTTGTTTATAGCTTTATTCTTTATTTTATTTAAAATATCACTGGTGCTAATTTAAACGGACTATATGATATAAATTACAGCGGTTCTCGGTCATATTTCGAGGTATTTAAACCTAATAGAAGTAAGAATTTTTAGTAAAGAGTTAATTAATTTATGCGTAGAGATTTCTAATCATCTTATTGGCAAGGCAATAAATGTTATGTCGTTATATTGGCAAAGATGAGCTATTAATTTAGAATATCTAAATAGTAAATAAAGTCGACGTTATTTTAACCTTGTGAAATCGATAACATATTTTACGACATGCGAATGCAGGATTTATTTAAATTAGATAAATAATCGGGGTCTTTATTGAACGCTTGATAATCTAAATATTACGTGCCGTTCTAGAAAATCTTACCCGGTATGGATATTCTAAGTCCTCTCGGTTCCAACGCTTCGAAAGCTACTTCCGGTACGGTGTAGTCGCTTAGAACGAAACTACAGAGAAACAAAGTCAGAAACGGCAAACCGTGAACACGTATCACAGCCATTTTGTGTCCCTTGCGAAGACGCGATCCGCTAGACTGCCATGTCGCGTGGTCGATGCATAAATTACATCTACTGAGATGATTGCAAGTTAGTGGGGAGATTTGGGTGTCCCACGCGGGATCCCCGGGCAAATCGAAAAAGATTTTACACCGAGAATGTTAAGTACGGAAATACATACCCGATGACTCATGGTTATACGTTAATTATTCAACTCTTTTAAGTCAAGTCAAAGAAACAAAACGAATAATATACAAAGACAGGTAAACAACACAAACGATGCTTTAGAGAAATTTACAAACAGGCATTTAGAAAATGGTTCAGTTTGATTTACATTCAGAAATATGCTAAATACGTAGGATACAGTACAGCGTATTGTGTACCAATGCAAATGTATTGCGAAATTCTTATATATAAAACACTTCGAACACACACACACAGGTACGAAGAGAGGAACACCACAACGCTGTAACCAAAGACGAAAGAACTTCTTCAATAGCCCAACATGTAAAGATTTGAACTTCTGAGAAAATGTTATGTTAGCTTCCTTAGGGTTTCTCTATTTTCTCGTTCTTGTGCTTTATCAGGCCCGCTGACGTTGGCGAGTTTGATCTCTGACTTCAGCAATCCTGCACAGCTATTCTGCACTTTAAACCAAGAGATATGTTTTGCCCTTACTGTATACGATACTTAACAGTTGTAAAGAGTTCAAGAACGGCGTTTGTTTCATTCAAAACGACCTCATTTGGTTACATAACTAGGCGAAATATTCGGAGCAACCACATTTCAGACGATTGATGGTGGCAGCCTAGATCAGTAACAAAGACCATATTACCATTACCAGTTCACCATTCTTTGACGATGTTTTAAATCTATATTGCCGTTACAAAAAAGTGATTTTATGCTTTCGAATGCTGTACGAACCCCTCAACTTTACATTTTATTTTCCACTCTGAGTCAAGTTGTCAAGTAAAATATTCTAGAAATATTTTTTATCTACATTTATGTTTGATCTCATTGCTTCGCCTGTCGCGTTAGGTTGGCTCGAATGTTGCTGGATACCCTGGAAACTGTTGCAGAGAATTATTGATGAGTTCATCATTGATTTTCAGCCCGTGATCCTGGTCCTGCCTCGCCTATTTTAAACCGATGTCCGAATATAAGTTGAACAAAAAAATTCCTTTTTTAAACTTTAAGCTGGTACTAGACTTCTACTAAAATCTACATTTTCCAGACAGAATGTCACTAAGGTCACACGTTCGCTTTCAAGTCACTATTCGGATATGTTTTTCTTCTCCTGTTTTAAACGCTTCTTCCAAGTACATCTTGAAGAGTACACGAGCTACAATGCAACACTTCCTGAGACCCGTTATTTCTTTTCTATAGCTTATTCGATGGCACTGTGTCGTTGGCCTTGTGATATTCGGGGAAGACAAGATATGTTCTCATGAGTGTGAAAACTCCTTCAATGCAAGAACGTCCTGGCCTGAACCTATTATGTTCTTCTGAAGTTATAATGTTATTGCAAATTGGCCTGCACTCATATTCTTCTCATATTTTTCAGAATTCTCGATGTCGTATTACTCCGTGTATTTTCTCCACAGTTTTCTATTTCCTGGAAATGTTTCTTTCTTTGGACAATTTGTTTTTTTTTTCATATCGGTACTAAAATTTTTGAAGATTCGGTATTGAATTTAAAATTACAGCTAATTAGGACCACAAAGCCTTCGACATATTTCTTGTAAAATTTGGGGTAAATTTCCCCATACAAACGAGCATGGCAAGATAAAATCTATCTACATTTCCTTTCGGTCTGCGCTTCGCCTTTAATAATTTCCAGTTTCCATTAATTTAGTTACTGATCAGAAATAGGAATAGCTGAGTATTGACAAAGCACCTAATAACACAAACTTCAACACTCCAAACTTCTGTCGTTTTGCAAACGCACTTGTAACTCGATTGATTAATTTTATTTGATCCCTCAATTTAGGCTAAGCATATTCGAATTAGAAGCGCTGTCAGGTAGTGCTTCTTTCTTTTCCTATGAAGAATAGAGCTACTGAAAGCTCATGGCAGGAACAACCAAAATTCTTAAACCAGCTACCCGAAGGTTGATTTGTATCCATAAAATAAAAACAAAAAAAAACAACTAGCTTTATTAATCACACTCAAATCCTTCGGGACTAAAATTACAGTCGTTCACTTTCGAACCGGAAACGGAAACATTGTCGAATACCCAATCACTGCACGCACCCTCTGCGCAATTGATGTAAACGGGAACTGCGCTGTCATCTACGCTCCCGACAACATTCAAAAGGCGCAAGTTTGTGATTGGAATATTTCCCTTGGGAGTGGGGTCCATCGGTGTATTGGCAGGCAGATTCCTGTAGTTTTGTTGAATATTGATTCCGTAGTTTATCGGGCCTATAATAAGGAGTAAAATCGTTTTCTTTAATGGAGAAACTCTCTAGCTTTCTACTCTGTACGTGCTTACATACTGTTTGAGGGGGGCGGAGCTAAAGCAGCCCAAGGTTCTTTGGTTGCTTAGAGATTTTTATTGATTCTCCGATTTTTCTTTGGTAGAAAAATTGATTACATTCAAAAACTTTTGATTTATCGAATAAGATTTGATGTCTTATTTTAAACAAGTGATATACGATAAACTATTTTTTGGATGTGAGGAAGGGCCACGGTGTCAATTGTGGGGTTGCTTTCTGACTCATATTCTTTGGAAGGTTGCTGTGAAGTGTTATGAAGTGATACAAGATGATTTTTTGGGCTAGATAATGATATGACAATGCATTAAGGTATTTTGTATTAATTGAGAAATAGTTTATCAAATAGTAATAAAAAAATGTAGTTTTAGGATTTTTTGAGTTGAAAATTGTGAATTCTAAATATGGACGTTGCTTCTAGAGGCGTTTGTTTCACCATATATAAAAAAAATGAAAAATTTTGTATCTGTCGACTTCTAGTTGAAACATGATAGAAAAATAACAGATCATGATCGGCTAATACAACTTCAAACTAATAGGCTATTACTAAAATTTTTTTATTATTCATCATTTATATATTTTGCAAAATGTGCATAATTTTGAGACAGCTTAAATCTCATGTCTAACCTGCAAACAGAAATTCAGATTTTTATCTAAAATCGTCAAAAGATATTATATTCATATAGTTTTCCGAATTATCAGACTTTCAAAAAAACATGTTTTATTTCCAAAACAGGTCAAGAGTGCTATAATGTAGGTTGCAAACTTATATTAATTAATTTATTCATTAATAATAATATTAATTATTTTAGTTATTAAGAAATAGTTTTTTATTAATTTCTTTTAACGGGTTACGAAATAGGTAACTCCAAAAAATAACATACAAGCAAAAAATGATTTTTTCTATAAATATCAATTAGATTACCCTCTGTACCACCGCTGGAAGAAGTCACTTATTGCCGCAAATTGGAACGACAAGTTTTATTAAAATCATGAAAAATGTTTTTGAATGACTTCACGCTCGATATCTCAAAAGCAAATCAAGTTAGGACATATGTTTATGGGAAAAAAGTCTTATTGTTACCTGGAATTTTTGTAATTTGTAAACAGCCTGTATGCTATATCGTATATGTAATGTCATTTCAAATTTTATGATAAATGTTCATAGAAATTTTCCATATAATCTAAAAATGCAATAATATATATATAGGGCATTTCATTTTTAAAAAAGTTGGTGCGCTTCGTTAGATGTCTATGATATAGATACATGATAGTCTGCGAAAGCTACAACTTCAATTTTAAAGGCTTATCTTTATCCATTCCCCACATACTTCAAAGAGGCCGTCCACTTTGTACTTCTAAATCACCATATACAGTAGAAGAGATATATAGAGATAGATATTGATTCCATTGGACGAAAAATAATAATAATGAAAAATAACTTAACCTGATAATCTTATATTCTCGTACGTGACGTTGTTGATCAGTCCTTCTCCGCCGTCCACGTGGGTTTTAACGTGAATACCGTTTTCACCAAACTCGAGGACGCTGTTGCTAATCACCACGTTGGTCAAGGTATTAAGTTTAACAGAGTCGTTGCTAAAACCCACCGATATGCTGAGGCCGTGACTTCCGACACAATGCACGTTGTCCACTACATAGTTCGAGCCTGAGAATAAGATTGAAATGAAAGTGGTGTAAGTCCATAAAAAAAAGAGATATCACTAAATTCATGTATAACCAGTCCGCGTTTAATTTCTTAAAAAATTAACAGAGGTAGGTGGCTGAATAAATGGTTGCCGATCAGTAGTCTGTTAATATTCATTTGTTTTATCTTACGTGTCAAGAGTTGCTAATTTAGGTAACTCATTCTTTTTCTTCTTCTTAAAATGGGTAAAATGGTCATATTAACATCAGATCGTGATATAGGACAGAACAAACGGTAAGTCAATACTATCTTATAACAACAGAAAATATTTATTTATCCTTAATATAAATAAATTCAGGCATAAAGCCCATGAATATAAACAGTAAAACAATCACAGAACATCAAATTCGTAAAATAAAGAACAATATTTGCAATAAATAAACAAAAGTAAGCGAAATAGTGGGCAAAAGTATTGTAAATCACACATGCTTATAAATTTTACCTAGACACTTCTGGCGTTAGTATGTAAAATATTTTCTATTAATACTTTCCGAATATTCCACTTTAATTTATCACTTAAGACAACTCGTGACGAAGAAAAAACATATTTATTTATAATTTTTATTATTGGGAATTTCAATATATCTGCACACTCCGACTTCCTAGATACCGGTACGGAAAATCAATGTGCTTAGCCGCTTCAAGCACTGTATGAACCTCTCGCAAAGTAATTTTGTCAGAAATAGAAATAAAAATTTAGACCTGCATAGAACGTGCAATAGTGTTCAGCAAGATGATGATCATCCTGCAATTCTTCTGTCACTTCAGTTTCCTGGATAATAATTTTAATTTTCTACTCATGTATTTTAAACTTAGACTGGTTATTTCTTTTCTATTTGTCGGATGTTGAGTTCGCCTGCTCCTTGTTTAGTGATACAACGTATGAAATTATATAGAGCTTATAATAAGTAATAAGTGTCCTCCCTGATCTTCCAGATCATGTTGCAGACAATGATTTATGACAGCATACAGTTTTAAGTCATCCGTATAAAGAAGGTATTTGAAGGGAAGGTCCAGTCCTATGTCATTCATAAATAGAATGAACAATAAGGGCCCTAGGACGGAACCCTGTGGCACACCCGAAGTTACATTATATTCGCTCGAACTGAAACCATTCACGAAAACGTACTGCCTGCGGTTAGTTAAGTATGATTCAGTCAACGTGAGTAAAGAGGAGGAAAATCCAATTCTAGATAATTTGTTTAACAGAATGCTGGTCATGTTCATCGATGGCACTAGCTATATGCTGTGTGATAAGAAATAAATTTGTAGTTGTCGATCTACCCCTTATAAAACCGTGCTGTTATACCCAATTCGCAAGACATCGGGCCCCTTATATCGAAAACTGTAGTTGGGCAAGCTATCAATATCGTAACGTAATCGGACCTGAAAACGTATCTATTGAACTAATAAAACTCCTCGATGATAACATCACCAAACACATTTTGGAACTCTTCAACCAAATCTAAACGAGTGGAAATTTACCTGATTCCCAATCCCAAAAAATTACAGTTTAATTAGTATCATGAACCACCTGCTATAGAATTTCCTTAGAGTGATAAATACCAGGATAAGAGCTAAAGGTGAGCTAGACTTTGAGCAGACGCAGATTGGTTTCACTGATTAGGAAAAGGGCTTCGATCGCGTACAGCATACGAAACTCATTAAAGCGCTACAAAGAAGAGGAGTCGACCAAAGGCACCTCCAAATCATAAGAAACTTATATTGGAACCAGACGGCAAATATACATATTGAGAATAAATTGAGCAATGACATAAGGATATGCCGAGGTGTACGCCAGAGCTGTATTCTCTCTTCCTTTATGTTTAACTTGTATTCAGACATTATTTTTGAAATTGCACTAGAGAGGACCGATGTAGGCATTAAGATAAATGGGGCACCTTGAGATACGCAGACGATACTGTTATCATGGCAGAAAGACTTCCAACGACTTCTAGGTAGTGTGAGCACCATGAAATGGCAAATTTGGTCTCTGATTACAGAAAACCTCGATCCGGAGACAGGAATTAAAATCCGAATTGAGATTGCGCGTTCTAATTTCTGTTCTATGAGGTCATGTTCTGCAATAACTACTTGACATCGAATGGTTAAATGCTACATATTGTCCATCATTCTATACAGAGGTAAAACGCTTGGATACCGAACCATCTGCAAGCAGATGTCCTGGATACGTAACATACACGACTGAACTGGATACCGGGCCGTAGGAAAACTTGCAGAAGACCGAGATGCTTTTTCCCAAGTGGTTGCCAACGTCAGATAACTGATAGGGCAGGGAAAGAAGAAGAAGAAAATTCATTATACTGTAATCTTGGTGTGACTAAACCGCTTGTACTATTTTTTAATCTATGTCTGAGAATCCAAGTGGTTCCTGGTATGTGGAAAATGTATAAAATTATATATATAAAAGACTGACAAACTATAGGGCTATTAAGGGCCTATTAATGAAGGTTCTCAAATGGAAGTCATATACCTTGATTTTTCAAAAGCGTTTGATAGCCTAAATCACAAAATTCTAATCCACAAGCTTCGTACTTTTGAATTTTCCGAATCACTTGTTAATTTGTTTTCTGTGGTCACACTTACGATGAATACATTGCTTCCTCAGGCGTTTCTCAATTCTCTCTAATGACTTCGGTAAAGACTTTGATATCAGTTTTTTGATATGTGCTCTTACCCTCCAGCGTAGTTTGGAGCAAATCGAGAATTGGTCCCTAAATAATAATTCAAATTCAGCCAAATGTCATGTAGTTTCTTTTACCAACATGGGTGTAGCTATGAAACGACTATCATATTTTTGATAAAACGCTCTCCCGTTCTAACACTTTTTGCGACTTGGGAGTAACATTCGACTCAAAATTATCCTTTGTTCCTCATGTTAATAAGGTACTGGCAAAAGCCTCAGAGAGGAATGGGTGTTTCGTAGGTGGCTCTGGAGACTTTAAAAATACAGAAGCGATAAAAATATTATATTACTCATACGTCAGGTCTAAGTTGGAGTATAGAGTAGTATGGTCTCCCGGGTACAATTGCCATATTAATATCCTGGAAAAAAATCAGCAAGTTTTTGAAGTATGTATGGTATAAGTTCTCCCAAGAGACTTTACGGATAAAATAGTATTAAATACTTTATACATTTTGCGAGATCCTACTAAGAGCCCGTCTCGATTTCATTATCATCATCATCCAAGATGTTACTTCCTTGCAAAATTACTTCATCGCATTTTCCAGAAGGTGCGATCTGGTGTGGAGATGCTGAAACCTGCTGTTTTGTAATAACAGATTTCTGATTGTCAATGGATTTTGCATAGATCATTGGGTTATTGGTAACGACAGGTATCTTTGCTAATTTTTGCAGTACCGACGAGTCGTTTGTTCAAGCTACTTTTGTGCGACGACTAGTAGATGACGCTGGATCCGCATTACTCACTTCATTTACATTAGTACTATATATACTGTATTATTACCTTGCTTGAATAGCTATCTTTTGGTAAAATATGAACCTTGTCTTTTTGAGTAATTATCTCATTACTTCAAGCGACTTACTCGGTCGATGCTGCTGTTTCGAACGCCCTCACTGATTCCGTTTGGAAGAATTGTTAGGTTAACATCTTTATCTTCACAATTAGAGTACTTAGACGGCCTAAGGTCACTCAAATTCTTGACGTATCTTATTAGCATATCACTAGAAACTGTATATGGTACTTGTAAATTAACAACGCCAACGATTTCCGTTTTTTTCAGTTTGAATAACTCGATAGAGAGAACGTACTTGTCATATGACGCCATATTTGTTTTTGTTTTATTGATTCATTTTTTATTGACGTTATTCTAGAGATAAAAAGAAATTCAAACAGGACTAATAAATTTATATAACGCTAATTTGTGATGAAGGAGCGATTGTACATAAAAATATCTCCTACATATAGCTTGATGGCAATCAAAGACCCCTCAGCAGTCCTTAATTTTTTTTAATTATTTGGCAATTTCGTTTCCCAAAGGTAGGCGAAAAAACAAAACCTTACCACAACGGATTGCGACGCAATCGTCTTGATTGAGTACTTTCGAATCCTTTACCACTATATTGGTCGAGTTCCATAAGGCAAACCCATCTGTGTTGTGGGCGAATCGATTTGGTGGTGCCACGTTCTAAAAAAAAACCGTAGTGTTAACGGACAATGTTACGACTATTTATAACAAGCTCCTTGTTGGATATAAAGATCAAGTTTGTGATGCGATGGATGAGATCAAGAAATTTGTACATTTTTTCAGGCTGACCATATATTGGTAGGTTTCATAGCAATAGCTACGTATAGAATAACCTCACTGCTGTGTTTCTTACACAGAAAGAAATATAAGACAGCAAAAGCGTGGATACCGGATAACATCCATACAATATATTTTTTAGAAATGTGCTGGCTCGCTGTATCTTCCATTATCAATCATTTTCAATAAATCCTTAGACACAGGGGTGCTTTTAGCTACTGGAAAATATAATTTAGTTGAGAATTATATTCCAATAAGCAAACTCTCTGTGGTCGGTAAACCTTTGGAATCTTTGGTTAGTGATAGTATATTTAACTCAGTAAAAGAACTAATATTATCAGTATAACATGGATTTCTAGCAAATAAATCTTGAGAATCGAATTTAATATCATATTGAGGCAGGGTCGGGTGGATGAGGTCTAAACCGATTTTAGCACAGCATTTCATAAAATTAACCATGAGCCAAGTAACTGGTATCAGTTTATTTTAATAAATAATGATAAATCTTTTTTTTTAACCATATCCGTTGTACCTTAGCGATCTCAGTTAGGTCCCTAATTACTTGTTTGTTACTACTGTCCCATTCACAGAAAAACGCAGTATCGTATATCCTGAAGGCTCATCACGTAGAAATCCGGCACATATAAAATCACCTCAAATCGTCTAACTATAGCCCATGTATTTGATGTTCTCAAGCATTAGCTTCAGATTTTCAAATCTGTCGTTCATTTGCATGAGCAACAACAGGTACAGAAGCAAGAACATTTCCGTTGTGCAAAAGACTAACTTTAAAATCTTCCAGTCCTCAGAATTGTAGTCTACACCAAATGTCTTTATTAGATTAGAAACCTCGGTGCAATAAGCAACTGACACTTGTGTCAGTAAATACTTATTTCGAAATCTCGATGCAAAAATTTCGGACAGATCCTTAGGTAAACCGAAGTATCTCACTTAGTCATCAAGTTCTGATTGTGAATTTACTGAGAAACAATCCAAATGTATATTACTAAGGGTATCTTCATCCATTTCAGGTTCAGTGTTCAACAAACAATGGTTTTGGACCAATGTTAGGGGATTAAAAGAGAAGAATTGTTTTTATTTAAAAGCAGATAAGGGTAATAAAGTTGTTATTTTAGACAAAGAAGACTATTTTCAACTAGTTGATAAACTCCTTGAAGAGGGTCCTTATAAGCAACAGGTAAAAAGCACATTAAATAGTTGCAAAAACCTTATTACCCAAAATCTCAAATACAAATTGCAGACATCTAATCCTACTTTGTCCAAATTATATTGTTTACCTAAAATTCATAAGCCTGGAAAAACAATGAGACCTATTGTTTCAGCTATAGGTTCTCCAACATATAATATTTCAAAGTGGTTGGTTGCAGAACTTGCAGAAGAGTTTATTGGTAAAATCCAAGACGTAAGGCTAAATGAACATGAACTTTTAGTATCTTTTGATGTTTCCTCATTTTTTCCAAGCGTTCCTATACCAGAAACGTTGGAATACTTCAGGAAATTACTCGAATATAATAACTACAGTAAAGATATAATTGAAGAGCTAGTCACTCTGACAAAGCTTTGCATGAGTCAAAATATTTTTCTATATAATAACAACTGTTATGAACAACAAAATGGCACGGCCATGGGAAATTGTTTATCTCCTTTCCTGGCTAAACTTTTCATGCATCATTTTGAATAGAATGCTAAAGCAAATTTCGAGTACTTTCCTAGCATATGGTATAGATACGTCGACGATGTTTTCGCGGTTTTTGATACAACTTGCATGGATTTAAATGACGACATGACGATTGTGACAAGTCATATGTAGGGCAAACCAAAAGATCAATTAATGTTAGATTTAAGGAACATTTAGCTCATTTAAAATTTGGTAGATTAGAAAAATCAAGTGTAGCCGAACATATGTTCAACAATAATAAATAATAATAAATAAAAACACAACAATAAAAACTACAAAAGTTCATGCGAAGTGTATGTAATAGTAGTGAGGGGTAAAATTGTTCAGTTTCTTCATAATATACGTTTCTAGGCATATCATATTCATGTTGATACAAATCGGTTTGTCGATGGCGCAAAAATTTTCATTCAGAAGTCAACGAAGTGACTATTAATTCGAGATGCAAAATGAATTGAAAAATTTTACTAGGTCATAGGTCAAATGCTAACTAGACAAAAACTGCAATGGTTTACAAGTAAAAATGACACATTTGCATTGCGTTGCATACATTTACTTACCATCCAGATCGCTGGATTTTAATTGTAGGTTATCGCAGTATTAATAAATTGTGTGATACGTTGCATAACATTTTTCTGTGTATTAGTTTTTGCGAAGCAATACTATGGTATATTATGCAACAAGTGCGGTAAACGGCATGTTGCATGTTGCATATTATACTTTTTCTACGATCGTTAGTTTTTGGCTACATTTTCGCAAAAAAACCGCGGAAAAAAATCCAGGAAATGGCTAGGTTCCGTGGGAAACGAAACTGATGTGGCAAAGTGACGCTTCCCGCCCGCTAGATCGGTGAGTAATTAGGCATTTTGCAGAGGGAGAATAAGAAATTTTGTTAATATATGCAAAATGTATGGCCTTGGCGTGGCAATTTCAATTGTTAGAATGTTATGTAATGTTACGGGTTTTAAAACAATAAAAATTACATCCCAAAAATGAATTCCAAATTGCGTGACAAAAACAGAAAAACATCGTTTTTCTATTAGTTTAGTCCCACACAAAACATTTGTTGGCCTGTGTACTGCAAGCTTTTACAGAAGATCGCGATCTATATTTATATGATCTTTTTCAAATGTTTCCAATATATAGTAACATGATAAATAACTTTACCTCGTCACCGGCAGAATCGTCGATCAACCAATTGCTAAATGTGACTCGATCTGAGTCGCTCAAAATCAAAGTGTGTCTCGGAGTGTTCAAAACGTTAAAATCTTCGAACAGAGACACACCGTCGGCCATGACGTTGAAAAGTAGCGGCTTTGTGCTTCCCCATTCTCCCTGGCCATCCCAGTACGACTGACCTTGACCGTCCCAAACGTGCCCTAGAATACCAGATTGAATTATCTTCTTGTGAACGTTCGTCGTGTCCCCCGAGAATTAAATTTCCGAAAATGGCGCCATTACTTAATAATTAAAGCATTATATAAACGAGCAATGGCAATATGATTGATAGGATTTGAATTCAAACTACAAGTCTATTAGATTCGGACAATACTGTAAAGTAGATAAGAATAAGTCATAAAAGAGAGGCAGAAAATATTTATACATTTTTATATAACAGTACACAAATAAATAAATTAGGACAGTAAATGCAAATCGACCATATATATATATATATATATATATATATATATATATATATATATATATATATATATATATATATATATATATATATATATATATATATATATATATATATATATATATATATATATATATATATATATATATATATATATATATATATATATATATATATATATATATATATATATATATATATATATATATATATATATATATATATATATATATATATATATATATATATATCTGATCTCATCACCACCCATCACAGATACAGGCAGTGGCAAATACATTAATTGCTCGGTCCTTCAGGCTCACAAACGAGAGGAACAGAGATAAAGAACTGAAGAAAATTAGTACCTGTCTTCAACAAAACGGATACCAAAGGCGCACCATCAGCAAGGCAATCGGTAAACAACAACAGCCGCAGCAGAGAGTGCAGGACGAGACCCAACGAAGATCGATCGCTGTCCTGCCATACCTCAAGGGGGTTACTGACAAAATCGGCCGAATATTACGGAAACACGACACATCAACCCAAACCTTAAACAAAGGATTACTCTGGAAAACCAAGGAGTATACAGTGTAGCATGCGGATCGTGCAGCCTGACGTATGTGGGACAGACCAACAGAAGGATTTCAGCCAGGCTCGAGGAACATCGTTTAGCCATAAGAAACAAACAAACAACATCTGCTTTGTTTCAGCACCAACATCAGACAGGCCATAAAATTGATTTCGGCACTTGCAAACAAATAGCTAATATTCCTGATTTTAGGACTAGGATTATACGAGAGGCCATCGAAATAGAAAAGTCCGGACACCTCAATACGAGAGACGACGCTCTGCATTTATCCAACACGTGGAGAAAGATAATCAAACAGCAGAGCGATGCGCAGCAGCCAACGGGGACATCGCAACTACGATCGGGCGAAATTAACAACGCGACAATTCAGGGGGCGGAGCCACCTCCCCCCACGCACAAGCAGCACCGTTACCATCTCCGGCGCAGAGTATAAATACCGCACGCACCGCCGATAACCTCCCAGTGTTCGAAGTGTTTTCGGAACGCGAGCATTGAAGATGCCAAGTGAGATGTTGGCGAAACGTCTGCAGGATTCCAGTCGGATGCAAGATTTGCAGGATTCCAGCCGGATGCAGGATTCCAGGATATATATATATATATATATATATATATATATGTCGCGCCTAAAGCCTTCATTTCATACCGTAAAGAGGCGCACAATTTATTTGTGTTAAACGAACACAAGGTGGATGTCACAGGATTCTCCCCATATAATTGTATTATAATGGTGAAATATACTAAAGAATCACAATCTTCTTCTGCTTATAGTGTCATACGCTTAGGTAGCATGTAGAAGTACTTAGGTTCATCAGAGTTCATTGAATAGTGCGCCATCTTTCTGCCTTTCTAAACCCGGTGGCCGCATCTTGCACGTTTCATCAGTCCCTTATATAGTTTTCAGCAAGTTGTATCTGGGGCCGCGATAGTAGCTGCCTCCCTGTATTTGCTCTTTGCAGTACCATTTCATTGGTTACATGCTCTGTCCACTGACTTGTTTCTGTCTGACCAAATATAGCCACGTAAACGAAGATTTAGGGAGACCTCTTGACACAGAAGTATTGAATTTCATGAAAGTGATGCCAGCAATTGATATGCGATGTTTATTTCTTTCCATCTGTTTGCTTAGTTTGGATTAATTTATCTCCTAAACCTTGTAAATCTTCAATGTTCTCGGCAAGGATTTCTATATTATCCGCATATCTAGAAGCGGCTAGAGAATGACCTTTGTCTCACTCCCTTAACAACTTCGATGTTCCACGCCTGTAGTGATCTGCTAATACGAAGATTACCTGTTTGGTTTCAGTATAATTTGTGGATGATTCGAATGACCTGGTCATGTCTGATGTTGGGAAAAGCTTTTTGGTAGTCGATGAAGCAAACATATCCTTTTGTAACATGTGCAACAGTAGGGCGCTTCCCGGAGGGTGGGGGGGAATTGGTGGCGGCGAAAACATGCCCGCCTTTCTTCCGAACAAATTAGTATTTTATATGGATATAAACAGTTAAAAATACACAGTCCAGTTCGCATCAAGTTGTCAAGACCATTGAGCCAACATAATGGTCCTTCGAACTGGATTTGTTCGGAAGAAAGACAGGCTTGTCTTTTCGTACGTCAGGCGGCAGTCACTATGATTTCTGTCTCTAGGTAAATTAATATAGAAATAAAATAGCGATGCAATTCAGCACTTGACAAAAACTGTTAGAGAAGTTCACAAAAACTTGGTTGATATTTACCTGGTTCGCCTCTTATGGTGAAGTTGGTGCCGTTGATTTGCACCAACGGCCCGTTCCATACGAAATAACCGAAGGTGATGTTACCTTTTACCACAACGGTAGTTTCCTTGCTGAGAAGGAGGTTTAAAGTTTGTCCTCCAGGTACATGCAAATCTTGAATGACAATGTCTTTGCAGTTCTCGGTTACCGATTGTACTTGCGAAAATTCGGTGATGGTGCAATCGTCGGCGCTGAGAGCAGTTTGGCAACTTAACTCCACTAACGCGGCCAATACCCAAACTATTCCTAATCGTTTCATTTTCGATGCGGTTACGTTTAAAAATCAATCACCAAAAAACACTTGTAGGATCGGCTTATATTCTTTTGTTTATCAGTGACTCGATGAAGTATGTCATGTATTATCATTTAAATAGCATTTGTGTATTCATGAACAATCTGAGAATGGCAGTCCTACGCAAAGTTTTAATACAGTATATGCTACAGTTTGGCCTAATTTGATGCGCTTTGATAAAGGTCGGTAACGGTCTCAACGAAGCTGCATGCGATATCGGTTACCGTGCAACAACAAAAATTGAGAGGTTTGAGCTGTGGAACTCACTTCTGCTCGCTTTCACTAAGACATGTGTAGCGTATCCCTGAATACATCACATACAATTGGTGTATGTGATATGTACACTGTCGAAGCGATGGGCGTGTACCTGGTGTAGCGAAAAGCTATAAATTGCAAGAAATCTCACATACAAGCCTCGGATACCGCAAAAATAAATAATACAATTTATTGTTATCTATTATTATTGTCCTGCTTTGGTTGAGAGTGACCATAAGACCAAATAAGAATGGTATCATCAATGTAGGGTTATAGAAGTGTACAAACAATACACCAGCATATATGGCACCAACCAACAAGGAACTTCCTTTATTTTTCTATTAAATTTCGAATATATAAGCTGAGCTCCAGCTCTAATACAATCTTAATACTAAGTTCAAATAACAAAAGTGTCGTCAAGGTGTAAGGGAGTTTCTTTCTCAAAAGTTTCCATATATATTTTTGCGATGACTGGTGATGATAAAGAGCTGTTCCTAATATTTTTTCATAAATTTCACCGATATAAGGAAGGGGAAGATTTTATTCCAGAAATTCGGATTTTAATATATCTGATTTTTTTTTAAGTTTTAGGAATATGGATAAAATGTCAAGATTTTGTCAGTTTTCCCTGTAAACGGTTTTAATATAGAAGCTAGAGATTTGGCCCCAAGAATTGGTCGAAGGGTTTGTGGATCATAAGAAGTCAGATTCTAATATTGCAGAAGCTTTAATAGCAGGTTTAAGGTTGCCTTCCATCCACCTAGCATCCTTTTTGAATTGATGATAGGATTCGTGCGTAACGAAATCTTGGATTTTTTCCTGATGGTCAGTTTATGACTACATTTACCACAGTGTTTGGTAGTTAAAAGTTTGAGGATTTCGCAAGTGTTGAGGTGAGTTTTCCAAAAATTTGAATGTGATTTTGGGTAGAAGGTAAACGTATATTTTTAGCTTTTTCATATTTCAAAAGGTCTCGCGCTGGGATTGGAAAAAGATGGAAGCAATTTCAAGATGTAGAGACGGAATAGGTTGCTCATTGATTTGGTCTATTTCTTTACAGGTATAATATGATCGGATATTTTTAAGGAAATCTACAATGTTACAAAAAAGTCATTGTACATAATAATCTTACTAGTTTCAATCGGTGATCTTCTAACTTTGTGCACCATGTCCTTTTCATGCAGAGTTGTTAAACTTTCAAAGAAACTTCAAGAGGCTACTGTAGTTCTATTTCCAAATCGTGTTGATTCCAACTGATTGATAATTCGAACTTGCTAGCATTTGGCTTCTTCAGAGCTGAACTATCTCTAAGAAAACTACACCAACTTATATGGCACCAACCAACAAGGAACTCCTTCCTTCTTTTATTCCTCTATTAAATTTGAATATTGGGTCCTGAATTTTTTTTTCTTGACATTCTTTATGGTGGTATCCGTGTGTTCGGTCTCTGTTTTTCCAGATATCCTTTCTGACATTCTTTAGACAGCCTAGTTTACATTCTCTAATCCATCTCTCTACATCCTGAATTCCTAATGCTCCTCTAATATCCTGACTTCTCAGGCTCCCTCTGCGGCTAACACCTTTCTTACCGTTTTCTTTTCAGTCGTCTTCATTGTTCTTTTTGTAGTTGATGTTTCGGCTTGTGCTTCCGTTGCACACATCAGATACAGATATTTGGGAATAAACAATTATTGAGTTTTCATGGTTGAAATTCTTATAGTATAGTTATTTGCCGTTGTCTGCATCCTGTACAGTAGACCCTTTGAGTCAGCTTCACTCTCTGCTACTGACACTCCATCATGCGGGTAACATGGGCTTGTTGAACTCTATTATTTTTTCTGTTGAGTTAACAAAGTTATGTTTTTAAAATTCTCGGGATAACTTTTTCACACCAAGAGCTTTACGATTTTTCATTTTTTTGATTATTTCTTCAACTTTCTCTAGTGGTATTTCTGGTTCTTTATTGTTATCATTTACTGATGTCTCTATCGGTGTATGTCTATTCATCCGTTCTTCTGTAATGTCATTTACTTGCAATGTATCGCAGTATCTGGTTGTTCAATTTATAACATTATCATCTGGTGTCCTATTGTTAATGTATTTTATCCTTCATTCTTCTCTTCTTCCAGTTCCTTAACTTCGTTGGTGATCCACTGTTTGTTGTTTCTCTTTCCGTTGGTGTCTATGCTTGTCCCTAGGGCTTCTGTGATAAATTGTTCTATATTTTCTCCGACAACCACTTTATAACAAAGCTCAAGAAAACGGTAATAAAAGAAGAAAGATTGAAATCTCCACACACAAATTAAAAAGCTAAGAAACAAGACTTGTATAAAATACTACTGGCTACAAAATTTTTAAAAAATACCGCTGCGAAGTATGAACATTATAAAGAAGGTATTTACAATGCTGTGGACGAAGCGATCGGAGGAGAATAAATAAGGGCAGGGACTCAGGAATAATGGTCAGGAAGCAAAATTCTATATGCGAGAATGAAATAAAACACATTTTATGACCGGTAGCTGTCATAAACGAAATTACATATTTGTAACTACTGTAAGTACTCACGGACGAAAAAAGCACACGAGTCCGGTTTTCTGCCAAACCAAACAACTAGGTTTCGCCATTGGCAGCAGATGGCAGCAGAAGTTCCAACCAAAACAATTTTGCCAATCACCTATATGCACATTTAAGAATTGAGAATTGAGAATCGAGTAAGTAGACGAAACAAAATTCACCTCGATAGACTTGCTGAACTTAGTTTAGTTTATGAAATCTGCTGACAGTTATCGTTGGCTCCAAAACAAATCAAAACGCTGCAACGGTACGTCACATAAGTTGTGACTGTAAGCTAGTATTTTATCGCTCAAACTGAGAATTTTATTAGTTGCAAGAAAGGCTTTGTTATGCTCCAACTGAATGCGAATGTCATAGCAAAGTATTGGTAGGTATTTTGTAGTAGAAGTAAGATGGAAAACCAATTAACCTGATAACTTTGCCGCCATATGCATGCATGCATGTTAATATGAAGGCTGCTGTTGCTGACCATAGTCTAATTGTCCGCTTAATCGCGAACAAGACACGTGGCCCTTGAAAATTTTTACATAATTTTCGGCAACAATCTGCTATCTTATCTCTGTCAGCTACAATCTTCTACTTGTTTTTAAAAAAAAGATTTAAATTTATTTCTGTATAACTAACATTTATATGTTATACACAAAAAACAGAGGACATATAAAAATTACGCAACTTTATACAACATAGAACAGTTACGATGTATTTTAATAAAACAAATATTTCAACATCTTAATCTGCAGTTACAAGCATTTTGTGGTTTTCTGTCAGCCATAGGACCTTTCCAATTAATATAAGAGCAGACTTCTGCAAGCCTTATTCGTTGTCTGTATTTTTATTTAATTTCTGCAGCTGAATTATTATTTTGTAATTTATAATAATTGACAATGATTACATTTAAAGTAGATTAATAAAATACGCTAAATATTGTAGTCAGTCTGTCAATAGTTCCTATATCCCAATGATACCAAGACAACATCCAGTGTAGTAGCGCTTCTTTTGGGAAATCTAGTTGGCTCCATTAGGACTTGTTTTAAATTAATGAATTCTTTATAGTCATAGAAGCGAACGGTATGCGGATCTATTAAATTTAATTAGTCTAAATTAATATCACCACATCAAACGATTTCGTATGGCTGGAAACCGAATTTCAAGAAAATCACTCGTTTAGGAGGTCTATAAAAAAATGTATACATATATATATATATATATATATATATATATATATATATATATATATATATATATATACAACTTTGTTGGCAGACATGGATGTTGCTGCCCTAACTTTATTTATAATTATTTCCCACTTCAAGCACATGATTAACAGCATACATGGGTGGATATTTTTGGGTTTAGGTTATTGCGTCTAACTTTTGTTTTTGGATTTTGGTTCATATCGTTTCCATAAGATTCAAATCTCAGTGATAAGAGGTATATGACCTTGTCTACGAATTAAGTTTTAGCATACCATTTGGTTCTTAAAACTTCAACTAGTTGTTTTTTTTATAAGTAAATTCAAAATAAAGCTCATGCTGACTAAGGAACTCTTGCAATATGTCTTCTTTGCTGCTGCTCGTTGGTACTTTTTTAGTTAAAGTGCTGTGTTAACCAGCATTGTCATAAACTATTACGCCGCCTGGTGGGATATTTGGAAGAAGACAATTTTTTGCGCTGCTCCCCGGTCAGTCAGTCAGTCGAAATGAGAAACCGTTGTGCGCGCGGTTATAAATAATCGACTGATATAAATAAATATACACTATATATACATGTGTATATGTACACTGTGTCCCATTTTGGTCGGGACTGAGGGGTATGTTCGTTGTTATCGAAGATAGAGCCTTGCGTTTTCTCAAACTTTTGCTACTTTGTTGTGAAACGATAGATGACGTTAACAAAATTTTCAAGACTTGTTTAGTTGTTAAAATACGGGGTGATTTTCGAAATTTGAAGTTTTTGGGCACCCCTCGTATCTCGGATATCCTATGAAATGTCGATAAGGTGAAAAGCGCATCCGATTTATATTTATACTTAGAATGCAGTGAAGTCGTCAGATTTTTTGAATGGAACACTGTATATCTTGTAGGCCAATTTGATTTCGCTTGGTTTGAGCTTGCTAAAAATTTATAATAGTATGTTGTTATTTGTATAAATTAAATTAATAAATTTAATTAACTTTTTAATTTATTAATTAAATATTTCTTATCCAATTTTTTATCGTAAAAAAAGGTTGGCCATTATAAAAGTAAAAAGTGTGCAAGAAACCGCACATGTCAATATCCCTCTCAAAAAAGTAAAGCATTCTTGTAAAAAACTATTATTGCTACTACTACTACTACTACTATTAAACTAAGATATAAGATAATGCTTTTTGAAAACTTCGAAAAATAAGACATAATTAAATATTTGCGAAGAAACTATCACTGACGCGATGGACTTCTATTTAAATAGGTAAAAAAAATAAGCAGCACCGGTATATTTAATAAACGAAACACTTGAATTTTACAAATAACCGCATACTGTTATACATTTTTGAGAAGCTCATACGAAGCGGAATCAAGGAATAGGGTGTTATATTAAAAAACTTTATTTAAAGACCAAACCATTTAGAAAAACACTGACTACGCCACTAAAAATGCAAGGCTCCGTCTTTACTAACAACCCCTCAGCCACGTCCAGAATGGGACACAGTGTACAGTGGGTAAAGAGTTAATGACTATGTTAATTTGGACGATTTAGAAATGTATTGTTGACATTCATAAATAACTGATTTAAATTTAATAACGAGCAACACTTTTAATTATTTTTTCTGTACCCAGTCAAATTTCACCCTAATTTCTTCTGAATTTTTATCAACATTTCAATCGTTTAATATAAATACAATGATACGTTAAGTATCATGCAAATTAACTTGTTGAATTATTTTCACTATCATTTGTGTCAATCATTTTTTGCAATCCTCCAAATTATACCCAAAATTCAAGATCAATGATTTTGCAAAATTTGTTCTGGCCTATCGTAATTTATCTCCAATCCACTTCAAGTTTTTCAAGTTACCAATTTTTACAAATTTATTTCGTTTTTTTCCAGCAATAGTGGCATAAAATATTCTACCTCCATCATTCATGGCCATTTTGGCAAAATGTTTTAATAGTTGTTAATTATATCCTCAATTATATATGGTGTTTTGTGAAAATGTCGGAAGACAAAAATACATTATTTTAATGGAACACATTATTCACACAAATAATTTTAATGCGCAGTTGCCAACTTTTTGGTAGAAAATAGATTTAAAACGCACGTTTTCGAATGACTCTTGCTCTTGTAATATTACTTTAATCAGTATTTTTACTTTTGTATGAATGAACTTTTTTATAACACTCTATATGTAACTGAGGAATTTCCGAGTTAAACTAATCAATCCTAATGTTGACCATAGGAACAATATAGTTGCTTTTGGATTACCTTTTATAACTAAGACAATAGCTTTTATAGCTATTATAATGAATTGCATCAATTTTGGAAACTGACGCATGGTACCCAACAACAACAATCATAGAAGAAGCAGCTATAGAAAAAGTACGGGAAGAAAAAAAAACGCCTGAGAAGAAAATGGTGTGACAGAAAGAAGAAGCACTAGAAGCCAAAAAAACTCTTTTAACGCTAATCAACTCTACAGATGAGAACAAAGAAGAATTTCACAGAACAAGCATATAGACAAGGCAATTACTTAGGGGCAAGAAGAGGAGTCAAGAGGACGGCAATGTAGAGCTGGAGCACGCAACAACAACAATCATAGAAGAAGCAGCGACAAAAGTGGAGACGAACTACGTCGACGGGTAGATAGATAAATAGGAAGGGGTATGCTCATTCCAGAGAAAATCAGGCCGCCGCGCCGACGCCATGGCCTGAAGTGCTGCTGAACCAAACCATATTCAACTCATGTGGTAATTAGGGAGATGACTTTGAGAGCTGTCTGAAGTCTCTAGGCTTGATGTAAAGCGGAGTACTCTGTACAGAAGGAAACACAATGGGCTTGATAAGGCCAAGTGCTGTAGTGTAGGCTATCCTCCTTTACTTACAGCTAGATAGGTAGAAACAGAAATAAATAACCAAATTCTTTAAAGAAGTAAACACATGGTGGAAGCATTCAAAGACCAAAAATAATTAGAAACGTAACAGGGGAGGTAATAGTGACAGACATGCAAAATTGTCGAAAATTTTCAACAGTTACGGAATATTCAAGGTGCGATAGTGGAAGAAGATACAGCAGGTATAGATATACGCTTACACGTTAACAAGTTTTAAATGCGACAAGATCTCTAAAAGATCATATAGGTAACGATGGTAACGCGTTGCGTACTATACTTTTTCTATGACCGTTAGTTTTTGGGTACATTTTCGTAAAACAACACGAATACATTTACTGACATTACTGTCAGAATTGACGAACGTCAACATTCAAAGCGTGGGAAATATTTTACAGACGGGAGTAGAAAAAATATATAAAGTGGTTTTGAAAAGTATAATATAAGCAAATAAAAAATATTTTTCTACTCCCCTCTGTGAAATACCTAATTACACACCGATCTAGCGTCACTCTACCACGTCAATTTCGAGCGAATTCGAGCCAATTCGGACATTTCCGGGATTTTACCGCACGGGTTTGGGTGCAATCGGATGCTGTCGCAGATATTTCCCAGGCTTTGAATTTTGACGTTTATCAATGCTGACGGTCATGTCAGTGACTGTATTGGTATTGTTTTGCGAAAATGTACCCAAAAACTAACGGTCGTGGAAAAAGTATAGTATGCGACACGTTCGGTAACTTTTTAAGTCAAAACATTTTTTATTATTATTTTTAAATTTTAAATAAAGTCCTTCGAGCGATGCTTCAGTTAGGATCTTGGGACAAACTGAAATAAATTGCAGAATTTCAAATAAGCCATTCGCCAGTCCCCAAAATAAACCGAAAATTATTTATGTTTTGGTTGCAAAAGTTAACATTGCCAATAACAAAAAAAATGTCTTCTCTCTGCGTTCCCTGACAAAAGCACCTGAACTGGTCGGAATTTATAAGTGTCTTTTTTTGTCCTTCCAACAGTACTAAAGGATAGGTTAGATAGAGTGTTTGACTCCGACTCGAATATAATTGTCACGATATGCTTCAAAATATCCAAGAACACCAATTTTCAGGTCTCCACTTATAATAAACATTTCTTCTTTTTCCAAAAACGGTTTCATTATTCGTAAAGATTCGATAAAAGCACAGAATGGATGAAAAAATTTTATAATAAATGATGGAAATTCGGAAAATGATGTTATTTATTGCTTAAGCTCAAATAAAACGTAACGTAACCACCACTCACCATTTAGCGCAAAGGAGAAATGTGCTGATAATTGGGTTATTTTTCATTTTATCCTAATATTGCATTCGACCTTTTTTATTCTGTTGGTGATTTACATACTGGCTTAGCTAAAAAATATAATTGTTCTTTTGCTTTCACCTCCGTATCTCTACTCATAACAAAGTTACCAATGATGCCGGTAGATTGAGAATTTAAAATTTTTCATTTTCGGAAAACATCATAAACACTTTTTTTGTCATAATTGGCTTAGGAATTGTCATAGTAATAACAAATCAAACAAGGGAACAACTAATGAAAAAATGTCTTTCCATGTGATCTACTAATTGAAATTTTAGCTTTGGTTATTTTAACCATAATGAAATCCGAATTTAAGGAGTTCTCACATAAGGAAATAAGAGACAGGGCATAGAAAAAAGATGCTTTTTGTGTTACTCATGTTGCATTTGGTATAAAACGTAAGTACTGACAGTCTGTAAATTCGACAGTTGTCAATTTATATGAGACATTCTGTCGAAACATTCCCACAATTGAATTTTAAAACGAGTTAACTGTCTGTAATTTTTCAGAAGTAGAGAGCTTTAAATCTTTTGGCCTGTAGGACAGATGAAACAGAGCGCAAAGCACTCGAGCTCTGATGTAACCAAAAGAATTAAAAGTTACTAAAAACTCGGTTATCGAAACCAACATCAATTTCAAAAACTTTGTCGAGTGTTTACGAAAATTCGCCGCAAAAAAACGAGAGTCTGATAAGAGCGAATTAAATTTCGACTACTCACTCGAAAAATAATTTATTTTTTGTGTTTGCTCGAAAAAAAACATTGTAATTGTCAATGTAAAGCTGAAAACAATTGTTCTTAAACACAAGACATCAGGCTGTTTGATTTTTTTTTAATGAAACAGCCTGTTTATTTTATCGGAATTCAATTGGACACGTTACTCTGATTACAATTACATAACACACTTTGGATTTTATTCCACTTGTTAAGATATTGTCAAAAACAGGACAAAAACAATTTGCGATAATGAAACTCTTGCTAAATTTAACCACCACTTTCTTCAACGCATTTTTCAGAAAGTTTAATTTTTGGAATTAAGTAATAGGACCAAATTGTCTCTCAACTGATTTATTGCCACTGTAATTCAGTGCGAACGAAACAGAAAAAATCCGTAAATGTCAAACAAAATATAAATGTCTAATTGTTGTCCTGGGAGTGACTTTTGAGGGGTATACGTTCCTACAACTGTAACAACTTTTTTATGGATTGACTTTTAGACTTTTTTCTCATAAAATCGGAAAAGTTGTGTCCTGTTAGTAGAAAAATAGGTCGTTTTCAAGGAAAATTGATTTCAAAAATACACATATATGCTTATTTCTTCGTAAAAAATTGAAATTTATAGGGTAGCTGGGTTGAAATGGAGAACGGGAACAGAAACCCTTAGCAAATAGTTTTTCACTACAATTTTATGTATTATACATGCAAAAGGTGTAATGAAATTATTATGGAATTATTTTGTAGTAGCTCAAAAAAGGCATTTTGCACGTTCAGCTTAAAAAATGTTTCGTTCTGTAGCACTATCTAACCCTTTGTAGTAGCACTTTTTGTTTTTTGATAAAGAAGAGTAGATGAACAAGAAGATGTGTAGCACCAGGAAAGGTTGAAGAGCATGGGGTGTTCATATTAAGGAAAAACACAGTCACGAACACCTGAAGAGATCACAGACTTGTGACAGTGTAAAGAAAGTATTAAACATTGTACAAATGAAACCATACACTTCATATGGATATTAATAAGTTTCATTTATTTTAATGTAAATTTGGGAATGCAGGAGGTACCTCAGTAGTTCCCTTCAACTCAGTACGTAACCTCTAATAGACAGAGGTTCGGATTCTAATTATGCCATTTGTTTAAATTCGTTGTACATCAAAAAGCTGTAAAAGAATTTTTACTGAAAACCATTCGAATTTATTGCTTAATGCCCATATTAAATGGATCCCCTTTTTTAAACCTAAATTCAAATTTGAATTCCCTATAACACTTGTAATTAAGAATTCATTAAATACCATTACTTTAGATCCAAAGGATATTTTGGTTAGTTTCGACGTAGATTCCCCCCTTGCTAAAGTCCCTAGTCCCGAAAATCTCAACATTATTTCAGATATATTAAAATCAGATAATCTGTAATCAAACAAACGTATTTATCTTGTAACGGTTAAATTTATGAACAAATATAGAACAAGAAATAGAAAATCAGACCTCAGATTGGGTCATTCTGTTTACAGAAAACCACGTCCAGAAATCATCGATGACTACGAGCAGAGCCTTAAAACTATCTCAACTTGAATCAGAATCTATAATTAAAACTTCACTTCAACACAACCTTCCTAAGTAAATGAGTCAGAAAGTGATGCTTCTTTACATTTAAAACACCACCGACCACATATCAAAAATTCTCAGCACATGTAATGTGAAAATCAAAGAAGACAAAATTCCGTTTGACACACCAGAAGTTTACAGCATTCATACATTAGGAACAATGCACACGACAGATAAACTCACGAGCAGTTGTCGAACGTAAACATATCAATATCAAGTCTTGTTCTCCCAAACTTTCATGTAATCAAACTAGTAAAAAAATATCCGAGAATCCAACCTCGAAACAAGCAAACTGTACGGCGACGTTTAGCCTATCACCAATTTGGGAATCAGTATATAAACAGGTACAATGTAGAAGGCAGTTATAGTCTGAAGAAGCCAACTGGATGACTTTCGAAACCTCAGAAAATTCGATTCATCTGACGCAGAAGGAATCTGGAAGATTGGTAAGTAGTAGTACAGGATTATGGATAGTCAACTGCCACTTAAATGATAACGTTTTGGGACACTTCACCGAGCCACTTATCGTACGTGATGATAAACGAAGAAATATAAGCCGGTTCTACAAGTATTTCACGTAGATTTTTAAATGTTCTCAGCGAAAATGAAACGGTTCGCAGCAGTTCTGGTATTGGCGGCATTAGTGGAGCTAAGTTACCAAGCTGCTCTCGGTGCCGAGGATTGCACCATCACCGATTTTTCGCAGGTACAATCGGCAACCGAGAACTGCAAAGACATCGTTATTGAAGATTTGCTTGTACCTGGAGGACAAACTTTGAATCTGCGTCTCAGTCCCGGTACCACCATTGTGGTAAAGGGTAACATCACCTTCGAATACTTCGAATGGGACGGCCCATTGGTCCAAATCAACGGCACCAACTTCACCATAAGAGGCGAACCAGGTAAACAAGTTGATTTCACGAAACTATTGAGAGGATAGAGGCTAGTTTTCTCGGTTGTATTGTTCTCCTGATTGCTCTACTTCATTTTTTTTAAATATAATTGTTTTATTCTTCGGTTAAGGTCCGGAAGAGCCTAACGGTACTTTCACGAAATATTTCATTCACCCTGTATTATTCAAAACGTGACTATCACAAACAAATCAATATTTTGCGAACACACCAAATAATTGATGAAAAGCGTAAATAGTTGAGTTACGAAATAATATTTTATCGTTTTCTAGCGCGTATATCGCGCATTCTGTATGATGAGCGAACATTTTAAATGCAAAAATTGTTTGCCACGGTTTTCCAGCTACTGCGAATGGTTTAATCCGAAAAATCGAAATTTTCACTTTTTTACTATAACTGAGACAGCCTGTATACTTTGACTATACTCTATCTTCTGGTTCAAGATTTTTTTCGACATTACATACAATTTTCGAGAAAATAGTTTTTTTTTCTGTCCCGAAAAAACAAAGTCATTTTCTTTTTTAAAATACTTCGGAACTTCCGATCCCGTCCATATTCCTGCTGAATTTCAACTCGATAACTCGAAATTTTTCGAGAAAATCGTTTTTTTTTCTGTCCCGAAAAAACAAAGTCATTTTCTTTTTTAAAATACTTCGGAACTTCCGATCCCGTCCATATTCCTGCTGAATTTCAACTCGATAACTCGAAATTTCCGGCACTTAGATTTGAAACCCCTAGTGTCAATCGTTCCAATGTTATCCAGCTTCAAACAATTGCCGAAAGTCCTTTATCGAGAACAGAGAACTGATACCAAATCCACACTAATACAACATTAGATATTCTTTAATTCAGTTTTGTACCGTTTCCATTATTTGCTATTTTCAGGACATGTTTGGGATGGCCAAGGTCAGTCGTACTGGGACGGTCAAGGGGAATGGGGAAGCACAAAGCCGCTATTTTTCAACATCATGGCCGACGGTGTCTCACTGTTCGACACCTTTTTCGTGTTGAACACTCCCAGACACACTTTGGTTTTGAGCGATTCTGATCGAGTCACATTCACAAATTGGTTGATCGACGATTCCGCTGGTGATGAGGTAATTTTTTTTAATATTATTTTATTAATTTTTACTAAAGACTCAATTTCTTAGACTTACCACTAACTCCAACTCTACTATGTTCTTAAAGCGTGACTAAAATGTTAATTTCTAAAATTGAAAAGAAAGCCAGAATACAAAATTTAAAGGCCACATTTATCAACCAAAAACAAATGTTTTTTTTTATATAAACATGTGTGTACAAAATATTGAAAATCAACCAACACAGCCCTATACAATAAACACTAACAAATGACAACACAAAATAGAAACACGTCAGTGCTGGAAGACGAAGACATTTACTGGTTGCCTTAGCAACGGCAACGCCCAACCGCAGCCGAACAATAGCAATCGCTAAATGCTGTGCCATTCTGAAATTACGCATTTATAATACTATTTATAAATCTTTTGTATTCCTCCCGCGTCAGTTATCAGTTGAAATTAGTTTTAGCTTTAGTTACTTTTCTGGAAATTAATGTCACAATGTTAGGTCTGATTTTCTTTTGATAAGAAAAAGAATATTTTTGACCATCGGACAAAATAATAAAAGTATCATCAACGCAGTGTTTCCATTGTTTTGGATTTATATAGGATGTATCGAGCGCATTCTTCTCAAAAGCATCCGTAAATGTATTGTTGACAGGTCGAAGGGGTAATGTTGGTTTACAAATCTTGGGAATTCCACAAAGACTTTTTCAACGATTCAAATAGCTTTAATTACAAATTCTGTCGACAGGACGAGTCTGTAAGAATATCTGGAGTTTTTCCTGATAGTCAGTTGTGTTTATAACTACCGTTGCATTTCCTTTGTTTGCTTTTAGAATTACCATGTCGGGATTAGATCTTACAGATCTGAGTTCAGCCTTTGGAATATTACATTTGGGAAGTTCTGATTTTATTAGCTGCTTGGGAGGCACTTTGTTTAGGACGATATTTGAAATGATTTTCTCTTTTATGATGATACGTGGGGCGTGGACGCACTGGGAACCTTTTTCAAGAACTGATCAAAAAAATCGGTTTGCATATTCGGCCAAATTATAATTCCTGTATGTGATCAATATTTCTACCAAGGAAAAATATGAGAACCCATAGAAATATCTGAACAACGAAACAAAAATATCAATCTGTCCTTAGAGACAAAGTTCACGTCCTCCCTCCGTTACCTCCGCCCCTCAATTAGTATATAAGCAGGAATAGAATAGATTGCAAACCAATGGGCAAGTTATAGTTTTCCGATTTTAATTAGAACATCCTGTATATGAATGAATTTTTTTATTGGAAAAACTTGGCCGATGTATAGGCCCTTAAAATCTTTGTAATGAATTCGGAAGCACCCTAGATTTTGCCCACTACTTAGAAAGGAAAAATACATGCATTGTATCTTATCATTGAGTCCCTAAAACGGTGGAATATGCCTGGATTATTTCTTACGACATCACAAGACACAAGCTTTCTTCGGTCATCGGTATCCTGTATCAGGGTAGTCCAGATTATTTATTTCATATATCCGCATTTAAAATAATCCTAAAGATTTATTTCTGGTGATAGAGGCGGCCAGTGATATAGCCCACCACTTTCTATCCAGCTACGTACATTTAAAACCTTTGCACATTTAGGCTGTTAATTCCGGTAGAAAATATGTAACGGCAAGCTGATATTGACGTCTACATTCTGTTATCCAATGCGGATTATTTTTATATATTATTTTATTTTTATTATTTTTGAACAACAAAAAGAATAATGGGTATTCAGATGGCGAAACCATTGGGAAAAATCATCCTCAGATCGAAAGCCCTTGGTAAAAAAGCGGTAAGAATATAACTGTTGTTCTTTTAAGATCCTCCATAGAGTCGATGCATCCGTATTTAATTCCGCTGCAATTTTTTTCTTACTTGTTTTCGAATGTCCAATAACAATTATTGAAGTAAAACTCTTATTATTCAACAATTGAATGACTAGATTATAAATTGTTGATTAAATCTGAAGGTTTTTCAATCTTGTAACACTTACTTCATTGTTCTATATCTAAAGATTAGAAAATTTCACAAAAACATGGTTCGGGTTAGATTACAAGAAATAATTCCTAAAAAAAAACGCAACTTGGACAATAGGGAAACTGAAATTTTAGTAAAATTTTTAACCTGACTTTATCTTTTGGAAAACAGGTAATTTTAACCCTCTGCAAATACAACGAAATACGTTTTTGTTATTTTATTCGTTTTATTCGATTTTTCTTTTTTAGAGCGTGGCACCCCCAAACAAATTCGGCCACAACACAGACGGATTTGATTTATGGAACTCCACCAACATTGTATTACAGGATTCCACGGTACGCAGTCAAGACGATTGCGTTGCGATCCGCTGCGGTAAGACCTTTTGGTTTTTCTTAGTTTTCAGTTTTTTTTTTGACAACTTAACGAAAATGCAAATGATGGCGGAAATTGTTTGACATAACATCAAAATATGATTTATTTAAATTCGTTTACATTTTAGAAAAAGTGCTTTTGAAATGCTTTTCGTAATCTTTTAACTGATAAAAAAGAATATAAAGGGTAGTCCGTAATGAAGACGCCGAAAAGCAATTGCATATTAAACTTGTCCGTTAATTTAACTCTAACTTTGAAGTTATTACAGTATCTGGCTGAGTCAGATGTCTGATTTTCTTAGCTACTTGCTACCAAATTGAATTGGGGATACAATTTTGTCATTTTTTTGTTATTAATAGATTAAGCTATAAAGCTATTTATTTTAATTAAGTATTCCTGAACAAGTAAAAATTTTCTTCCTTAAAATGGCAACCGCAGTCTTCTACAAGCTGGGCCAAATATGACACGACACGATGGTCGTTAGGTCAATCTATTTTTTAAATAATTTGCATACAAAATAATTTTCAACATGTCAGGAACCGAATTTTTCTTACCACTATTTATAAATCTTCTGAGTCGGTTGTTGCGAATCGCGTTTAAGTTTGTTTGGTTGTATTGAGATTTCTATGGATTTTCGCATTTTTCTTTGGTAAAAGAATTGATAACATGCAAGTTTTATCGAATTAGATTTTACGTCAATTTGCATGATTGTGTTACAGAACTGCTGATGAGTTTATTTGTCGTTGTCTTAACAGTCTTTCATGTTCTTTTAGCCTCGTTGATATTTCTCGATCTAATTCTATATGTATTTAATCAGGAAAAAATCAAGATCTTTGCACATGCGGATTCTCTCGCCTACTTAAAAAAGATCTCTATCTATCTATCTATGGAACACAACTTTAAACTTGTTATTAAGGCACTCTGTTGAAATCCGCGAAAAAGTGAAAAAAAGTCACCCCTCGTGATTCTAAAATGCTTAGACTTTGTGGACTTCCTAACATTGACATTACCCCTTTGGCCAATCATCAACACCACTGGTTCTCCAACATATTCTCTAGCAAAACATCTAGCTTCAACTGCTGATGAGTTTATTTGTCGCTGTCTTAACGGTCTTTCATGTTCTTTTAGCCTAGATCCAGATCTTTTTATATGCAGATCCTATCGCCAACTCTCTGCTAGAATCCGTGAAAAAGTGAAAAAAAGTCACCCCTCCCGATTCTAAAATTCTTCGACTTTTTGGACTTCCTAACATTGACAAACTAAGATTACCCCTTTGACCTCAACACCTTTGGTTCTCCGATATATTCTCTATCAAAAAAACATCTAGCTTCTCCATTAAAAACCTTTACAGGGAAAACTGGCAGTTTGATACTTAATTCCTTTCACTTCACAATTAAAATCCATTACGTTAGATCCAAACGATATTCTGATTAAGTAACTGAAACTCTCAACATTATTTCAGATATAATAATATATTTTTCTTGTAACGGTGTTTCTTCCACCTAACATCAAAATTACGTTGTTGTTGTGCTTTTGTAATTTAGCCTCATGGTCAACAATTTAATCTATGTAGACACTAAGTTTCACTATTGAATTAGAAACTAGTGTTAATCTCCCATTGTTAGATATTCTTATTTACAGAAAATCAGACCTAACATTGGGTTATTCGGTTTACAGCAAACCTACCGAGTCACTGAACCCAAAATTAGAACAGCTTACATCTGCTCATGAAACCATAAATCAAATCTTGTTCGATAAAACTAGAATTCTTGCACGTAATCAATTCTTCTACCAACGCCTGAGGTCTCTACCTGTCACCAATATGGGAGAGGAATCCAGAAGAGGTATCTCAATACTATCAAACAAATATATGGCAGAATGAAAATATTCGTTACAAAAAAAAATTCTAGAAATTCCTGATTGGTATCAGATAATATAGCCAACATCGATAGTCGACAATAAAAAATTTTCAAGTGTCTGACTTGATTGCGGCCCGAATGATTATTTGATTTCGTCACAATGTTTTCGAGATTTTTATTTACGATGGTAAATGACTCAACCAGTTTTGAAAAATACTTGTTTTTTTTTTAATCGTCAGGGTATGCCGGGTTGAGCATAAGCAATATTTTCATACGTAGAGAGTATGGTGAAATAGTAATGTTACCAAACAACGTATGTTTTGCTCTAAAACTCTTTCTATTGGTTGCACAAATAATCTTCTAACTGTCGTTATTTTTGAAGAGTCCAATTTAAATCATTCAAAAAGCCTGTAAGATCGACCAGAAATTTTCATAAAATCTCATTTCTAACCTCGTCAAACCCTTTCCCTTTACTTAACCATCTGAATTTATAATAGTTACGTTGTCATGCTCGACTGATATTTCATCCAAAAACGCCTTGAACTGAAGAAGATTAAGCTCTCGAAATCAAATAAAATCGATTGGTTTTTAGTACCATATTTTGGAGTGGGATCGATTTAGAACGCAAGTTCTTTTGATTGCTTTTGAAATACTATAGAACCATTTTTTGTACATTTTGCGTTTTCATTTGAAATTCCGATAAAACCATTACGCAAGCCAACCATCTGTGCATCCTCCCACTAATTAACTTTTGACACTCATTAAAAATGGTTTCTCATCTAAGGGTTCCTTATTTTGCACCCAACTATGTAAATGATGCCCTTTCCTCAAGAATGCATATTTTCCTTCTTGCTGTTGTTATTTTAAACTGAACTGTGTTCGATACGTAGGAGGACTCCTCTTAATCCTTGTTTGCCTCCCGCCACTAATTCGTCTCCTCCGTTGTTAGCTTGATCATTCTAATCATTCTAATGAACTTTTTTTCTACTCCTAACTCCTTGTGTGTTGTATATAGCTTTTTTTTTATTGTGTTAAAGGCTTGTATATGTGCCCTTCCATTGCTTGGGAAGCACCTCATGCTATTGAAAAACAGGTAATATTGGCAGAATAGAAATCATTAGATGACTGCGGGTTGTCCATTTTAGAAAGAAGAAACACAACGGGTTATGCAAAAATGTACAAGATGACAACCTCGCCTTAATATCAAAAAGAAATGATAAAGTCAATATTGATTCTGGTTTTCAAAGATTTCTTTATTAAAATCTAGAAGTCCGTTGGCCAGGAATCATTTTTTCCAAACTACTTCTCTGTTCTGTCCCATATAAGATCTTCTTGTTAGTAAAGTTTATAAGCTCCTCCTTTTTTATTTATATATTTTTTATTTTATTTATGTTTTTTTCAGGCTCGAATTATTTAGTGGACAACTTTTTTTGCCACGGAGGGCACGGCCTCAGCTTATCGGTGGGCTTTAGCAACGACTCCATTAAACTGAATACCCTCACCAACGTCGTGATTAGAAACAGCGTCCTCGAGTTGGGTGAAAACGCCATTCACATTAAAACCCACGCCGATGGTGGTGAAGGACTGATCAACAACGTCACTTACGAAGATATACAGTTCACAGGTAATTTTATTTTTCACACAGGCCATTCAAACAAACTTTTCAACACACTTTTCCGACGAAGGTTTATGTATGAGAGTCCTATGAAATATTTTTGCTTATCCGACTGGGTATTGCGATTTTTCACCATTTCACCATTAGAGATTAATGGCAGGAAACAGCACAAAGCTTTTTGCCCCCAAAATTAATAATTTTCAAGTCTACTTTGAAAACAAAGCGTTCAAATGGAACTTGACGTCTATTGAGCCTACTTTTTGGTAGGAGCCTGTATTAGAATCAATTGTGTATTTTAAACGTGGAAGGATAATGCTGTGAGATTTTATTAAAATTGGAGTTTCTGCAATTTCTTCCTACTATAGTTCTATCACAAAAAATTATTCAGAATCTGTTCTTTTTCCCGCTACTCATACAACACCAAGCGAGGTTCTGAGATTTTTCAACCAAGATAGATTGCAATATACATTTTCGATTTTGATGTTTTTGTCCCAAATATTAGAGCATTCGAGCTGCCACAGTGTTAACCACTTCCTTTTCTATGACTATTCTTCCAAGAACTTAGATAATTGCTATGTAAATTTTTCAAGCAAACTTCCACAGACTACTGTAATACTATTTACAAATCCTCTAGATTTCTTTTGCGAAGGTTGTTGATTAATCGAAGTTCCTAACTAAAACTGGCTCACATTCTACTCGGTACCTGCATGGACTTTGTCTCGGATAACGAATTCTTATTTTCGTGTAAAGTAAAGACTAGAGTCGCAATTAAGATTATTTTGTTGCTTCTAGATTTTAGAATTTTAGTTTCATTGAATAAAATTAGATGCCCGGGTTTTGTGTTCAGCAACTATTTTTGAGTTTATTTGTTATAGTCTTAAGGCACTTTCATGTTCTTTTTGTCTAATTGATATTTTTGATCCAGCCTCTCCAATGTATTATTTGCTGCCTATCCATGGAATGCCAACTATCTCAAACGGAATTTTGACAGATTTTTGGACAAGTGGTACATCTGGTTAAGACCAGTGGTAGGTGTGGAGTTGCTTCTGGACTCACTGTCATTGGAAGATTGTAGTGAAGTGTATTTGCCCTCCTCTGTAAAAATTTCAAAATTAGAGACGTTAAGCGTTCCATCCCAAAATACACTTCACCACAACCTTCCAAATGTGAAAATGAGTCCGAAAGCAATCCCGCACTTGCCACTGTTGCCCTGCCTTACATGCAAAACATCACTCACCACATGTCAAGAGTTCTTAATTATTATATTCTACGATACAAGCACAACTCGAACCCTTTCAGTTTCTTCGTGGTAGTTTCTGTAAGCGTCCATGCTTCAACTGCGTAAAACAAATCGGAGAACACGTAGGAGCGCAAGAGTCTTGATCTGGGTGCGCAATGATGACGTGTGAACAGGTTCATCTAGTTCATCGCTTACATACTGTTCTTTTGACAGGCTTGACAAAGTACGGAATCAATATTCAACAGAACTACAGAAACCTGCCGGCCAATACGCCGAACGATCCTACCCCCAAAGGAAATATCCCGATCACCAACTTGCACTTTTTGAATGTCGTCGGAACTGTGAACGATACCGCAGTTCCCGTTTACATCAATTGCGCAGAGGGTGCGTGCAGCGATTGGGAATTCGACGACGTTTCCGTCGCCGGGTTAAAAGAAAACGACTGCAATTTTGATCCCGAAGGATTTCAATGTTAAAATGTTAGTGGGCCAATCTGAAAACAAATCAAAAACAAAAGTGCCGCAAAATCAAAAATTAATTCAAAAGAATATCATTTGATTATAGAGATAGTCATGCCATAAAGTTTCGTTTGTGTACGCTGTGTTTTATTTTAACCGGTATTTATTATAATCCTTGAGCATTTATAGTTTGACACCCACCGACAGAGTTTATTAAAAACTTTTTATATATAAATTAAAAATCATAGTGCTAAACATAACCAAAACGCTCTCCGACGTTTGACACCCTCTCGCCATTCCAAAGCCTCTGTCTCTAATCTCCTTATTGATTTCCTCTCTCCAATTTCTCCATGGTCTTCCTCTTTCATCTTAGGTTGTTTTGTTGTTATTCTCTGAAAGCACCAGTTTCGTTGTTTCGTCCTTATTTCATCCACGATACTGGGCCAATTTATAGGTCAGCCGGTACCGCGAATTCTGCCTATATAACCCTAGGCGTTTATATCAAAATACCAAAAAATGGTTAAGTTTGCCATGACACCAAGCAAGCGTCAAGAATCGTTTGTTTTTCTGACAGATTGTGTATCGCTTTGTTAGTGTTATTGGGTTGTTCGGAAAGTCATTTCGTTTTTTTTGGGGAACGTGAAAGACAGTTTTCGTATAATGAATAAATATTTTATTAAATTATATATTGGCTATTCTGGTCCAACACCTTTTGCCATCTTTCTGGCAGTAACATAATTCCCCTCTCATAAAAGTTTTGGTCCTTGCTGGCAAAAAACTGGTTCAGGTGGTTTTTGACATCTTCATTTGAGGTAAAGGTTTTGCCATCCACAAAATTTTGCAGGGACCGGAACAAATAGTAGTCGGAAGGCGCCAGATCTGGAGAATATGGTGGGTATTGCGGTACGTCCCATTCAAGCTGTAAAAGTTTTTGGCGAGTGACCAAACTTGTGTGAGGTCTCGCATTATCCTGGTGGAACACTACACCCTTCCTGTTGATTAATTCGGGCCTCTTCTCTTTAAGTGAATCATTCAATTTGTCCAGTTGATGACAATAGACTTCTGAATTAATCGTTGTATTGTCCGGCAAAAGCTCAAAAAAAACTATTCCTTTGACATCCCACCAAACGGAGAGCATCACCTTTTTTTGGTGAATGTTGGCTTTTGACACGCTTTGAGCCGGTTCATCTTTTCCGCTCCATGACCTCTTGCGTTTAACATTGTTGTATACAACCCATTTTTCGTCCCCAGTAATAATCCGCTTCAAAAATGGATCATTTTCTTGACGTTTGAGGAGCGAATCACACACGTCAACGCGACGACACAAATTTCGCTCCGTAAGGACATGGGGCACCCACACATCGAGCTTCGAGGTTAAGCCCATGCCTTTCAAATGGCCATAAACAGTCGAATTCGACAAATTTAATCTCTCACCGATCTCTCGTGTGGTTATTCGCCGATTTGCGATAATGCCTTTATCGCATCTTTGTCAGCTTCGACCGGCCTTCCAGACCGTGGTGCATCTTCGACATCAAAATTACCGGATCGAAATTTTGCAAACCAGTTCTGGCACTGGCGTACTGTTAACACGCCTTCTCCATACACATCCGTCAATTTCTTTGTCGCTTGGACAGCATTTTTACCTTTTCTGAAGTAAAAAAGTAAAATATGACGAAAATGCTGCTTATTGCTCTCCATATTTAAAAGGGCACCAACCAAAAACTACTGCGTAGAATTAATAGAACTTTTTCACACACAAGCCTTGCAATATCAGCTCTCAAGACATATAATGGTTATGCGGCTTAAGTGTGAAGTTGGTTTCGAAAAAACGTAATTAAGTCCTCTGACGGGAAAAAACGAAATGACTTTCCGAACAACCTTATAATTAATGCTAATTTTGATTGTTTTTTTTTTAATTATGATATCATGTTTGCCTTTTTTTTTTGCTTTTCATAAAATGTTTGTAAACCTTTAGTATATTGCCAGGTCTTATCAAGCTATTCACGCAAGCAAGTTAAAAACATAAAATTTTGCCATATTTTGCAATGATTCTTTTATTTGTCATTTACAGAGTGTTCCGAAATTAGACGTCAATATTTTAACCACGTATTCTGTGGGCGAAAATAAAGATAAAAGTTCATATAAACTAGGATCCAAAACGTCATAGTTTTTAACATACAGGATGTTAAATTTGAAGAGGTGGAGGCGATTTTTTGTAAATATAAACTTTTTAGGCTTTATGTAATGAACTAAAACTTAGTATTGGATTGTCTTCATGGGTGGGTAACGCAGGGGAGGCGCGGGAAAAATTTGCCCCAATTTTTTGTTTGTCGAATTTTCGTAATTTCAACTTCTTCTAGAAACATGCTTTTGAAACTTTAATTAGAAATTATTTTTTTTATTTTAGTGTTTACAATCGAGGTGCAGATAATCTTTAGTAAGTTAATGACGCTTTTGATTTGTTTGTGTTGCTCGGCAAATAAAAATTAAATGTCAATTATTCGACAGCTTTCAATTTTTGTGCATTGCTGAAATAGTTTTTACTTGGATTGTTCTTATAAATACTTTTATTAACGAAAGATAAATCAAACTATCAACTGTAAAGCTAATTATTCTAAAAAAAATTATGAACTATGCATTTTAAAGGAGGTTCATTGTTGATGAAAAATAATTTGGGGCCAATTTTTCCCACGCCTCCCCTATGTTACCCACCCCTGAAGACAATCCAATATTAGTAGATTATTTAAAGGAAAAGACTGTAATTGGAAGAAAAATCAACCAATGATAGAGCTTTCGAGAGGATTAACTTTTTACATTGGTCTTAGCAAGATATTAATATAAAAAGAAAAAAAATCATGTATTTAAATTGTCTGGTATATTGCATAACATTTTTCTGTGTATAAGTTTTTGGGTACATTTTTGAAAAACAACACGTCGACGTTTGTCAGAATTGACAAACGTCAGAATTCAAGAGGTAGTAAATATCTCCGGAAACATCCGATTGCGCCGAAACCCGTGGTAAAAGGACGCTTTCCGCATCGGTGTGTAATTGGGTATTTTATAGACCCTCTCTTATCAGAAATTAAATTTGAGAATATACAAAGAGATATGATGGTGTGTGTGTGGGTAGCGCCATATACAAATCTGATTACTCCATCTTATTTCTCATCCACGAAAACCCCCACATGCGACATTTTGTGCCTATATTTTTAAAATTTTGACGTAAAAATAAAATTGCATTTATAACCCTGTATCCTCATAAGTATAGACTTTAAGAACTAAACTTATATCTTGGTATTTTATGGTATTTTTACCATTAATTCTTAACCCATTTTGTAAACCATAGAAACCTGTACAGCTTTCCAATTTGGCTCGATAAATTATTTAACATGAAATTCTTTATTACTACAACCCAGATCATGAATATCCACAACGACGCTCTTCTCGTCGGACCTACTGGACCCCGCACCTTTCCCAAAGTCTTCCACCTGCAGCTCGATATCTATCAGGGATTCGCTTTGCCCGACTTCAATGTTTCGGAAATTCGGAGTGTTGTTTGGTACAGCGGCCGGTTCCTCGTCTCCTCTTTGCCTGATCGAGATCAGGCTCGATGGAATGTAGCGCACTACGCACGCTCTTTGCCACCAGTTATACCAAGTACGCGCGTGAAGTCTGATTACCGAATAAGCCCACAAGTAGTACCCCACCAGCACTATACCGATCATGAGTAGGAGGGACATCGACGTCCATCTAGCTGCAGGAACTGTAGAAAACTTTTGTTGGGAGTAATATTCGGACGAATAGAGGCAAACGTAAGTTATCACAATCGCTAACGGAGTGATCACGCTGCAAGTCGCGATATCACCCCTGACGCCGTGCCCTTGGTACCCCGAGGAGCTCCTCAGCCAGTGCCAAATCGAACAGCCCGAAGTGTATTTGATAGTTCTCTCCGTCGTATATATCTGATGGCAGAGTTCGCACGTCGAAGTGCCCGATTCGCTTAACCAAGTTTCGAGACACGAACGATGGACGAATGCCATAGTGCCCTGCGAACAATCCATGGCTCACAACAATTCGTTTGTGATACACTTTTCCGACACACAAACATGTTTTAGAGATAACTTGTTTCACCACTTAATAGATACTTTCGTATTTTTCCTAGAATATTAAAAACATATCGGTTAGCGAAATCTGTAAACTAACCAAAGAATCTTAACAGCGGTTCGATAGAACTAAAACTCCCCTTATAATAGTAGTAATAATTAATAAATAAATAAATAAATAATCGTTTATTGGCCACTTATAAATACAAAAACGTATTTTTGAAGTCGGGAAGAGTACAAACAAGATAAATAAATATATTATATATGAACAGTTAAACCAGTGTAACCAGAAAATAAAACTTTGCAAGGGGTGTTTTTTTTTAGATGTATAGAACTTTAAGTTGCAATAAAACAACGATAGATCATTCGATCAACATGAATTTTATTTATCCGAAAGATAATCTTGGGGCATTACATTTTAAATATTATTTAATATACTTTATCTACAACCATTTAATAATAGACGCATAATACTTCTGACAGTGAGAGTATTATGCTACGCATAATACAACAAGTGTAATTATATCATAAAAAAACAAGTGTAATTATATCATAAAACAACAAGTGTAATAAAATATTCTGGAATTCTTAATAATCCGGGCTTCAATTAATCGGCGCAGAATTCACACATTTCATTTATTATTTTTATGAAAATTTACTATAAAGTTACCCATATTAAAGTCATACACACGTTACCAATTCAATTCTATTATTCAAAAACAGTTCAAAAAATACAAACCAATATGACAATAATTAAAAAGAATTAGTAGGCCGTGCAGGCTAAATCTGACAGCGCGCAGCGGGTATCCATAGCGACAGCTTACCCGACGCGACGCTCATCGTGAATACAAACATTTTCTTTCATGAAATAATAATTGTAAAGTAAATAATATTCATATAGAGAAGCTTTAAAATTTCGCCTTGCAATTAAAACATAAGATTTAATAAAAATGGATTCTGAAAACGAAGTACTAACACCCCCGGAAATTCGAGCGGCAGCGGAAGCTGCGTCTCTGGATTTACTTCCCAAGAAATCAAGAAACAATTATGAAATTGCCTACAACAATTTCATGGATTGGCGATCAAGAAACAAGGCCACCTCCTTCTCTGAAGATACATTATTAGTGTATTTCAAAGAATTGGCTAAAAAGTATAAGTCGTCCTCCTTGTGGACGTTTTATTCCATGCTGAAAAGCACACTTTATATTAAACACAATGTCAAGATCGACCACTACGCGAAGCTACATGCTTTATTAAAAAGACAATCAGAAGGCTATCAACCCAAAAAATCTAAGGCATTTACCGGACAGGAAATAAATAAATTTATTTATGAAGCTCCTGATACAAAATATTTGGCTACAAAGGTAAGGAATGATAAGACGTTACATACCTACGGTATTTACCAAGAGGTGTTAATTTTTTAGATTGCATTAATTATGGGAGTGATGGGTGCATGCCGCTCAAATGAACTACATGCAATGAAAATACAACACGTTACATTTTATGAAGGTTGCACTAGAGTAATAGTTCCCGTTACGAAGACCAAGATCCCTAGGAATTTTACTATTACTGAGAAGTTCCATGATATTGTTAAAAAATATGCAAATCTGAGACTGCCAAATGCATCAGATTCTTTTTTTATGAATTTTCAAAATGGAAAATGCACAAAACAAGTTATCGGCATTAACAAGTTTGCCAAAATGGGCAGAGAAATTGCAAGTTTCTTACAAATCAAAAACCCAGAAAGATATACCGGGCACTGTCTACGACGATCTTCAGCCACATTGTATGTCGACGCAGGGGCAAGTATGACAGCTCTGAAGCGCCACGGAGGCTGGAAGTCGGCTTCTGTAGCTGAAGGCTATATTGCAGACTCGCAGAAGAACAAGACCGATGCAGCTACTAAAATATTAAGTCAAATCAACCCTAATTGTAATATTAATAACAGTACTTTTGTTTCTACCCCCTCACAATATCCAGGTATGTCTACTATTACGAGCGAATCTTCTCATAACACTTTTTCGATTAGTAAAGACACCACGGACATTAGTATTGGTACTACACCAACTACGATGAATTTCAATAACTGCCCTAATATAACAATCAATTTTATGAAATAGACAGAGTAATACATAATGATCCTATTAAGCGTCAATTTAAAAATAATTGTGTGCTGAAGTGTAAATGTTAATTAAATATTATTAAACTTATTAAATGTTCAATCCAGGACTTTCATTGAATTTATTCCTTATTACATCACAACTCATAACACATAAACATATAACATAAACAGCATACATAAACAGTAACCAGTGTTGATATTGAGTGAATGGTAGAATCTAAAAATGTATGATATTATGTTCCATTTCATATAAAGCAAGTTAACATCCACTTCCGGCCTAACCGGAAGTGCCACCATCTTGAGAATATTCTAGCTGAATTGCTCTGCCATCAGCATTAGCTTCCTACCGAATTTTCAGGTTTCTCCCATGTATAGTTTTTTTTCACAATAAAATGACAAATTTCAATTCCGGTGAGGTACCCTATATAAGTGGATGGTTGTAGATAAAGTATAGTATTTGACTCGAGTATTATGGACCATAATAAACTCAGATGATTATAACACTCGCCGCAAGCGGCTCGTTTTATAAATCATCCTCGTTTATTATGGCCTTCATAATACGCTCGTTAAATAATATACTATTTTCCAACATATGTGGTCGTATATCGGCAATAACACGGCGAATGTTGTCTTTCAAATGGTCAAGCGTTTGTGGCTTATCCGCATAGACCCACAGAAAGTAGTCTAGCGATGTTAAATCACAAGATCTTCGAGGCCAATTCACAGGTCCAAAACGTGAAATTAGGCGGTCACCAAACATGTCTTTCAATAAATTGATTGTGGCACGAGCTGTGTGACATGTTGCGCCGTCTTGTTGAAACCACATCCTCCATGAAAGAGTTAGTAATCCTAGCTGTACACCGATCACCATTGACTGTAACGTTCTGGCCAGAAGTACGGACCAATGATTCCACCAGCCCATAAAGCGCACCAAAAAGTCAGTTTTTCTGGATGTAACCGTGTTTCGACATACACTTGAGAATTAGCGTCGCTCCAAATGCGGCAGTTTTGTTTGTTGACGTAGCTATTCAACCAGAAGTGCGCTTCATCGCTAAATAAAATTCGCTTATGAAAATCGGGAACAACGGCAATCTCGTTTTGGGCCCATTCGACGAATCTACGCCTTACTTGATGATCGTTTGGCTTCAATTCTTGCACGAGTTGGATTTTGTAAGCACGTAAACCAAGATCCTTAAGTGGATGGACACAGATCCAAATCCTGTCCTCGATGGCGGATGGACTCATTCGGGTCTTCCTCAATGCCACGCTCTACAGCAGCAATAGCTTCTTCTGTACGCACCGTACGGCGTTTCTGGGGATGCGAGTTATCAATAAGAGTAAACGTGGTGCGAAAACGTTCCATGGTTAATCGAATTAACTGCTCTGATGGACGATTTTGTCGACGATAAAATGGACGTAGTGCGCGATACGTATTCCGCACAGAACCATTATTTTCGAAATAAAATTGCAGTATTTGCAAGCGTTGTTCAGGCGTGAGTCTATTCATGATGAATTGCCAAACCAAACTGAGAATAAATCACTTGACAGCTCTTAAATCGGTCGCCATCTTGAACTCTAATGCCAACTTAAAGTTCTATACATCGAAAAAAAACACCCATTATACACAGGTACACTCTAAGAATAATTAATTTATAAAATAAACTAGATCTACTGGACCGGATGTGTAACAAAAAAAATAAAAACAATGTTCTTCAAAAAACTTTTTGATATTGTTTAAATTTTTTAATGAAAAGTCGTTTAACATCAATATTTTTGGACTGAAAAAGAGTTTTTGCAAAAACATTACACAAATCTAGATTAAGTTTATTTTTTGTGTAGTACAGAACCTCGATCTTAATGTTATGATATTGTCAGCTGTTCGAGTCATGTAGCTATGATGGTCAGCATGAGTCGGAAAGGCAGACAAATTTGAGTGGATTCCAACTAAAGATTGGAGAACAAACATACATGGTAACGGCAGAACACCCCCCAGAACCCGAGTCGCAGACTTCTGCAATCTAAAGGCTCCATCGCGTTCCCCCACAATAGTAGCCCATATGATAAGACACTGTGAAACAATGCAAAATAAACTATCCAATTTACCGCACAATTAATCTATATCAGACTACATTTCCGGACTTCTTTAATAAGAACTCCGAGGTCCCCAATTCGGGAACGAATAGTGTTTAAAAAATTTTACTAATGTCTCATCACAGAACACCTAATAACCTGGTAAATTTAAACTGTAATATTATTATTACTGCATCTGCAGAATTTGCTGTAGAGATTTTTTCCGTTTTTTTTTGTTTTTCTCATGCATTTGTTATGACCATGCTTTAAAAATTCGTTATACTATTACTGAAATAAAAGTCGTTTACTATATTTATTATTATTTCTATCTCCGCCTTTACATCCCTTTTGATATCCTCATGGAAATCGACAAGCAATCAAACAATCTTAACATTGACTCAGATCTTTACCTTTCGCCAATAGGAATCAGTCCTCTGAGATAATGTTCATGCCCCTCCTTTAACTCCGCCCCCATCAAACAATATATAAGCCGGTACGGAGTAAAATGCGATGCAGTTTTAGTTAAGCACTGTATAATCTACCGGCTCGACTTAAAATTAATTTTTAATGGGTGTGTCAGAAAGTGTACCATACCACTTACCTCGGGAACTCCAAATAAAAATACTCGAAACAGGGCATAGATACTTTGCAGTGGCAAGGCGCTATCAGTTGTTCTTCTTTGTCGCTATCGTAGCAGATTCGGCATGTTACGGATGCTATCGACAATTTGGTAGCTAGCGTTTGAATGTCACTCTTTCCAACGCCCATATTTTCAATTTTTCATTAGCACATTTCGAATTTCGACGTTGAATGATTGACATACGTTAAAAATGTCAAATGCAAAGCTAAACAATTAGGTAGAAAATGTACATCACAGGATACAAGGATATCAATAATAAATCATATTTATATGCATTTTTTCAAGAAACTTCTAACGTTCGTTTCCAATCAACGAATAACATCAACAACCACAACCAAAAACTTATTTTTTTTACTTTATTTGTAGCAACATACATCTAAGCAGTTATTGCTATACAAGAGATTCATTACATAATTTCGCAAAAACAGAATGAAAAAAATAATAATATTTTATTATAGTCATAAATATTGTTATTATAATGTTGGCTATGACTCGCCTATCAAAAACAAAAAAGCAAATGTGTTACGAGACTGTCAATTTTTAATTATATTTTTATTACCTATTCATTTGTCCTTTCTATGTTTATTTCACTTTTAATTATTTTTCTATTATCATGGCAGTTTTTGAAAATTCTGAAAAATATGATATGTTGGTATATTTTATACAAGGCAACGAAAATGCCGAAGAAGTTTCGAAATTATAGTACCACAGAAAATAGAAACAAAAGGTTACATAAAAGCAACGCCGTCATGGTCTTGCAAAAAAAAAATCGACTGCCCAAAGAATTTTAAAAAAAAATAAAAATGTTAATATTCTTTTGATATAATTTCGTATTAGTTAATGTACTTCATGGACTATAATAAGTTAAAAATTTTGAAGTATTGAGTTCCTTGTAAGTTAATAATTTTTTACTGAATATTGTTTTGGTTAGGTTGGTTACGCCAGTGGATTCTACAGAAAAATCCTATAAGAACTTAAAATATAACGTAGATACCAGGGTGGTCCTAAAATCGGTAGTTTTGGATTTTACCCCCTAACTCAAAAACAAAGAGGGTCATGAGAATTTTGTTGACGGCATCTTCAATGTCACAAAAAAGTAGCACTCCATAAAAGTGCCCAAAATGTGATACCCGGTAAATTATTTCGGAAAATCGAAATTTTTCTATGAAAACTGGATTATTTTGGCATAATTCATTTTTCAGGTGTTTCATGTTAAATAATTCATATCCCGTTTGACAGTTCAATAAAATTTACTCATCATTGATTGTGATGTAAATTTTGATGCGGAGACTAATGCCGTTTTAATGAATTTGTTTGGTCAATTATTATTAGAACATGCAGAAAATTTAATGAAATGAAGCGTGATTTACAACACATGAACCAGCAAAAATTTTCCGGAATTTAGGAAAGCTCTGCAAACCATTTTACGAAACACATTTTAAGAACTATATAAACTAACAAAATATTAGGTGTGTAAAATGAAAGTTGCACCCAGAAAAATGAATTCAATTTTTACATGAGGTTAATTAAATTAAATTAAAAATAAAAAAAATAAAAATTAAATTAAATTTCCTTTTAAATCCAATTTCTTTTGTTTCATGGGGAATGTCAACAGATGCAAAGTTCAGTCCTACGATCGAAAATACCACCAAAGTAGTCCAGTTTTCAGAGACAGCATTTATTTCAGAAATCAAACGATTCTGGGTAAATGTACCTGATACATCATGCGAAAGGGAATTTGATTTGCTCTTAGCTTATAAGATAATATACTGGGAGTTCCATTTAAAAAAATGCGCTATTGACCATTTTTGAATCTGGTAGGCAAATCATTAGTTTTGACCAACCCTGTATAATGTAGAACTAATTTCGATATTAAGGAATTCTATTTGATACTTCGCTAGGTTATAAGAACATAAATATTTTCTGGAATATCGCTATGAAAATATATTATTAAAAAATAAATAAAGTATTATCAGATAAAATTTCAATGTTGACGCTACTTTTTCGAAGAAGCGGCAACGTTGCAATATACCGTTCGCCATAAGCGTAAACGTAAAGTTACCATCAACCGTGAAACACCCCGTATCAAAACCGCACATCCTAAAAATATATTTCTTTATATATGAAAGTATTTTATTTTATTTTTGAATTCTAAACTATTACTATACTACAAAATATTTCGATTTGTCAAATAAACTGAGGGTTTTCGAGGACCAAAAATTAGATGGTGTAATCAGTTTTGCGACAACTCTTAGATGTCACCACCTGCACCCACTTTTTTGCAAAAATACCATCATATTTTTTTGCACTCGTATATTCTCAAATGTAATTTCTGATATGACAGTGACTTTCTGATATTTCCTAATTATTAGAAGTTGAGGATGATAGGTTTTATTTAAATGGTACCCTAAATAAAGAACACTGTAGGTTAGAGTACAAAAAATTAGCGATGGAAGAAAGACAATCATGCAACATATTTTTTTTTTTTTGGGCATATTGTCAAGAAGTTAATGGTGGGCATATTTAATGCATTTTTAACACTTTGAAAATTGAATCTATGGTAATAAGAAATAGCTGTAATAAGATATAAGTATATATAAGTTAATTTTGACGCAGAATTCGAAAATGAATAAAAAAAGTGTTTTTGGTTCACCCTGTATATTTTATATTTACTGCAATAAATGCGTAAGAAATATTTATGATGGATAGATTCACTGTAAGTCTTACCGTTCCTGGCGTATTTTGAATTTTATGTCAAAATGAGGTTTTTAAGGTCTAAATATATATCTCGATTTTGGCGACTGAAAGCCTTTGTTATATGTTTAGGGTTAATGTTTTTATAGAACGAGATCTACTTTCGTGGTATGCATTGTTGATATTTAATGTGTGTGACCAAAAACTATCATGAAAAATTTGAATTAAAATTTGGCATGTGAAACGTTGGTGACTTTGTATAAAGTTTTTTATTTCTAAGAGAAGTAGTTTCCGAAATATTAGGAACGAAAAGGTTTTTCCGGAGCATAATATGAAGGGTAGTTAAATTAGAAAGAAATGACTCTTTTCAAGTTTTTTATTTAAGTTCTAAAAATATGTCGAGTTTTTAAATATGTACCGCCGTATTCAAAAATGTTTTCATATCTAGGGTATTCTAATTAAAATTGAAAATTTTTATCTTGTCAGAATCGAAAACTTTTCCTGGAGAAGGGACAATCGTTTCATACTTTTGCAAAATTAAGCCACACCCCTCCCTTAGGTGTTGGCACAAAAGTAGCAAGATCGTGTTCCAAAGGAGTCAGAGTCTTCGTATTGAGCGTCACTCTGAAGTTCCTAATGATCGCTGCGATGCCGACCTTGTCTTGCAGCATTCCAAATCTCAGTCCTGCAAGCAATATAGGTCATTAGCAATACATGCGCATTCCACATATTACGCAAAAGGAAAAGAATAGACTAGCCATCCTACACCCTTTTTCCAAGCAAATGAGAAAAATTTGATTATATTTTTTATCTTAACTCTTTCAAATATCCCCCGATTTTATTCCGGTTCTCGAGGACGTTATCTCAGAGAACGATGGCAAAGTTCAATGTAAACAAACTAAAGAAACAAGTCAGGGTCACAGGAAGAGCGTAAACAAGCTATACAATCAATTACAGACAGTTGCACCTTGCAGACAGGGCTAGAAGACACGAGGTTAGGAACTTGACATTGACAGGGGACTGGCAGGAAACTTTGCGAAGCAATTTTGCGGTAAGTTGATGTTAAGATCGGGCTTTGAAAGCAAAGGGAAGGCTACAGTCTAGCAAGCAGGAGACCCTAGAGTCAACAGGAAAAATTAAGTCGGAAGGGAAGTATGTCTCGGAATTCAGGTTAAAAATATTAAAAGGACTGCGAAGGGCGGGAGGCACAGAAAAGCCCGACATGCTAAGAGCGGCACCATCCAGAAAAATGAGAATGAGAATGAGAAAAATGAGGATAACTGGGTATGGGCGCAAACGTAGATCAGTTATGCAGCGTTTTTCATACCTACGATTTAAAAACGTTCGCACATGTCTCTTCTAGTTAACCGGGCCACATTATCCATCAAAAGACGTAATTCTTACAGTAGGAAACGAAAATGGCACTTAGCAGTTAGTTTTTTTTATTTTATTTACGACGCTCCAACATATAAATAGACTCAAAGGTTTGTCGATACACTTTTCATTAACAAATCAGCTAAAGTATTCTTAACTCGTATCAAAGTAGCGTGGTACTATGCCAGCGATTGATTATTAAATTATCAAATTTCCTCCCAATATTGGGAATATATAGAATCTACACACGACTGTTGTGAAGGTTTTGAAATTTCGATTTCGCCCTTTCCTGTCACTTTAAATTTAGATAGATAAATATAAACAAGATAGGTTCTCTACAATTTAGAAATAACAAAATACAGAAACTGATGGAATTGTTGTGTAGAACTTCTTAATGTTAACTGTTATTTACCAATGCACTGCCGAGGTCCTTCTCCAAAAGGCAAGAAAGCCATGGCGGGTCGCTTCGCTTTATTCTCCTCGGAAAACCGATCTGGGTCGTATTTTTCCGGGTCAGGGAAATACTCCTCCTCCTCGTAGAAGCCGGACATGGGAATCCAAACAGATACTCCCTTTTCAATTACCAGGTCCGTTCCGCGTACTCTATAGTCCGATTCCGCTTTCCTCACGAGAAAATTTGTCGCTTTGTGTCTTCTCATGCCTTCTACGCGCCAAAGAAATGGGATGAACAACCAAAAGCTCCAAAGTGATCTTACCATAGACAGCGTTTTCAAGATAAGTCATCTTTTGGATAGCGTCGTAGCTCATTTTTCCATCATGTTCTTCCAACACTCGGTTTATTTCCGATCTCAACGTGTCCTGAACATCTTGGTTCACGGCGAGTTCATACAACGTGAAAGTCGATACGGAAGAAGACGTTTCAAACCCACCAGCGTAAAAGACCAAGCTGTTGGCTATCACTTCAGTGAGTGTGAACGCGTCCTCGCAATTTTTCTGATACTTGCCGTCGTCGTCGCCTACACTGCCTTTAGAAATAGCTGGTATTTTTTTTGTAATATTGGTTGTCTTTAAATTAAAATAATAACGAATTGATCAAAGAAAGCTCCACAGGCTATCGTAATACTATTTACAAAACTTCTGGATTCGAATCAGTTGTTTGTGAATCGAACTTGCTTTTTTAGGTGGGAGACGTCTAACCAAACGTCAACACTAGTGAAACTATAACTCTTCTCAACTACAAAACACTGTGATGAATTTATCATCGTACCAACTTTCTGACCCTCAAAAACAGTTGTTGCAGAAGGTTCCAAATTGTCCTTGTCCCACGTATTATCCCATCCCATCCCTTCTTTACTATATATTAAAATCCAAGGATCTGGAACCAATCCTTCTCATCTTAATTGAAAAATGCTAGTCGGCAACATATATTTTTTAAAGGTCAAATTTTTGAACAAACGTCGGGAACAGCTATAGCAAAAAAAACATCGCGATCAGTTTCAGTCAAGCTCTGAAGAAGCCAACAGGACCATTGGCGAAACGTCGGCAAAAATCGACGCAGAAGGAATCCAGAAGTTTTGTAAAAACTATTACAGTAGCCTGTGGAAGTTACACGTTTTTTTATGAAACTTGTGTTTCCTGTCAATTAAAATTAAAAAAATCATTTATCTGCGAAAGCCCTCTACTCGCCTTGATTTTTCAGCTGGATCATCATTTGCAAAAAATCCTTTTTGACCACTCGATTTTTCTCTCGATACTGCACGTTCTCTTGGATGACGTCCCAGAAGAAATCTATCGCCTCCTTGTTGTTGAGCCTCAAACCGAACAGCGTGACGACGAAAGGGGGCAGTTTTGGCACAAACAGCCTCTTCATCGTAGTCCACACCGATCTCTCAAATAACTTATCTCCGTATTTCCTGAACTCAGAGTCGGAAACCCGCATGGTGTTGCAATCGATCCCGAAGGCGACTGTCCCGAGGATATCGCTCGTGAAACGGGCAAAGGCGTCCTTCATTTCAACCGGTTCGTTAGATTCGACGTAGGGAGTCAGCATTTCGATCAGTTCTGAAGATCGAACGGCGATCGTCTCAAACATTAGTTTCATTTTCCCTAAAACGATGATGATTTCACAAATACGAGTGACAAGACACATCGTGATTCCTCTTTTCTCTAAAATTCGTGTGTGTGGAAGTTCCTTTTAAAGAATAATATCTTTATTCCTTAAAAAACCGTAAAAGATAGGTTTGGAAATACGTATAATGATTTTGTAGATTATTGTAGTGCTAGTCAACAGAATTTAAAAACATGCATTTAAAAAAAAAGACTTTTCATTATTACTATATGTCCTTGAAAAGTGTATAAAATTATCACCAGCTATAGCCTGTAAAAATATTAAAAAGTATTAAGAGAAGTTTAAAAATATATATATTTTTTTAAATGGAAATTGTCCAAATTTTTATGTCGAATTCTAAAACATAATTCGAAATGTCCATGTTGCCGCTCATTTCGGGTAAATCCGGCACCATTGCAAAAGCGAAAATATTTTTAAATTTTATGGCCGTGCACCAAGTTTCACGGCAATATCTTTTTTGACTGACATAAGTCAACAGTAAAACTAAATCTTATCGTTCAAAAATAATGGATACCTGAAGTAAAAGCTGGCGTCAGCTTTTTCCGAAAACGCTTCCACCTTTCTCCCTTGACGTTAACGATATGGCCGGCGTGTTTTTCCACTTTCTCGTTACAGAACGCGCCCCGATCGTTGAAGTAATTGAAGTCCTGAATCAGAATCAGTTTCATCAACTCCAAATCTCGAACGACCAAAATGGGCTCGTAAAAATTATACATTCCCATATACTTAAGGTCTGAAAATAAAATTGGACTGAGGTGGTTTTCGCATGATGAAAATCCATTTATCACAATAAATAAGAACTGAAAGTTCAAATTTTCACACTATTTAGTGAGAAAGACAAATATTTTTTAACAATTATGAATCCACAACCGCCGAAATTATATTATTTGGTTAAATTACATAAACAAGATATGCCCATTAGACCAGTGTCTTATGTAACAGCTCCAGCAGTTAAATTCTCAACAAAATTAGTAAATATTTTATTTCCACACAGATTTTAAACCGAAATTTAAAATCAAAGATATCAAAATCGCTTCTTTAGCAACACTGCTGTCTTTTGGATGTACAAAACTTGATTCCCAGTATTGCTCCTATGGATGTGATAGATTTAGTAGACATCACCCTAACTCGGAAACAGGTTAACTCTTTGGTGAAACAAGATTTATTAGATTGCTTAACAGTATCTTTAGACCAAAATTATTTTGGATTTAATGGACAGATTTACATGTCTAAAGAAGGTTTGATTATGGGAAACCCACCTTGTCCTTTGTTAGCCGAGATTTTTATGGATAATTTGGAAAATATCATACTAGGACATCCTTTAAGTAAAAGTTTTCTATGGCGGTATAGATACGTGGATGATGTCCTTGCTTGCTTTGTTGGAACGGAAAACCAATTGAATTCTTTTTTAAATTACATTAAATCATTACGTAATCGTATAAAATTCACTATCGAGATTAAACAGGATAACTCAATTAATTTTTATTAATTAATTGCATTTCACTCTTTTATACACAGACTTCTTAATATGCCAGTCTCAACAGAAAATTACAACAAGGAACTTCTCAATTCTCGGCGGTCATTCCAGTCACCTAGTCTCAAATTTCAAATTGGCGCTCTTGGATATCTTCTACAATTATTCTCTCTACTTTCATGATCTCTCTTACTCTTTCGTTGGTGATACTATCGCGTCTATATATTCCAGCTGGTCTTCTCCAAAAGTCCATTTCGATGGTATTTAATTTTTTTTCTGTTGTTTTATTTAGTATATCCGTATAATAGGACATTTTTAAAGACGGTATTATATAATTGGTTATATTTAACATAAAACATAGTTTAAAGCTCCAATAATTTGTTTTCCTTTTATAAGCCTATTTTCTATCTCTCTCACAGTCCGTCCGCTATATCCGTCACTGTTCAAAAGTATGCATATTTTTCGCATGCCTCGATTTTGTTGCCGTTTTCTAGGTCTAGTTCCTGGTGTACTCCACCGATGTTACGATATTTTGTCTTCTTTAAGTTCACTGACAAAGAACTTAATATCACTAAACAAATTGCACTGAACAACGGCTACAATCCGTCCGTTATAGATAAAATTGTAAATAAAAAACAAATCCAGACAACAGTAAACAGTAAAAAAGTTTCAAAATATTTGTCAAAATGTGGTTTAAAAATAGCTTTCAGAACTAACAACACAATAGGAAAATTTTTAAAAAACATTAAAAAGGTATGTCCAAAATTTCAAAAATCAGGTGTCTACAGGTTGAAATGCGGGTCTTGTCCTAAAATTTATATTGTACAAACAGGTAGATCCATCAAGAAATGCATTAACGAACATAAAAAGCGTGTAAAAACAATAGATTCTAATTATTAAACACAGGAAAACACATTTCTGACGACAATTTTGATATTTTACATACAGCCACAAAAGTAGAAAATTAAATTTATCGGAAACCCTTGAGATTAACAAAATGAGACATTCAAATGTATTGCTTAACGATCAATTAGATTTAAATACCTCTCCTTTATTGAACTTAAATTCTCACAACGTTTGTAAATATTACATTTGATAAAGACACGGCGTTGTCGAAGCAATTGTGAAAATCTGAACTTTTAGTTCTTATTTATTTTAGTCTGAAAATAAATTTTTTAAATAATTTTTGAGAATTCCCGATAATAAAATATAGCGTCCGGGATTCCCAACTAAGTAAAAAAAACATTGCTTTGTAAACACGTCTTAAAGAAAGACCTTTTATAGTGTAATTGCTTGTATTGTATGCAGTTATTTCATGAGGTTAGTGAGCACTGTGGAGTTAAATTTCTTTTTAAAATGCTGCCTTTGGAAATTTAGAGGTAAAATTACACTCCTATTTATAAAACAACACTACTCTTGTTTTAAAGTAAAAACTGGTGATCCAGGTGATATTTGGAGTGTTTCTCAGCAACCAGAGTTATTTTCACATTCAAAACTTAACGACTTATGTTTATCCAGGGAAATTTACGAAATTTTCGCATCCAGACTTCGGAATATTAATTTACTCGGACAAGACGTTGAAATTCCATATTTCAAGGAAAGTGACAAAGATTTTTTAGGCTATTTTGAACAAAGTCTTCTATCTAATAAACTTGATACAGGCTACAATTCTACGGACTGGAGACTTTGCTCATCCAAGAGAAGCCTTAAAGCTGTTCTTTTGCACTATACCTGTTGCTGCTTCTGTGCAAATGAAAGAATGCTACGAAAATATGGAGAAAATCACAAACACAAAGACTTTAGTATGATGATTTGTGGTGACTTAAATATTGTGGAACTTCTGCTACGTCAGCAGTCAGGATATGCGAAGGACCCCGGTTTTTTTTGTCTAAGTGGGACAGTAGAAACAGACAGCAACATTGGGTGAAAAAGAACTGGCCAAAACGGGATCAAAAAATATTCTTTACGATAATCAAATTCATCACATCCACGAAAAATTCTCTTACCACTGATGGTGGATGACTGATGCAACAGTAAGTTAAAGCTTTCAATAATAATGCAGCATGTTGTAAGTAACTATGTGGAAAATTTGCAGCTCTCTCGGACACTAAATTTATGGAAGGAATTTTTGTAAGTGCTCTAATAATTCCATTAACGGAAGATCGAGACTTTATGAATGCCATGATCGAATCAAAGTGGGATTAGTAAAAAACTACTTTACATTTACCAATTTAGTGACTTGGTGCCGTAAGTAAGGAGGGAGGTGAGAAGTTCCACCAAGAAATAAAAGAAGAAGAACACAGATGTCAAGATCTTTTGAGACTTTGTTATTTAATTTCGATTTTTTAACTCGGTTTTTGTTTTTGTACTCATAAAAATAATATTTAAAACAGCCGACATTTTCATTTATTAATTATGTTGATAAAAAACCTTACGTGATAGAGGAAAATGCTCATCAGATTTCAATTTAGGAATTCTGTGTAATAATAATAATAATAATAATAATAATAAAAACAAGATATGCCTATCGATCGACGTTGCCATAATAAAAGAGAGGGAATCCGAAAAGATTATAAAATACAGAGACATTACCAACGAGAATTTTTAAAAAATCATTACCCGCAGACAATTTTCTATACATTGTATTTGTCGATTTGTTTATAGTAATAATTATTACTATTATTATAATCCTCCTACAACACCAGAAGATATGTAAAATAGGATTTATACGGAGGAACATCAAAGAAAGCATTTTTGGAACATTTATTGCGCCATAATCATAATTAATAGGTATTTAATGTTATTTACTTTTTCTGTGAATTAAAAACAAAACTGTTCATTTTCTAATATTAAGAGAGCCCTGTTTGTTAACAATATAACTAATATTATAGCAGTAGTCTTAGACAGAAAGAAGGGTGACTATCGGAAAAGTTAAAAGAAATAGCAAAGTATTTAAAACATGTATATGACATACTTTATAAAAGTTGTAGATTTTTGTAAGATCTTTCAGGTGTTGAAGGAAAATTGGAGTTTCATTTACAAAATTCAATTTTTATTGGCAGCCCTTTTTTGGGCGACCCTATATACTTTGAAATTATTTTAAATTGGGCATCTATATCGTTGGAATCATACGCACGAATAGTACGCTTACCTAATTTTTTCATTTCCCTGTATAAGTAGACGCCGAACTGAGCGGGACTTTTCCTCCTGAAAAACACATCCTTAAAATTGCCCAAAAGCCAGTGGGGTTCGAGCTGTTTTACGCCCCTTTTGGACCAATAAGAATGGGCCGTCCTGATCTTCAGATAGGCCGCGATAATCACAGCCGTTATCAAGTACAGAAATAAAATCATTGTGCTATTAACAAAGAACAACTAAATATGATTTTGTTGACAACTGATGAAGCGGACTTTGCCGTGTGGATCAAAATATATTTAGCCGAATGGGATAATAACAAAACGATTTATTAGGAGGTTATTAAAAAACACGACCCTCGGCACTGACGTCGTTGATGTGGCGACTGCGAAAGAGAGCAACGCAATGTAAAATTAATAGGAAAGAAAGAGTTTTATTCAGAATTCAAGTGTTTTAACGATTACACGATTCTACAAAAGAATTTTTGTTCTTTGTCCTAAAGTTTATTTTATGCGTTTTCAGTTAATTATGGACAAAACCGAAGAGAAAATACCTTCTTTTGATATAAAGTTTGCTTATGTGATGGTTATAATAATAATAATAATACACATCTTTGAATTTTTTTATGAATTTTACTTAACATTTTAATTACATTCGAAAATACTGCGGAAACAAAAAGATTCGAGAATATATAGAATTCTATAAGCCACCAAATAATCTGGCACTGTTTATGTCCCTCCTTTGGCTTCGCCCCCTCAAACAATATATAAGCAGGTACAAAAGGCAACAGGTGAAACGCCGGCAAGTTCGATTCAACAACAACCGACGAGGAGAGATCCAGAAGTTTTGTCAGTAGTATTACCTGTGGAAGTTTCTTTGAAAAAAAAATAATATCAGGTGTTTTGTACAAGCGTCGAAAAACTTAATGTCGTGTATTGTAAAAGTTGTTTAGAAAATAAACAATTTTTAAATAAAGCCGTGAATCAAATAGAATAGATATTTTAGGTTGGTATCTATTGTAGGAATCTGTATCCTTAGCTACAACTCAGTAGTAATAGTTAGTTTTGTTTAGCCTGTGAAACCTAGATGGCGAAAAGAGTTGAATATATGTCGGAAATGTGATGACAGGCCTTAACGTGCCCTGTGGAATATATTTAACAATTTTATTAATAATAGATCGCCCAAGTCCAGGAAAGTGGTGTATTATTCAAGATCCACGAACCTATAGTATCGAAGTTAGAAAAGGTCTATGACATTTGCAATAGCAAGAATCTGGACACAACCAAAAGGCCACGTCAATGACTGCTACTTTTGCATTTTGAATCCAAGTAAAAGACGTAAAGGTAAAACTGCAAAACCAATCTAATACCCCTATCTTGAATCTTCTTCTGCGCCAATAAAAGTAATTTTGATAAGGAGTTGTTACATGCACTAGAACAACCAAAACGCAATCTCATTACTTCAGAAGAATTTAACGACTGATAAGAGATTTAAATTTGCCAAAAAAAGAAAGCAGAGCTTTTAGAATCTCCCTTAAAACAACGGAATTTGCTTGATGATGTAAAAATAGCATAAATGCTATGTTCGAAGAAATTGACATACCCTGTGTTCGAATTATTTATTAACAGTTCTACAAAGCTGCTTTATTACAGAACAGAAATAAATTCCCATCTTTCCAAGTCGGCCACTCAGTACATTTAAAAGAAATTTATGAAATTGCTAAAATCTTGCTTGAATCCGTAAGCGGTATAAAGGGCAGCTGATTGGAGACTAAGATGGCGGGGTTTTTAATGTTAGGGGGTTAATGAAACAACTTGTTAAGAAATTGGATGAAACTTCAGAAGCTTTTGAGTACTTGAAAGTCTTCACCGAAGTTATCTGAAGCAAAGGCTAATGATGAAGTTTTTGTTGGTCTGCAAATTAAGACAGATTTTCGTTGATGAAAAATTTCCAACGCTGCTAAATCGTATTCAAAACGCAAGTTAAAACAGTTTTGAAGCAATAGTTTTTGAATGTACATAAATTTAAACAACATGGGAGACTGTTTTCATCAGTACATTATGGGCTTCGGACAATGTTATCAATACATTTGATTCGTACAATTGCAATGAAAACGGGAGATTATATTTGCGGTTTATTCAGAGAAACTACTTATGAACATAAAAGAAAAGCGTACACTTTTCAATTATTTATTTCGATAATAGAACTTATAAACATATTTATTTGGATGGTTTTATTTTATTTATTATATATTTATTAAATATATAACCTTTTGTCATTTTTTTCCATCTAATAACGACCTAAAATATCGAAATTTTATGTTTCAAAATCAAAGTCAAATTTTGTGTTGACCCCTATAGTTTTTAAATATATTTTCGTTTTTTTTTAAATCTACATTCTTAGAATATGAACAAACCCTGGCCTTTGGCATATTCTGAGAACATCATCAGGAGCAACTAATATTTACAGAACACTCAAATATATCTTTTTCAATATTCTATGCGTATTCTAGGAAAAAGTGTGGATAGTAAGAATTGATGAAATATAGAATATTCTATGCAAAACCATTTGGGGATTCTTAGAATATATACATATTCACATGAACATACATAGAATTTTCTCAGAATATTTAAATATTTTAATATGAGTCACCTATGCGACACACTACTTTGTTCCGAGTATACTTTGTCACACTATTTGGGGCCACCCTGTATTTACTTTTTTTATATAGGCTTTAATCTCTAAATATAAACTTTTCCCAAAGTCCTTTTTTAAGTTCTAGGGAACCAAAAGATCCAAGACTATATGCCAATCCCTCCTTTAGCTCCGCCCCCCGCAAACGATTTTTTAAGATCTTTCCATTTTTTACATTAAAAAAAAAACAGTATCCCTCGTCAAAACTCGACGTGCTTCCTACGATTTCCTCATGGTCAGCATAGTGTTGATCTCCCACACGATGCGCCTCAAATGATCTATCACTTCTTTCAACTGCTTGTTCTTCAGTATCACTTGCTCCATTACTTCTTTGCTCTCCTCGCAGGCCAGCCTGTACGTTTCCGAGTTTTTCTTCTCTTCGTGTTTCGGATCCAGTTCGTCGCGGAACGGAATCAAGCTCTCGATGTGGGTGTACTCCATACCTTGAATCTGGCAGTTTTCGTTACATTTCTCGTATATTAATCGCAGCCTCTTGAACAGGACGCGTATGGTGCGCAACAACTCCTGAACCTTCGCTTTCTTTTCATTACTGGCAGTTGACGATTGCGTCGTACCGCTGGGAGGCTAAAACATGAAACGTCATACACCTAATGACAAAAGAATGTAGTGGGGAGAGGACGGATATGGTGATTTTGTATTATGTTCTAGCAGAAAACAATGAAGGACAGTAAAACCTCTCTAAAGGAGGCCTAAGGAAGGGTATGGGCAATATATAAAAATATGTATGGTGGATTTTTGTTACTTTCACATACTCGTAAATGTACGTTGTAATAAAAAAAAATGAAATATATCATAAATATAACACTATATACAAATCTTCTGGAATCCTCCTAAGCGTCAAAAGATTCGATTTATCAACAAAAGATGCAGCAGGAATCCAAAAGATTTACAAAAAGTATTATGAGGAAGTTTCTTTGAAAAATCATGTTCCATTTTTGTTTGTGTATACTGATTTGAGCGCAGTGTTTTACTGGAGAGAATTAGACTGGTTCGTGTAAGTGTTGTCCTCTCACTAGGTTTGAAAAAATCAATTATAGCAGTTTTTAGTTACGTTCTTGTCTTGCAATTTTGTTAATAGAATTGGCATCTCAGATTGGCTCAATTTATATCATCTTCTATTGATAAGTTAATATCGATGGAGATAAATTCACCTATTGCGGATAAAACTAACAAAATCATCATTTTCCAGATAATGGATATGACTTTCGAAACAGTTTAATTGATGCATCCGTGAATTTTTCCATGCAGCATTTTTAATTATAAATAGCATTTGCAAAATTTTGAAATTGTTTATTTTAGATAACAGGACTTGGGCGGTAGAAAAAAAAGGTTGAATGTTTTTTAAGTTTTTATCAAAATATGGCAGCCGCCCAGCTGACGCACTGAAATTGCTGATATTTAGACACTCTATAATATATTTTGCTATACGGGGTGTTTGACCGTTGATGGTACCTTAGACGTTTACGGCGGTAATGCTCTATTTTTAACGCTGCGAAACTAATGATTTGCTTACCAGATGCAAAAATGATGAAAAGCACATTTTTTTTAATGGGACACCAACATTACCACATATTCTAAGAGCAAATTAAATTCCCTTTAGAATGATGTATCATGTCTCTATACCTAAATCGTTTGATTTCTGGCATAATTCATCTTGTAGGTGGCCATCTTTATTTTGAATTTATTTATTATGCATAGACAATGCGACCACATTACACCCAGAAGACGCGCATGAGAAAATTTTAAAGAATTAAGGAAAACTTTACAAACTATGTTTTGAAATTGAGGGTATTTGCATCATTACAAAAAAGTGTTACTTCAAACGAATAATGAGGAAGTCTTTATTGAACTGTCAAACGGAAAATAAATTATTTAACATAAGACGGATATTTAATGGTAATCTAAAGGACGAATTATGCCAAACTAATGAAGCGTTCATAGAAACTTGCTTTTATTTCAGAAACCAAAAGATCGTTCGACAGAAAATTTAATTTGCTCTTAGAATATGCGATAATATGAAATGTGTTCCATTGAAAAATATGCACTGTTCAGCATTTTTGTGTCTCGTAGTAGTAGTAGTAGTAGTAACTACCAAAACTAACCACATGTTTCATATGTTCAAGCAATTTTGAACTATGGTTATATAATTTGGTGTCCTAAGAACGAAGCGCATATAAATTCATAAACATTTACGGTTGAAAGCTTCTCTAAAAGGTAGTAGAACTTAGATCTGGAAGTAAATAACTAATGATCTACATCACGAGGTTGGATCACTATTTTTATGCAGTGCCTAAAAATCTTGAAAAAATTGAAACGTTTTTTTTTAATCCTCTTTCACCTATATATCGCTTCCTTCATGTGATCACTCATAATGTGTGATATAGAATCGCTCCATATATTATATGGTCAATGAGATAAATAAATAACATAACCTCACACATATTCCCAAAATAGAACATACCTGAATAGCTTTCAGTGTTTGAAACACTTCCTGCGTCCTACTAACAATATCCTGCACCGTCTCTTGTCCCAACCTGCATAAGGATGCCGTATTGAACTCTTTAGATTGCTGTTGTTGAGGCGTATGAGAAGGCGGAGTAGGTGTCACACCTGGGGTCTGGGATTGAGTCATCTCATGATGGTTGAGTCCTGGAGTAAATTCTGAAACTGTGACATGCTAGGAGTGCATATTCAAAGAGAATTATGGTATTTATTAGACGGATAAGAAAATAAGGTTAGGTTTTTTTTAATAATGGTCTATAAACATTTACCCACATTTGAAGCCAATGATTAGGGATATTCCGATACTAGTAAATACGAGCAGGTACTCGATACTTTTGATTCGATACCAAGTATTTATAGCATCGAATCAATCTTGCGATACTTACTCGGTATCGAAACAAATGTACTTGGTATCAACTCGAATCAGCCTCACCATTAAAAAAAAACCGAACGCATCTGATCTATGGGGACGCGGTGTCTCGCCCCAGCCAAGCCGACTTCACGCGACCGAGCACGAGCCAAAAACGAGAAAAACGTCCGCCCTTCATTTTTTTTCATTGTCAACCAACATAAATTGTCAAACATACAAGAGATTGCTTAAGAATAATTTTATTTATTGTAATCATCGGCTTATTATTCCAATGTTATCATGGAGTTTTTTGTTTAAAGTACGTGCTTAACGTGACGCAAACCTTTATTTTTTTCCTTCTTAATTTTGTTTTAATTGTTGTCCTTCCACGTTCATTGTTAGTTTCCTTAAAATAATAAAGTGCATGCAATGCAATAGAGTCAGTGATTCTAAGTTACTCTAATGCAATGAGTAGATAAAGAAATTTTGTTTGAATTTTTTTACATTATTGACTTTTCAATTTTGAATTAGTTATAAATTTAATACTAATTTGATGTGATCAAAGGATCAAAACTTTTGTTTTTCATAATGTCTGTCGGGAGAGAAATCATGAAGTATGAAAAAAAATCAAAATGTTCTTTCGTGAAACTAAAAAAGCATATTTAAAAGCATTTTTATGTTCTAATAATGAAAATATTCAATATAGCGCCCGGAAAAAAAATTTAAAAACTATTTTGCACAAAACTCAGTATTTTTACAAACCTATGGGCCTCTGCTGCATGGGCATTGGTGGGGTTTGGTGGGACACCATTTGGTTTCCTGACATTGGGGTTATAGAACCGCTTATGTTGCCACTGATTGGACTATTCATGCTGTATTGTTGGTTCATCTGACTGAGCATCGCGGAATTACTGTTCAGTGCAGGATTCATAGCCGCATTCAGTTGAGTATTGATGGGGCTCATGGCTCCGTTTAACGGATTATTAATCTGCCCCATTATGGGGGTACCCATCGGGCTGGCCATTTGATTGGGCATGGTGTTTTGCATTCCAGTTCCTCCTAAACTGTTTTGGATTGGCCCGGGACCGAAAGTACCACGCATTCCGCCCTGCCCCGGCATATTCAAGTTTTGCATGAAATGGTGCGGTGGGGCTGCCATATCTTTTTGCTAATAACGGTTTTACATAGACCTCAAATAAAACCCAAACAACAAAATCTACCTCCTCAAACATTTTCAGTGGGCACATTTACTCTGGACACTCGCCCATCACAGGATCAAACTGCTTGTGTAAAAATCCACAAAGCAATTTTTACATGTATTTTTAACAATTAAAAATACAATGCAATTTTTTCCAGAAAAATATGCTTATTGTGGTGGAATTTTCTTTTAAAAAGTAGTTTTTTAAAAGTTGATAAAGTTGTTTTTTTAGTGTTAAAGGGCGAAACTTCTTTTTTATCACGCATATAACTTGTCGGTATAAGTCGACTTGCAGCGCATTACTGTGAGCCTATCTTCACTCGAGTTTTAGGTTAAATATTGAAATACAGTTTTTTAAACAAATTGTTTGTTGGCTTGTTTTATAATAGTTCTTTCTCGATTAAATTTTGCAATACGTAGAATTTGTTACACAAATTCATCTGTAATTCTGTTTATAGCAAGTTCTACAGTTGCTTCCTGACCATTTTTTTCAATTAGATTTTTCCTGATATTTAGTATCCCATGTACCTTTATTTACATCTTTAAAAATCATTTTTCTTTATTTTGACTTTATTTCCATGTGTTATACTGTTTAAATTGATAAGTTCATTAAAACAAACGTCTTGCGCCGATTTACACGCAAAATATTGGCAACAAATAGTCGTGTTATTAAAAAAGGAAGATTTGCAGATTAACTGAACTAGCAAAAATTAGTTGGGTTTTTGTGTTGGGGCACTTTTTTTTGTACTCTATGACAAGTAGATTAAGAAAAGCTAAAAGAAAATTACGTGTTATATAAATGAAAGTTTTTTTTTGTAAGTAAAAAATACAAACAGAATGACAATATATTCTAACAGTATCCACTAATCCTAGCTCAATACCCTCAAAAACCCAATTTCCTCGATTATACGGCGGACAAATATGTATTCCTTTTTACCACTTTTGATGTGCTGTCATAAATCGAATAGTATGAGTGCGTTAGTATCTAACCTAAGCTCGTGTGCTATAAAGTTTTAGGGATATCCATACTTGCAAATCGCGTTCATAGTGTCGTATTGGCGGGCGAAGCATCAAAGTTTTGTGTTTGTGAAATTAATTTTTGCCGTTTTTTATATAAAATTATACTCCATCGCGATCCTATCTATTTATATGAAAAGTTGGTTAGAGGAGTCCATACCCATAACAGGCTAACTTGTAGTCGTGAACTCCTTAGGGTACCTAAGCATCGTACAACCTTATTTCAATGTTTTTTACGTACCAGGCCTCAAAATGTATGTAATAGCGAGGATGTGTCTTAAGAAAAGTCCAGGTCCACTTTTCCTTTAGATAGACATTTTAACTAAACGGTTTGATCAGTAGGTAAAAGCAAGTAAAAGTCAAAGAATAGCATTTTCCATAAAAAAATCACAGCTGCCCACAGGCTTCGCTTGCAATGTACCAATTTCACTCAAAATTATGATGCAGTGGTCAAAAAAACTGAACTATACACACATTTTTTGCACTGATGTGTTGTGCCCATAAAAGTGAGAGGATAACCATTGACCTGTAGTTGATTTTCATTTCGGGCATTTCGCGGCGAATTTTAAGAGAAGATATCTGTCAAATCAAGAACATAGCCTCAAAGGACACGTCAACATTTTTGTTTAGCAATTTGTGCAATTGATGTAAGGATTGTTTCATTTGTTAAAAAGCGGCTTTAATTAAACACGCTGGCCTCGTCGAAAATGCGAAGAGCGCACGCTGGAAATTATTATGAACCGTTACCGCAGAGTTCTAATGAAATCGAAGGCGAAAATGAACGGATGGAACAGGAACTCGCAGAAAAAATCGGAGTGCTCAAATCTTTAAGCATAGATATTGGCAATGAAGTGAAGTATCAAGACAAACTCCTAAGGGACGTCGATGATGATCTGGATCGGACTGGCGGGTTTCTCGGGAAAACGATGAACCGAGTGAAAAAGCTGTCCAGAGGATCTCACAATTATATAGTTTTATATTTGTTTATTTTTTCGTTTGTTGTGTTTTTTATATTGTACCTGGTCCTGAAATTTAGGTAGTTTCTATAAAATTAAATGGTTAACTTCCAATATCTGTATAACCTAATTTATTGTTTTGTAATTGAAAATGCCTTATTAATAAAGTTGTTAGATATATTTTTTTAAATGGAAGGGTGTGCTGTACATTAAAAAAACTCTTAAAATGAAACAATTCTCGAAACAATATAGCGAGATGGGCCAAATTTACCCAACAAATATTAGGCTTTTGAGCTACTGAATTTAACAGGACTTTTCACCCAAGCAATTCATTAATAGTTTAATGAGATGTAATTTAGAAACAACGTTGAACATTTGGAGTTAAGGTAGGTTCCAAGTGTCATCCATGAAACCATCTCGTTAGTTTACCGTCCACAAAATTGTGTTGGTGCAATTTGCACTTCGCAGAAGATCACGTTTTAAATTCGATTACAAAACAATTTTTTATAAATAAAATATATTATACAATAAAATTTAAGTGGCGTCAAATCGATGGACCGCGGATGTTTATCATCTAATTGATACCAGAGTTTAACGCTCACCGCTAAGGATTTTTTCTCTAAAGCTGGTAACGGTTTCTCGTAGAATATTTATCGCCATTTAAATTTTCGTTATAAATAAAATGCACCCTTTTCATTTAAAATGCAAAAGGTTGCCTAACCAATTCGAAACAAATTTCCTGCAATATTAAAAAAATTAAACCAAGAAAAAATTATCAAAGACAGTCGTGTCTTATTCTATGGCCAACTCACAGATTATTCGGACAGTCTTTCCGGTGAATTGTGACTTCCCTTAAGTCAAGTGCCTTATTTAAAAAGGACTGGAGGCCAGGCCAGACCGTTTTGCCCTTTGTAATTTTTGCAGAGCTTTTTATTTGAAGGTAGGTCGAATAAAAATGTTTATTTGATAATTTAATTGCAAAATAATTACAGTCCCAGAAAATGAGTGGGTCATAGTAGACAAAACAAAAGGGTCCCCTGTATTTTTACAAGCTGTCATACGTATTCCAAAACTCGTACTTACTGCTAGAGCTCGGCGGACACGATGCCATTAACCGTATATGCAAGAGAATTGCAAAATTGTAAAGAAATTAGTTTTCTCCTACACACCCACAAGTTCATATATGAGTGGTCACAAAAATTGCATAAAGTGTAGTCAATTAATATCAACAAACATTAAGTAAAGTTTATTCTATCAAAATTAAAAAAACTTTTAAAAACAAAATTCCACCAGAATAATCAATCCAATCTTGCTCGAAAAAACCGCATTGTGTTCACCACAAAAAAAATTGACGGCTAAAAATACATGAAGAGATTCATGTGAAAATTGAATCGGGCCAACCGGGATTACAACTTTAGTTACAATGCTTATTTAAACATTTAAATGCAAAATAGTACAGCGCACGTATTCCAAAAATTCGTTTTTCTAGGCACTAATTACCCAAAATTCCACAAATCACGTATGAGTACATGATGGCCGTTGATCCAAGCAATGTAGTTACCTTCCTTATCCTGTAGTATTAAGCGCACACCCTTTTCTGCGGTTTTAAAAACACTTATCAAGCGTTATAATTTAACGCGAGGTGATTTGTGATTATTGCTGCAATAGTCGCTAGTCGCTGTTGATTGAGTGGTAAGTTTTCACATTTATTTTCAACTAGAATTTACTGCAGCTATCATTTTTTATACAGTTACATTACTACGTCAAATACAAAAGTTGTCCAAAAAACAGTAAGCTATATGCAAGCTATATTTTTATAGATACAGAGTGTTGCAGAAATCATCCACAAATAAAAGATATATATTTTTTATCTAAATCCAAGTTTTTGAGATAAACATAACATAAAGGAAACATTCAAAAATAAAATAATATTCTAGAATATATAATTTATATCTTAGGTGGCTGTGAAGTAGGTCGTCACCAAAAAACAAAATGTTTGTTTATAACTTGCGTGTCAATATTGTAGTGAATTTAATTATAAATAAATAAAAGAATGTTAAAAACGGATACAACAATTTATATTTCATACTTAAATTCACAAATAACGTTTTAATTATTATGCAGCGTGTCCCATATAAGGGAAACCATAGGAGATATAGGGTTGGTTAGATCAGAAAAGTTTTAAAGAATCTTATGAAAAAGTTAAATCTGGCCGCAAGATGATTCCATAGTGAGAAGTTTGAGGAAATATAAAAAGTTGATAGTTCGCTATTTGTATATAAAAGTAAACAACAATTCGAGATTTGCATATTGAATATTCTCATGATAGGGCACAAAAAATGCCTTTAAATGATGTTTCTTAGGCTCACAAAAACAAAATTTGATTTTTTTTATAGCGGGCCATGCTCAACAGACAGAAAAATAAAAATTTTGACAGTACAATTGCTACTATAAACATAGTGGGTGTTGGAAAAATAAATGTTTTTATTGACAGTTTAACTTCCGTTACAATACAAAAGTTAATTAGGTACACTTTCAACTTATTTAAAATTTGGAAAGAAATTTTTCTTTTGAAAGTGAGTTCGACATGTTAAAGTGTTACATTTTGTGAATAATAATCGAGAAATTTAAATTAAAATTAAAATTTAAATAGCTCAATTGAAAGATGGCAGCCAAATAAGATCTTATATGTGCGTGGGAATTTTGGGAACACATCAATTAGATTTGACACATTTTCCTGGCCTGCACGATTGCCACATCCAGCTCCTCCCGACTTTTACTTTTGGAAGTACATCGAAAACTATGCGTACCAACGTAATTTTCGAACATCAATTACGTTAGGTAATTTTAGAAGCATTTCAAACAATTAACCTTAAAATATAAATATTACTATCAACAATGTGTAATTTAAAAAATTTAAATTATTATTTGTTTATTTCGTCCAAAGTGATTGGTAAGTAAATAAATTTTGTTTGAAATTTTTTATGTTATTGATTTTTCAATTTTGAATAGACCTTTAAAAAAGTGGTGATAAATGCATTAAGCGATAAATCGTTTAAAAGCATTTTGTATGCTCTATCTAATAATTAAAATATTCAATATGGTGTCTATAAGAAAATTTCAAAATCACAATGTACCAATTCCAAGGTCACCTGCGCATTATAGACAAAATTACCTCTACACACATAAACTCTTTATGATTTTTCAAATTTTTCAAAAACAATTCATCATAAAATTCTTTTAAATCTTTCTAATTTAACTGAGTTAAACCAATTGGACAGACAGTTTCGTATATTCATAAAAATGAATATGCACCTAGCAACTAGTGAGATTATCGAGTAATTTGTACAGTCATATCACCGAGAATACATTTTGAAAAACGTCCATAGTCGCCGCGAACATGGCGCGAATAACAATGTCTACGAAACGCGAGCAATTATTTCGAGGTTAACCGCAGATCTAGGTATTTGTTAATATTTTTGAGAAAAATGTCTCTCACCACTCCGCACTTCGTATTTTCTGCCAAATCCAAATACAATTTTAAGGGCTGATAAAATTCGTTGTAGATATCACCACCTGAAATTGGAAAAACAAAGAATTTCAATTATAAATGGGACCTAAACTTTAATATTGTTTGTTAAGAAATAACATTTTGGTTTAACTGAAATGAGAAAATACAAACAATAACTTTGGTTGAGTGAAATAAGAAAAAGTACTTTTAATTTTAACTTGAACATTTTTGTTTTAGCATTAACAATATTTTTATTCAGCTGAGTATCTCTTGGTACAAAGTAAAGTTAACATTTTTATAACTATCAAAAAAATTAACTTTTAAATATAAAAAAAAAAACAAAATCAGCGCTGCCCTGAGTAGATTGATTTAGATTGCTTGCATAGTCGCTAGATAATATTTTGCAACATCACAACATATAAAATTTACTTCTAAAAAATTTATTAAATAAGGATCTTTGGGAATGTTTTTCAGATTACATTATTAATGTAGCAAAATATTTATAAATTTACTGTTAAAACGTCAACATTATATTTATAATGTCAATAATAATTAATACTCATTCATGATTGAAATATACAATACATTACAATAATGAAAAACATTAACATGGATAAAACACTAATATCTGCGCAGTTTAACAAATAAAGCCATCCTCACAATACACTATAAATATGTTATTATATGTATTTTTAATTTTAATGATATTTACATTTCACTTTAAAAATGTCCAACTTAATATTTAATATTAATATTTGTCCTTACATAAAACATAATTTAAATAATTTTTTTTACCTAACTGGAATTCTTCGAAAGCTCGATAAACTGCTTGGAAAACGGGCTGCTTTAAGGAATGGAAAAATCCTCTAGAACCGTGCAAAACTGCCACGCCTTTTCTCTCAGCACTTTTGCAAATGCTCGTGTACATGCAATGATCCGGCCTGTAATTATACCTGCAGGAATAAACATACAGTTTATCTGGGTGGTAATGAAAAATAATGTTTATTATGTCTTGGTCTCCCCATGTTATGTGAAGTTTGTATTTCTTATAAATAGGAACCACATATTCTTCCCACTGGAAGGTCCTCATTCGGGTGAGGTTCATGAGCATCACTCCCGAATTCACGCCGAGTTTACCGTAATATGGGTGCTTCGCGAAGCGATTGTACCAACCAACGTTAGGGTCCTCGTGCTCTGGCGCCAGTGCTGCCATTTGGCTCCTATTAAACTTGCCGAAATATGACCAGACGTCCTCGACGGGAGTCAAAAATAACGTGTCCGTATCTACATATAATATCGAATCGATGTTCCTCAAAACAGTGGGTAAAAATAACCTTTGGGCGGCGCAAGGCTTGAATAAACTCTTCCAATCGCTCGCGTTTTTCTTCGGAAAATGTAGCGGTAAGATTTTAAATGAGAAAGAGGCGTTTAAAAATGATTGCCACTCCCTCAACTTTTCCTCGAAACTTTCTATCAACGCGTCCTCCGCCAAAACAATAAAATTTATCTTTTTCCTCGTAAACATCAGCGCCGATTTGAGCATCATCAAAGTCTCGTGCAATCGATCTCCGCAAGCCACCACCGCGACCACGATATCGTTTCCCTTTAATACGATGTCTTCAGAAGGTTTTCCATTCCTCGTTAAATTTTCCGCGAGCGGTAATTCGTTTTGATTGATTTGTTTAATATTGTACAGCAAAAATATTACTAAAATAATGGACAAAATGATGCCTAAATGGAGATACAGATAAAGTCTCATAGTTAGCTATTATTTGTCTACATTATTTTTGTTTATTTAGAGTTATTTGTTGACGTATGGTTGGAAACAATTTCCTCTTCCACAATTTATACTGAGATAATGCAATTGACAAAAGATAAAAAATCGCCCGGGTGATCCAGGGGCTACGGCCAAAAATTGATCAAAACCAATTAAATTAAAGCATTGCGCATGGTGGTTTAATCTCCGTTCGCTCCAGGTAGACTTCGTTGTTTTTTTATTTCGGTCAAAGTCCCTTTTTGCAACCAGAGTGAAAGCGTTGGTAATAGTAGTGCAGGTGTATACGTATTGGTTTATGCCCAATCGAAAAATTCCTCGATGGCCGTCGGTAATGGGCGAATTCCCTGAGCATATATTTTAAAAGCAAAGTGTGTAACTGTGTGTGTAAGCATGTGGTGTAAACTGTGGCTATTAATGGCAGAGGAATGACTGTGGTGAAGGACTGGATATTTCCATTTATTTAAAGAGTTATTCTCATTGTATTTACAGAGATTTTATTTTTATATTTCGAGTAATTTTGACTAGTATTCATATCTTTAGCGTAGCCATAGTGGGGACTTCGCATTGCTTATTTTGACATTGTTTATTACGTTAGTCCTTAAGCTTGCGCACTTGATAAAAAATTACGTTTTTTCTTTATTTCATTCATTATATACTGAAGAAGTCGTTTCTATGGTCGTTAAATATTTCAGTAATTGGTTTGAAGGTAAAGTTTTATTGCGGAACAGTTGATATGCACAAAATTGGAAAGCGAATGCAGTTTGACGACACTTTTATCTCTATTCTCTTAAAATCAATACTGTCTAAACACGGACCATATTCCACATACCATGCTTAAAATAAGATAAAATTAAGATGTCTGGAAATCTAACTTTTAGAGGAATAAATAGTTATTTATGCCGGGCTTAAAACTTAATATATTTTCGTTTTCTATACCTAAATTTTTAGTTGATTTAGTATATGAGAGATTGGCACCCTTGGCACAAAGCAAAACGGACCCCTTTGGAAACATTCAGGGTCGAGTTGTGTTTGTTTGTTAAATCTTAGTTTATTTATTTTCTATTTGATTTATAATCTGTTAACAAGGAATTAGGTTGCATAAGGGTGAAATGCGTAAGAGGTGCCATTAGTCCCGCGTAAGTTAGCTACAAAGTATGTAAAGGAAGAAGAAGCGAACAACTAACCTCGAAAACGATACAAATCTACTAGAGTAAATGGTTCAGGGAAATCCCAATTGTCTCCATGAAGTACGAAGAATTGCGATGGTTTCGACACTGGTATTTGTTTTTTGCGGCCCTGAGGGTTTTTTTGGTAATGGTGCCGCAAACGGGATACATACATCCTGACGAATATTTTCAGTCTCTCGAAGTTTTAATAGGTGAATCAGAAGTTCAGATATGTAGCTTATGCGAAGGCAAATTGTTTCTGTTTAAGGAAAAATTTTTGATGTTGAAAATAACCCTCCCTGGGAGTTCAACGCCACTTTGCCGATTCGGAGTATGGTGATTCCCTACTTTACAATTGGAATGGGTTACATCTTTCTCAGGGACGTAAACAACCTGACGATGAAACATTTATCGTTGAATGTAATCCAGCCCTATTTTCTGCTAGTCGTTCCGCGATTTTTAATGTGCGCCTTATCGTTTGTGGTGGATTATTGCTTGTACAAGATTTGCTTGAACAATAACGAACCGTACAAGGCTAGATTTTTAATTATGAGCAGTTCGTACGTGATTCTCGTTTATGGTTGCAGGACGTTTTCCAATACCTTCGAAATGGTTTTATTCTCAGCATTGTTATATTTCGTAAGCGAAAGTCTAACATTTTCAAATATTTTGTCGCGCAAAAGAGAGTATATCAACTATAGATACGACAAAAGTGAAACCTTGCAGGAAAAGGCCAAGTTCCACAAGTTGAAGCTCTACTTAACTTCCGATTCATACCGGAATTGTTTAATTATAAGCACTGTTACTGTGATCGGCTTTTTCAACAGGCCCACCTTTCTAGCTTTTGCCGTCATGCCCGTTTTCTTCTGGATATATCGCGGTTTCGGGAGCAAATCGACCATATTCATGCAGTTCCACACGAGAATTTTATTTTTTGCCTTGTGCTGTTTGCCCACGTTTATATTCTTCATCCTAGTGGATTCGTTTTATTACGGCTACATCACCTGGGGAGAAATCGGCGTACTAGACGTCTCTATTAATAATTTTGTGGTCACCCCGGTCAATTTTCTGAAATACAACTCAAATAGTCAAAATTTGGCGGAGCACGGGTTACACCCGAGATTTTTACATTTTTTAGTAAATGTCCCCCTGTTATTCAACGTCCTGGGGATCGTCGCACTTTGCAAGATCGCAGAATACGTTTTTTTGTAAGTACCGTTTATTATTTGCTATTTCAATGATGATTTTTGAACTTTGGTTGGAATGCGTTGGAAATGCCATCAAAAATAAGTAGTTTAATAAGGCAACATAGAGAAAAAATAGATTTCTTCTGTCTTCTTCTTCTCCGCTTGTGCCATATAAGGGTATTGGGGTATAAAAATTGATTGATTTTGGATTGTTGGGAAAATATGCTAAAAGAAAAATATTTTGGATCTTAAAATTTGTACATGGACCGCAAAGATCAGTTTCGAGTCAACAAAATTTACCTGAGTTCCCAAAATCTGATAAAAAGATAAAATACTTTTAAATTGTGGAATTTGATTTTCTTGAAAGATTGCGCATTAACTTTTGCAAACATAATAGCGTCTTCTAGGTTATCTAGAAACATAATATTTTGCCAGTCTAAGTTTAATTGTAGTTTTCGTTGATTTTCATTTAATTTCACAATAGTTTTATTATAGTTATTGATTATGCCCTTTGAAAAAGATACTTGTAGTTTTAATTCTTTGGCTAAATTATTTTGGTTTTCCTCAAGTGTATTTATTGCTGCTTTATAATAACTTCCCTCGTCAGCGTCGAGAGTTCCAAATAGCCATTTATTTATTTTACCAACCGCGTTAATTAGGCCTCGTTTTTCCACCGTAATTTGTATTAAATATTCAGTTCTTAAAAGTAAATTTTCGGCAAGTCCATAATAAGAAATATTATTAGTTATATTTTTAACATTAAACTTATCTTTAATTATCCTGAATGCGTTCTCTATGCTTATTAACTTTGCGTTACCTATCTGAATAGGAAGTATAGGATTTACGAGTTTGGTAATTTGTACGTCTGTCGTTACTATTCGTTCGGTTAGAACTGCTACGAGTCAACTTTTTGATCTTCATTGGTTTCCTGAAAGAATAGATTTTTATTAGCCTTTGGCTTCCTTGCACTACTTTTATGATAGCTGGTCTTTGGTGTTATTAATTTATTTTCCCTTTGCTTCTAAATTTTGTTTTAATAAAAGTATATTTTTGATCACTAAAGTCTGGTGGTTCTTCGCGATTTTCGTTTCTTTTTGAAATAATGCCTTCTTCGTTTTTTCATTTAATTCCTTTATTTATTCGTACAATTTACTTCAGTTTTCTTTATGCGATTGAACATAAGAAGAAATTTTTTATTTATTTATTTTTTTAATTAATTTTTATTTAAATAAATAAAATAATAAGAAGAAATTATAGCGTTAACATTTAGATCAAATGAGGATTTAAATGACCTATAATTGCATCCGTGTCTCCTAAGTTGTTAAATATCGAGTTAGTTTCACTAGCGTTCATATCTATTGGATATCGTGGACAAAGCGTCCGTTGCTTGGTTGTTTTTACCATTTTTGTTTTTAATTTCTTACTCATACTCCTCAAGTTTAAGTCTCCATTTAACGAGTCGCGAATTTGACTTTGACATTAGCCACTGTAGGGGTTTATCATCCGTGTAAATAATGAAATTTTGTCTCAGTAAATAAAGTCTATAATATTTACATCTCCAAACAATTGCTAAGAGTTCCTGTTCAGTTGTCGAGTATTTATTTCTACCGGGTTCAGCGTTCTTGATGCGTATCATATTGGGTGTCCGTTCTGGGATAAAATTCCTGAGATGGCATATCTTGATGCGTCGGTTGTTACTTAAAACTTCTTTGTTAAGTCCTTATAGGATAATACTGGCTCAGGAGTAAGAACATTTTTGCACGTGTTGGACTTTGCTTTCACTTACTGGTATTTTCTTTAAATATGTTTCATGGGGATTTATTGTTAGAGTAAAGTTTGCGTCTGGTTGTTTTCTATATTTGAATGGAAATTTGTTGTTAAATCCTATTAGCTTTTTGTTTATTAAGTTTGTTGTTCAGATTCATATTAATTAAATCAGTTAAGCCTATTACTCCGTCAAAAAGTCATGAAACTCAAATAGGTTAAACTCTATTCGATAATCGATCTTAAATTCAGAAAATGCTTGTATGCTAGCTTGAAATCTAGTATTTTGACTTCTACAGCTGTCTTTATTTCATTACTTTTATGATAAATGCAATTTGGAAAATATTTTTCAGCGATGGTTGGACGTAATATCGATCGTGAACTACTCGTGTTTTCATCGCATTCTTGGTTAAACACTTCTTCCGCGGTAAAATTCGGGGGTGGATTGTTGTTAGTAAAATAATTTTGTCTTATCGGTTGTCTTGTAAATGAATTATGTGTTTGTCTTGAGATACCTGACTTTGGTGTCGGTTTAGGAAGTTGGTTGGGTGATATTTGATTGGGTTTGGGCTCCGGGAACTTCCGATTTGTTGGAAATCGTCTTTGAGGTATTTGCCTCGGTTGAATATTTATCGATTGAGATGGAAATTGTGGTTTTTGGAATTGATTTTGATATTTGTTTGGATTTGAAAAATTATTAAAATTGTTTGGCATGAAATTTGAGTTGGGATTTTTTCTAGGCTGAAATCTATTTAAATTCGGCATATTTTGGAATTGTTGAAATGGTTGAAAATGTTGTTTCGTGTTGAATTGCTGAAAATTTGGTGTTTGGAATTGTCTTGCGTTGTTTTGTTGGAAGTTGGGTATTTGGAATTGTTTTGAATTACTTTGTTGAAAATTGGGCATTTGGCAATGGTTTCTTCTAATGAATGTGGTTGTTTTAAATGCACGTTGTTTTTGAGCGTCCCGGTGCGTCCAGCTATGAATGTATTGAGCGCGATTTTGTTGTAATAATTTACATGGAATAGTTTTTCATTTTGATCTAAGTTTTCTGAGTTACTAATCCGCTGTATTACACTACTCTTTAAAAGTTGTAGCCTACCACCGAATTCAACTAAATGTTCGTTTTTGAACGGTCTTGTTCTAGTTAATTCCTGAACTAGACAATCTAAATTTCTCCTATCGGCGAAGCATTGAATAAGAACGTCTTTTATGCTTAACCAATCTGTCAATTCTGATCGGTTTCCTACTATTAACTCTGCTTTCCCGACTAGTTTGTCTGTGATACAATCGAAGATATGGCTATTTAGTTCCGCATCCGCAAAAATGGTGTTGAAAAATCTCGACTTTTTTCTGGTCTCAAAACCCAAGAAACCCAACCGTTGCAGTTTGGCATTCTTTCATTCCGAACGATATTCCAATATCCTTACGTACTCCACCGGTGCAAAACTTTTACTACTTGTTGCTTATTTGGAGCGTACTGTTTTAGGGCGTCCATATCCGGTGCGGTTTAGCTATGTGATAATTTGCAAATCTCATTAAAAAAATCCTCCTTTCATGTTTATCGATTCAGTTTCAATTATTGTCTGATTTACAGTGTATTGCATTCCTTCAAGCTATTTTTCAGGAATTCTATCATGACAGCTGTAAAGAGCTGAGTGAAATGCGTTTTGGTAATCTATATATACGTACGTATTTGCTCTTATTATCGATCATTATTTGCTCTGTGTAGCTCATTTTTTTTGCATATTTTTGTTCCCCGCTGAGGATGTTGTTGGTCTTCAAATATGTATATAGTTTTTCCCATATTGCCTATAAAATTTTGTCCACTTCTGAGAGGCGGATTTCTGGGTTTCAGAGAGCCCTATTAAACTGGCTGGGGATGTGGCTGGTTTTTTGTGCCAGAAATTTTAAATACTATCATTTCGAGGTGTTTTTCACTTGGCTAAGTAGGTTATTATATATCTCGTTCAGTAAATATTATTTCCTATGCAACTGGTGGTTGCTTTGTGTTTCTGCTTCAATAAAGCTTTTTGATGGTTTTCCTTTGTTTTCCGGATTCTTTTTGAGTGATCTATAGAAGTCTGTTTGATTTTAAGAAAAGAGGCTATTTTGAATTTTTCGTTTTTGGAGATGACGGCAAGTTTTTGTTTTACTGTTTATTATTATTATCGTTATTAAAGCCTTTATCCTGTAGTAGTGTATTATTTTAGGTGCTTCAGAAGAAATTTTCAACGACTGCCATCTATTAGAAGTATAAGATGCTTAATGACGGCTTCATTTCTGGCGCCCGTTTCGCTTCTGTCTATATTCCCACATCAGGAGCCGAGGTTTTTGATACCCAGCGTTCTCCCGTTGGTCTACCTTCATGGTAAGACGATTTTACCGGAACCGGACGATGCCTTGGCGAAAATATCCGAAGGAGCACCACCGACTACTCACGTCAAAAAAAGCCGGCAATTTGTACTTTTTCGCCTGTGGATCCTGGTCAATGTACTTTGTACGTTGTTCTTTGGGTTTTTGCACGGAGGCGGTGTGTATTCGGCGGTGTCTTATTTAGAAAAAGATTTAAGACTCGCGCCTATCAGTACAGAATTTCATATTTTAACTAGTCATATTTACCCGTTGCCCGAGTCGTTTTTGCTGCAAAAGGCGAGCAATAAGCTGTACACTTCGGGGAACTTGAAATACGCCGTTAACAAACGCACGTATTTGTACGAAGAAGGATCGAAAGACCTCGACGTTTTGATTGATAAAATTGAAGTTATCAAATCGGCGACGATCAAGCGGGCAGTCAAAAATTTTAGGATTTATTTGTTGATTCCCAGCAGCCTCAGAAATAGCGCGGGTTTCCTTCTTAACGAACGATCGATTCATCACGTGGAACTGGAAAATTTTCAGCCCCATCTGAGCGTCGAAGCTTTTCCCGATCTTTCAAACATATGTACCGAGTTCACGTCGATCTTTTACAAAGAATGCCGTAGTCTGCCGGTGGGGTCTTATTTAATGGAAGTGCTTAAAAGCTTTCAGCTTTTGTTGCTCGAGATCAAATAACTAACGATTGTAAATAAAAACCAAAGAGAGGCGATCCGTTGTTTTGATAAAGGGTAAATAATTCCAATCCGAAAACTGTCAGCTGTCATACGAAAACTGTCAGCTGTCATACGGCGAGATCTTAAAATTTCTTGTTCATAGCCTACGTTAATTTTCTAATGGTGCCGACGAATTAGAACGCAGCAGATAGATCCGAATATTACCCAGGATATTTTCTTTAATTTTGCCTTACTTCTAACTATTAACTTATCTAAATTTTGTGGGTTTTCCCCGAGGAAACTCTCAAAATCCGCACATTCGACTTTAGTGCAACCTTGACACTTTACCCATTCTTCACCTCTGACATCCTCGGGGATGGTAATTCACGGAACATGCAAACTGAATATGTGCTGAAAGATTTTATTCGCGCATATGATAGCCCTTGGGGCATTCTCGAAGACAGCCCTGTATGCTTTGCAAGAAATCCCGAAAGCCATTTCTTCCCAACTCAGTCTTTAGCTTCGTTAAACTTACATAGGTTAAAACATCTTTTTTGGTTATGCCGTCCGTTTAAGAAAAATGGTTCCGTTTACGGAGAAAATGCAATTTTCCTACCTGAGTCTTCAGGATATTCTGGCATTTTAACATACTTCGTGGTTTTTAAATGAATTTTCAAATAAATCGGCGGTGGTGTCTTCATGGTAATCCAGACAAGAATCTTTAATGCTTTTCGCAGACAGAGAAAGTCCATTTGGAATCCAACCATCTTTAGAGCCAGCATGCAAAATAGTTATTCTTTTACCTCTTTTTGATGGCGCGTTTGTTTTACACTTATCAATTGAGTAAACCAACCCTTTTCCGGGGTATCATAAGTGTCGAACCACGTTTCGTTCAAGTAAATAATTGTAATTTTTTCTAGATATTCCAGTCGTCATTTCCAAATTCTAAAAGATTCCATTAAAACTTTCCTTTTGTCATTTTTTTTAAATCTAAGAAAGTTTTTTGGTTTCATTTTTTTTTATGAATAATTTATTATACATTGTATTTGTTGGATTTATAATAAATGTGGCCATATGTTTGTGCTAGTTTCTGTTGTGATTGCTTGACATTAATCCACTGTAAAAGGTGAAGAGGAAACGTTGTTGAATAGAACCTAACCTAACATGAGAGTGTTAATTTAAAATCAATGTATTCATTATTAATAACGTTATTTTAGTTTAATACATCCGCGTGTTCATAAATTCACAAGTTTCATTCGTGTTTTTGGGTGAAAACTAACAAGAACCTCAAAAAATTGCCAAAGCAACTAATCAGGACAAAAAAAGCTTTAAGCCCTACACACAGGAACTAAGCAAGAGCATTCCTAAGTTACAATCGTATTTTTAGTCGTCAGTAGTCAGTAGTCTGTTTTGTTTTGTTTTGTGTAGTCCATTTTAATACCTCAGAATTGCGAAAAGTAGCTCTGCAGATTTTAGCTTCGAACCCCTCAAACAATACATAAGCAGGCATTGAGTAGAAAGCCAGCCAGTTTCAGTTAGTTTGATTCATCAGCAACTGACGCAAGAGGAACCCAAATTAAAACACAAAATAAGCACATCCACGCCTATTCACAAACCTATCAGTTCTCACAAATACCAGTTATGGCATAATTTTCACCCATAGGGTCCTCTTTAATTAATGAATTGAAATTTGCTGTAAGCGATCCGATATTTATGTGACAAACTTTAAAAACACTTGCCGAAAATTCACAAAACAAACCTACTTCTTGGGCCTATCGTTAGTACTATCGGTTCACCAACGTACTAAGTAAAATATTTAGCCTCAGTTTCAAAACCTTTTATAGGAAAAAGTTTTGTGCGTAGATCTTTTCGTTTTAGTCAAGAATCAAAGAGTATTAAGCTATATGGTGGAATGGGAATAAATGTAAAGGAACCTGGTAAAATAAAACCACTTCATAATCATTTAACAGAACAAACTAATCTGTGCCATTTTATTTGATGATGACGTCAGAATTTTCTTCGATCCAATCCAGGAACTTCGAGATATCCGTATAAGCCGAAGGGTTACAAGCCTCGCAAAGCTCGTCGCCGAAGGAGGTGAGTCCTATGAGAATTCCGTCTCTGGTGACGAGCGGCCCTCCCGAATCTCCGTCGCACGTTCCCTTCATTTTGTAACCCGACGTGCAGATGTTTTTGTCCGTGACGTAGTTTATCTGGTCGTTGTAAATGTAACTACAATCTTCTACTGTCATTACGGTCACGTTGACGGCTTTTAGTACTGGCGATAGATACTGAAAATGTTAACAAAACATATTTATTATATATAAGGAGTAATACTTAAAAGATAGACCAACCGGAATCTCTTTCTTGACAATCTTACAATTTTGTTAAGACATTGTTCTTAACATAATCATTATAAAACTCCTTTAGGTTCGTGTTATGATAGATCACCCGATTTTAAGTAGAGGAATGTTTGGTGTCGGTTTCGCCACTTTGAAGTTTCATAAAATGCGCCAAAAATATTACATTAACAGTGATAACAAACCAGAAGTTTGGAGAAGACGCTTTACTAGGGTCGGTTTCATAAAGTTCACTGCTTGAATCTGATTGGGAACCTGTTCTCAAGATATGGAAACTTAAGTAACGTGGTTGGTTAATACTTATAATGTTAATACTTTAAGTAGCTTTCATCTGAGAAAGTGTAAATCTGGTGAGCCACCTGTTCATTGGTTTTCCCCCGAACTAAGAACACAAAGAGACCTACTGACGCAAAAAAAGAACCAGAAAAACACTCTCTTTTTAGAAATAATCGAGACAGGCACTGTGTGGGGGCAACTTTATTACCAGGTCACTTTAATAAGTATTTTAGTGGAATTGCAAATAATATCATAAAAAAATCTTCCAAATTCAACATTGGGCAGCTCTTGTTTTTTGAAGGGTTTGAGGGTACCAGATTGTTCTTTTTCCTACGACCCCTGAAGAAGTTTTCTCAACAATAATGAACTTAAAGAGTTCATCAGCGCTTGATGCATTTGACTTGAATAGCAGAACACTCAAGGATACCGCGAATATTTTGGTGGAACCTTTGACTAGTTTACTGAAGGAATATTCCCAAGTATTTTTAAAATTTCTAAAGTAACGCCAATATTTAAAAACCCTCAGATGGTCGATAATTATCGTCCTGTCTTTATCATTGTTGTTTTCTCTAAAGTTTTTGAAATCCTGGTAAAAGAGCGGCTATATAAAATTGTTGAAGTAAATCAATTACTTGATTCTGCCCAGTTTGGTTTCAGAAGCAAGTTCTCCACAACTAGAGCTTTGATCAGGGTGGCGAAGGACATAGTCGGGGGCCTGGAAAGGGGAGAACACTTAATGATTTCACAGTGCGACTTCTCAAAGGCTTCCGACTTTCTCGATGCACTGGGTATACTTTCACTAAGTCTAGAATGATATCGTGCATTATCTATAATAATTAAAGACGGCCTTTCGAGTTTCAGCAGCAGTTTTTCAAAAATGCGACCCTGTTTTGTAGTGGAAGCTAGCTTAATTATCGGGTAATTAGCGCTATCTCTATCGATTGTACGACACCGGGAAGTAATAGACAAAGGTACTATACATATCAATTGATTGAAAAGAAGCTTTCGTTTCTCAAAGGAAACTACCTGGGTAGATGGGATCGGTACGTCTTCAGTGAGCCCCCAACCAATGGCAACCACAACGTCGTCGGGATTGGTCGCTCTCGTTGTCCTGGAGGGCAGTTGAGCCAATTGAATCGCATCGTTTAGAGAAACGGGACGGGGCAGCTTGATAAGGGCGATGTCGTTATTGTATGACGTCGTATTGTAGGCGGGATTCACTATGATGTCGGTACTGGTAATTGTCACTTGAGTGGCCTCGCTTGCGTTTTTAACGTTATGGGCTCCGAGGATTACATCAACTGTATACATCCTAAAAAATTCACATTTCGTTAACTGTGCGACCGAATCTAGAAAATTATTCAATCAATTAAAATACTACTATTGTGAAACAGAACATAAGGGCGGAAATGTTGTAGTATAGAGCGACGATAAAATCTCGAACAGCATTAACCATCCAAAATTTACTAAACATGAACCAGAGATTTTTAAATCAGAACTTGATCACGCCTTAAAGGATCTGGAAGACAGAAATCTGATCAAGTGATCGCAGGGTCGACATAAAAAAACAAGAGCGATTCACGGTAGAATTTACATTACCCAGATACAATATAGACTTTTCTAGAAACTCACATTCCGCTCTATGGGCAGATTTTTTTCTTAAAAGCATCCAGCGGGATGAAATCTGGACAATTCGAAACCCGTGCGAGTCGTCCAATCCATATTTGAAAAATGCCATTACGATAATTGGTTAATTACTTTAAGGCGATAGCTTCCAGAAATTTCCTGATTTCAATTTGCAAAAAGTTTAGATACTGTTAGTCCACTCAATCTGTTGTTCAAGATGCCACACCAAAATATGGATCGCTTGTCATCCCTGTTTTTTTACCTCTACATTACCTCGAGGATGCTTGGTGCCGCAGAGATGAGTGTTGTGTCTGTTAAATATTCCGGCAGTTGTAAAGGCGGCCTCATCGACCCACAAAATTTTTAAAAAAATATCAGGGTCTTCTTGAAATTATTGAACGGGTAAAATTTTATAGGGGTTATAACCGTAATTTTTAAGGGTTCCAGGACTACAAAAAATAAGTTATTTTTCAACCGTGGTTTTCAATGTGAAGATTTTCTTTCCCTGAAGTTACTTTCGACATATTTGAATGTGCGTCTTGACATGTTGTTATTATTTTTTTAAGATCTACGCACAATTTAATAATTAAATTTTGCAATAAAAGAAGATTGAATTTGCTATTGTAATCCAAAGGAGTTGGACAACCGCTATGTTTTTGAAAACAGGAAAAAAGATCCTTTTTTCTGTGATGTAATATACAGGGCGTCCCATAAAAAATATATAACTATAAGATTTTTCTTATTTTTTTTTGTTCATCTCTCTTCAAATAAAAAAGTTATGAATGGGGAAGAATGCTGGACAATATATTTTACTTTCTATTGTATTCTGTTCTATTCCCTTATAAGCAATATAATACTTACACAACTGCACAGTGTGCGGCTGTGAGCACATAATTGAGTGAAATTAGTGATCCGGCGCAAAAGTATGCTCCGTAGTCTATGGACAGTGCCGCAGCAAAGGGATAAGCGTGTGGTTGCACTTCATATCCACCAATTATACGTCCACCGACCGGATCCACTTTAGGTTTAATGCTGTTAAGGCTCCATTGTTCGGCTTCCTATAATGCACAATAAGCAAACTCTATAAATCGATTTCTGCGCTAAAATAAAAAAAAAACGCGACTTTGTGTGCGTAGCCGACTTGAATTAATATTTCCAACGCTTCTCTGAAAATGTATCATTGACTTTGATCTAAATTTGGTTGAACTGAGGTGGCTTTTACTTGATGAAAATCCATTTAAAAAATAAATAAGAACTAAAAGTTCAGATTTACACGAAATTATATTTATTCACATGACAATTGTTTCGACAACACCGTGTCTCTATCAAATGTAATATTTACAAACTATCTGCTACTATATATACCGAAAAATGACAATAAAACCTTAACGTATGTTGTTATGAGAATTTAAGTTTAACAATCCGTCCATTATAGATAAAATTATAAATAAAAAACAAATCCAGACAACAGTAAACTCTATTTATCCGAAATCTAATACAGAACACGAACAATTTAAAACATTGAAAACATTTGTCATAAAGTGGTTTAAAAATGGCTTTCAGAACTAACAACCCAATAGGAATTTTTTTAAAAAACAATAAAACGAAATATACAAAATGTCAAAAATCAGGTGTCTACAGGTTGAAATGCGAAAGTGGATTTTTAAGTAGTCATCTGCAGCTTTAATGGATATTTCAGTCTGCTAAGTTATGAAAATGCCTGTTTTGACTATAATCTACCTTAAATCAAGGGCGAAAACCAATTTTTTGTCCATTGTTTTTTAGTACATGCACTTCTAAGGTAGATTTGGGTACAATAAGATCTTATCGAAATCGGCAACTATTTGACTCAGAAATGGGGTTTTACATCGATATCTAATGGTTTATAAAGGTTTCCTTTACTCTAATGCCCGAAGACGCCAACTTTGACTAGGATTTGAAACATATCGACAACAAAAAGTAACTGTTTGGATGAAAAAATGATAGTTTGAGCTGATATCTGCAGTTTTGATGCGGCTTTAGGTTCGATAAGTGTCGGAGGAGACGATTTTGACTGGAATCTGTTTGAAAAATGGAAGAAAAACCTACTATTAATCCATCTTGATCTTGTTCTAAAATTTATATTGGACAAACAGGTAGATCCTTCAAGAAACGCATTAACGAACATAAACGAGCGTTTAAAAACAATAGTCTAGATTTTTCAAAGGCTACTGTAATACTTTTTACAAAACTTCTGGATTCCTCCTGCGTTGGTTTTTGCCGAGTCGAACTTGCTGACGTTTTGCCAATCATTCTGTTGGCTGTTGGCTTGACTGAAACTGGCGGTGTAGATGTAGCTGGACTTTTACTTCGCGCGATGACCATCTTGGAAATTTGGAATATCCCGGAATATCTATCGTCTTTTAGTAATAAAATTTTTGAGGCAAGTCTCTACTAGTTTCTGAGACAGAACGCATACCATTCTCATCTGACGACGATGTACTAATTAGATTTTTGTGTAGGATCCGAAACTTATCGGAACAAGGGATATATTATTTGCAACACCAATCCAAAATAGTTCCAAATAATAAAACAGATTATTTTTAATAGGATCACCTTGTATATTTACTTTGTTAAGTCTGATAAGTTGTAAATATTTTCGCTGGCAGATTATTTAGTATTATATGGACGCAGCGCAGACATATTTGGTCACATTTATAATAATGATCGAGTTATATTAAAAGTACTTACATAACACTTACCACAGTATAACACCAATTAATTGCGAGTAACAGTGCGACACCCTGGTACCACCTCATCGTAAAAAAGTAAAACTGATCTCGCTAAGGCATCTACATATCATTTTATCAACTTCCGTCGAATTGAATTGAAAAAGATAATTTCGAGTGTTTTCCATTGAAATTCTGTCGACATCTAATCAAAACCTACCGATCTTTTTGTTTCTTCTTGCAAATTATTTCATCGAATTATGCAAGGTAACTCAGTGCTACATCGCTTTGCTGTGCCTTTCCCTGTATCTATTTTCAACGTTTACCTTCGTGTTTTCGAATACGACACCCTGTATATTGTGATGAACAATCTAACTGAGAGATTATTCTTCTAATTCTAATTCTTTAGTGTCCAGAGTAAAATCAAACGACTTTTTTCACGATTATTACAGAAAATATAGAACTGTAGTAGATAAAACGACGATAATGTTCGTCAACAGTGCGTTGGTAAGATTTTTATCGCGGACAGTGTTGTAAAGTAAATAAATAAACAAAAATTGGCTTTTAGTTTTAGCTCGCGTTAGCAACAAACATTTCAAAACTTATTAAAACAATCTCTATAATCGGTACATTTCTTAGATTTTTCTTCAGGCTAACAACGAAATCCGGGAGGTACGTAGTTCGTGCAATTATCAGCGGCGACATTTCCCTCAATGTCCACTCCCGACCAATTCCAGTCGAAGCATCCATCTTGGGCGCACAGTATTTGAATTGGTACTGCTTCGGGGTTAACGCTTCCGGTCACATTGATCAAGTTCAAATTGTATATCGGAATCGTATTCTCGGGAGGAGCATACTTATCTGGGTAGTTTTGTTGAACGTCGATTCCATAATCAATGATACCTGAGGACACATATACAGTCCATTTGTATTAGTTGAACTGAGGTGGTTTATACTTGATTAAGTGAAAAGTTCAGATTTTCACGAAATTATATATTTTTTTACATGACAATTGTTTCGACAACACCGTGTCTGACAATAAAACCTTAATTAATGTTGTGAGAAGTTAAGTTTTTGTGTAAGTTTCTTATAGAACTGTTTTTAGCAATAGTTAATATCTGAGAGAAGCAGGCAAGTTTCCTACAGCTACTTCTGAACGTCCCGTTCAACAGGAACATGTTATTAAAAATCGGTTTCATTTATTAGTCCAAAAATGCCTAGCACTATTACAGTCATATACCATATACCACCATTTTTCGCGTAACGGAAACAAAATACTAGTGCTTTTGTAATATAAGCGTACGCTGATAAAATAAATAACGATATTCAAAACACACTGACCTCTCATAAATATATTTTTGTATGTGACGTTTCTTAATATTCCCGATTCCCCGGGAATGTGAATTTTGACGTGGATACCATTTTCACCGTCCTCGACTACCGAATCCGCGAACAAAACATTCTCGACCACACCCGAACTCAGCGAAATGCTCAAACCGTGGGAACCATGACAGTACATATCAGATACGGAAATATTGGATCCTAAAACGAAAGTAGGCTTGCTGTTTTGGTTAGTTTTTTTATCTACAAAACTAACTTGGAGTATATTAAAAAAATTGTATATATTGAAGTGCTTGTTTGACATTTAATGAAGTGGAATTAAATTTCTTATTTTAATCCAATAATAGTTTTGGAGATAATTGTATAATTAAAATAATTAAATAATTAAAGAGAATAATAAAAATTGACTTTTAGGGGTAGGGTTTCCATTGCAAGTTTTTGCAGACAACTACCACCAAATCCAATTTTCAGTGAAGGTATGTTTTTTTTTTCAATTTTATTAGATGGTTCCTATCAAAAATTCTGTCAATTTTTTGGTTTAGGTTTCCTAATTTAAATCGATCGAGGCAGAAAATGTGAGATTTACGATACATTTTTGCTTATTTCTTACCTTCGAAAACACATACGCAATCATCCTGGTTAAATATTGTGCCATTTTTTATAACAATATTATTTGATTGGTGGAGATTGAAGCCATCCGTGTTATGTCCGTACTGGTTTGGTGGCGCCACATTCTAAAATAAATATTTGCTTCATATGAATTGAATAGCTTGTCTAAATAGTATATCAAAGCAAGATATCTCTCGTTAATTAATTGTTTTAGAGAAAAGTGTTAAACGTAAATCACCCAATGTAGGTTGGCTATTGTCTATACCATAGTTTTATTATGTCAACAATTTTATAAAGTGGTCATTTATCCTATACTCGTCTTGAAGTTAGTTCAAATCTGAAAATATCAAATTATTAGAGTCACGTGGGGCAAGTGTGCGCAGCGGGTAAGTGTGCGCAGGCTTATTATTTATAAAACCGTTGACAGTAGAGTAGGGGAATCAACTGCCTTCAGTAGTTACCACGACGTTGGACAAAAGAATAGAGTCTTGTCTGGCAAAGTTAGCAAAGTAGTTTTAGTAATATTGGTAAGTAAAAATTTTGGTTATTATTCTTACGATTTTTTCCAATTTAGAATTCAAATACTTTAATTATGCTCGTTTATATATCTAATTTTATCAGCTATACATCAAAACTTGGTACAATGAGGCAAAAATGTGTAATTTTAAACTAAATCTGTAAAGGCGATTAGGGTTAAGTGTACGCATACGGTTGTGGGGTAAGAGTACGCATATTTTAATGCGTACTTTTACCCCGATAGTGAGTTCTTTGTGTATTGACACTCGTTATTTGTTTCGGGTTATACTTATATATTTCTTAAAAAAAAAACTACAATGCCTCGAAATTACAAGCGGAAGGCTCCACACAGGTCCGTTGTTACCCGTGATCAATTTGATGCTGCTAAGCGATTGATTGCCGAAGGTTTAAGTAAAAGAAAAGCAGCTGAACAGGTTGGAATGAAAGAGAGTACTCTCAGGAAGAGATTAAAATCTGATTCAACTGCTCTAAAATTAGGAAGATTTACTTCAACTTTCACAAGTGAGCAAGAAAATGAAATATATAATTATTTAAAAATATGTGATGATCTCTATTATGGTCTTAATATGACAACTCTAAGAACATTGATCTAAGAGTATGCTGAAATAAATCATATTCCTCATCGGTTTAATCAAAAGTCGAAAATGGCTGGACGTGATTGGGTGTATGGATTTTTAAAAAGGCACCCTGACTTGAATTTACAACAACCCACGTCAACTAGCATAGCTAGAGCAAATAAAACTGAAAATTCTAAAAAAACAAAGAAGAATACTACTACCAAAGATAAGGCTGTTAAAGTTAAGGCCAGTCAAGAAAATATTAATGATTTTAAGGAAAATGATGATTACTGTGCATTGTGGTGAAAAATACGTTGATCCACCTACAGAGGATTGGATTAAATGTAGCTTATGTCATAGCTGGTGGCATGAACAGTGCACTCATTATGAAACTGGTGCTTTCATATGTGATATATGTTCTAATAATTAAGATTTTATCATATCCGTTAAAAACGATCTCATTTGAATTTATCTCTATTCAAAACTGTTAACTACTCTAAGCCTTATTCTCGATAAAAATCAAGTTAAACAGTATTTGTCAAAAATTATATATTTAATATATAAATATAAAAAATGCAGTAAAAAATGATAAGTATTGATAAAAAATAATATTTATAACATTGAATATGGTGTAACTATATGTAACAAGTTATGGTTTAAATTATTACAAATGCGCACACTTACCCGCAGTGCTGCGCACGTTTACCCCAATATTGGGGTAAGTGTGCGCAGTGTGTGACTAACATTTATTTTATTTTATTTCTTTAATTACAATTAAGTAAATTGAATTTCATGTTACGTAATTGTTAAATCAATAAATCCTTTAAATAAATACTTTTATTTCAATTTATTTTGTACAATTATTACAATTTTATGACCATAGAAAAAAAAAGTGCACTCTTGCCCCACATGACTCTACTCATTATACTTCTACAGAGACGATTTGAGCATAATTTTAATTCAATAATAATTAAATTTTAATAATATTTGTTTTTTTTATTATTTTATTATATATTTTTTTATTTATTATTACATATTTTTTTTATGTCGGGAGAACTTCCCTTTTAAAACAAAATGCTATTTTTTTTATAACAGACTCGCTCCATTTTACGCCAAAGTTACGCAAAGGATCACTTAAATGTAGTGGATTTTAAGATAAAATTAATAAATACATTTCCTTATCGGATTTTGTTGTAAATACGTTGTGTTGTTACAAAACTTATTACAAATGGCTAGTTCAAGTCCTTGCTACTAGTCCAAATGAACCAGAAATACCAAAAACCACCGAGCAAGTAACAAGTAATGCAAGTTAATAGAACTTATTATTAATTATAAAATATAACCTCCATCTTTGGCAATACAAATAGTATATACGGTTTTAACTTTCGCAATAGTATTTCTACCTCTTCCGAATTTCCATTTTTAACACTATTTAACCTATTTTCTACACAAGTAGAATAGCTATGACAGTTCAGCAGGAATTTCGGCCGTTTTTACATGTAAATTCCCATAAGAAAATTTAAGGTCCATATAAGCGGAAATTGGGCCGCTCTAGGTCATTCGATCCCCTTCTTAGCACCAATCTACCTACCCTCTCCCACACCCCCCGTCCCTCAACCCCCTCCTTCACGTCTGGCAGCCTCGCTAAGTGTTTATTTTAAAAATGCATGAAATATTTTGATCTTTTTCATTATATTTTGCGCATATTTAGAATGAAAATGACCGGAAGTCCTTAATATTTTTAATTTGGTTTTTAATTTTTAACAGCGAACCGACGACCGATTTACAAGTGCCTATTTTGAAAAAGTCTTTATCCATCTAAAACGAATTTATTTAAATATTAAAAGTGCTATTGGATTGAGGGAGGATGGTGGGAGAGTGGGTTGAACTGTCATAGCTATTCTACTTTTAACCTATTTTTTTTATGCATCCCAATATTTTTGATGGTCATTGCTGACCACCCTATATGATACATTTTCGCCATAACTTCTGTGAATCTGTGAAAAAAAAACATATTTTTCCAAAGACCTGTATTGAATGAATTAAGTGCAGTTAAAGTTGGGGATTGTCTTCGATTCCAGACTCACTTTTATACCTCATGTTGAGCTTGTATTTTGTGCTGTATTTTCATTATTTTTCTCATTTTTATGATATGATAACTCAAACAATTGAATATTTCAATTGAATTGAATATTAAAATGGGAAACAAAATATTTGTCTAATTACCTCGTCTCCGGCTCTATTGTCCACGGTGAGGTTAGTGACTGTAACATTGTCGCACCCCCTGCAATATATGCAAGTTTTCGGGCAGTTGAGCACGTAGAGATTATTTATTACGGAATCGGTTACCGAAAAATCTATAAACTTCGGTTTCTCTATCCCACCGTTGCCCTTCCCGTCCCAATAGAGTGGTCCCAAACCGTCCAAGAAGGAACCTTATGGAAACAAACCAAAGACGTTTAAATGACGGTTATTCTCATACTCTGTTTCATAATACGAGAGAGATATAAATCATAATTAGAATGTATAACTTAGTGGTCTTAGGTATAGTCCAACACACGACAAATGGTCATGGCTTTCCTGGTCTACCATGAACGAAAGGTTCTTTATAAAAAATATTCTTACAATCTCAAAACATTTCTAAAATTTAATTGATTTTTTTTTAAATAAAAGCCCGAGCAGACAAATTAATAATATAAAATAATATTTTGGTTAATTAATTCGCCACTGCACTAGTTAAATGGAAGACCTTTTTTTGTGAAACATATATCTATCTAAAACAAAATATCTAGGTTTTTTGTTTTCTACTATGTTCTTCTTCTTTTTACTTTTACAGTTTTAATGAAATAATATAACATTCTAACAAGATAAATAATAAACTATTCTTTAAAAAAATCACTACTACTATTAATAATTTTTAACAAAATTATCTGTTAAAGTTGTTGAAAGTGTCCTTCACCTCGAAGGATACACGCTTCAGCTCTTTTCATCATATTGCCGGGCACTTTTTGAAATTTACTTCCAGTGTTTCTTCTTAAGTCTTTTATTGCAACAATAAAATGAGCAGGCGTGCTGTCACTATAAAAACCGTATAATTATGACCATTTAGATTGCTGACGGGAAAAAGGGTCCAACTAATTAACTAAAATATGGTTATTGTGGAAATTTTTGATTACATTTCTGGAAAAGTTAGCTTCATCTGTAAATAGTATTTCTTGCTCAACAATTTTGTCCAAAAACCATTGACACGCGAAGGGATAATCTCTGGGAAGCAACGCTTGGACTCGTTGAATATGATATGGGTGCAACAGAAATTCTTGCAAAATTTTCCAAACCGAGACGTGCGACATTAATTCCATTTTTTCAATAGAATTTAAAATTGCTTCTTCAATTTCTGGAGTTCTTGGGCCCCTGGATTATTTGCCCCCAAAAAACCTGTTTTACTCAACGTTCTATATACATTTGAAAATGTTCGCGTATCTGGTCTATTAGGAATGAATGGATTAGGAAAAGTGATGTCAAGCAACTGTCAAATAACGGCCTTGACGACAGAATGAATAATTCGTACAGACAGCCTACTGCAGTGATAAGAAATTATTATAAAAATTTCAAAATACGTATATATATATATATATATATATATATATATATATATATATATATATATATATATATATATATATATATATATATATATATATATATATATATATATATATAGATTTATATTTTTTTAAAAAGTTAAGATGTTTGAGACATATGTTCATGTGTGGTGTGAAAGCAAGAAAATGCAAAATAATTGAAGATTAAATTCGAACTTACCACAGCAGCAGAACTAACGATTTATAAGTTGAAAGAAAAATAGATAAAGCTCATTAGGGCGTATCTAGGTTAAAGTTAAAACTTAAAAGTTAAAAGGCAGCTCTCCAAGCAGTTACCAAAGAAAATTGGATCAGTTGTATACAGGTAATAGTAGTTCCAGTTTTGGTTCTGATGATAAATACAAACTAAATGTGGTTTACCTGTATATTTACTCCTGGCAAATTATAGTTTATACGATAGGTATGATATATATTTTTTAATTTTAATTTTTTTTAATTGTTTTTTTTTATTTATTTAACAACAACATATATTGAAGTATAAGTGGAAGCAAGATGAACAATATATTTTATTTTGTCGGGCATTTAATGCCATCACAAATCGTACTGAGTATAGAATTTTTAGCGACATGTTTGCCTTTTGAAAGGAATTTTTTAAATGGTGACGAAATCGTAGTTCCTTAATTAGTTCCAGGTTCCTTGCTGAATCAAAAACCGAAAATTTAGTGAGCTTAACTTTATTTTTATTTCCTAAAATCATTAAATGAGATTTTAATGGGTTCAGCTTTAAACTATGAGCACGAGAAAGTTCAGTAATTGTGCCAAGATCATGGTTCAAAATACCTCTGCACCAGCTGTATTATCAAAATCAAAACAACAATACAATTGAGCAGCGTCCTCACATGCCTGAACATTGCAAAAATTTAAAGATTTTAAAATATCGGATCCAAAATCGAACCCCAGTTTATATCTTTTGATATCGATTTGAAATATAAGATTTAATCAACTTCCACGAATTGGCTAAAAAACCATATAAATTGAGCTTGGAAATCAATAATTTGTATTAGTATTAAGGGCGCCCATTAGTTTCTTCTCAATTGCCTGGACAATTTACTTGATTTCTTTTTAAAGCAAATTGACTTTCTGATTTCATTACAGAGAACTTTTTCAAATATTTTTGAAAGCGCACTTATTATTCTTGAGTCATTAAAACTGGAGGAGGTGTTATTTTGAGCTAAACGTTTTCAAAGTGACATTTTCTAGCTGTCTGGGAAATATTTTTTGTACCACGTCAGTATCGTTGCCCACGGATACGAGCCACTTCGGACGATTCGGGGATTTTCCCGCACGAGTGTGAGAGCAATCGAATGTGTTCAGAGATATTTCCCTCGCTTTGAATTTTCCCACTTAATCATAAAAATTTAATCTCTATATACTTGGAAAATGGAAAATTGATCCGCCAAACGATTTTTTAAATTTTTGGTTTTAAAAACATTTCCTTTATAATGAAAATTTTCAGCACTTTTAATTAAAAAATTGATTAAAAATCAACCGTAATCGATAAATTTATATATATATATATATATATATATATATATATATATATATATATATATATATATATATATATATATATATATATATATATATATATATATATATATATATATATATATATATTCCAGAGTAATTTAGTAAATTGTTATTTTTTAATTTACTATTCATCACTCCATCTTTAGTTAACAAAAGAAAAACCGCTCCGTTACGATTTTCATTTGTTTTTCGCGTATCCTAGTAAAAAATAAAATCATTTTGGAAGTCATTCATAAGTTTATACGCATAGCATGAAATATTGTTAAAAATAAAAGCTGAAGTGTTGTTAAGTTGTGTTTTTTTAGTTAATATATTAGTATTATAATTTTTAATTGTAATAATAATATTTTCTGTAATTTAAAATGGACCGAGTGAATTATGAAATTATGTTATTAAAAAATTAGTTTTAACTATTATTTAAATATAATTATGCTAATTATTACAAACCATTGGAAAATTTTTCACTAGAATACAGGCTCGTTTCATAGAATCAATTTTTTAAAAAATTGGTTTTAAAAAAATAATAAAGATAACTGACCACAAATTTACAATTTAATTATTTAAGCTTGTTTGTTATATTCAGTATGTTTATTATTGTTAATATTGTTAAAAAAAATAAAATTTTATTAATGACAATTATAATAAAATAATATAAATAATAATAAAATTTGTTTTATAATAATATTTTGTATTATTATTTTAAATTTTGTGTAACAAGCAGTGAAATTTTCTTTCGAAATCTTAAACTTGAATGTGTAAAGGATGTGACTGATAAAAAAACATATTTTTTTTTACCAAGAAATAAGTTAAATTTTCATTTATTAACTTAAAAGTTAGTTAACAATACGAACATAAACAAATAATTTGAAGTCGTTAATATATTCTTAAAGTATGGACGCTGAAAATATTATCAATTTATCTATTACGGTTGATTTTTAATCAATTTTTTAATTAAAACTGTTTAAAATTTTCATTATAAAAAAAATGTTGTTAAATTCGAAATTTTAAAAAATCGTTTGAGGGATCGATTCACTTGACCTGATCTTACTCTTTGCGAAAACGTACCCAAAAACTAACGGTCGTAGAAAAAGTATTACCGAACGTGTTGCATAATATACTATTCCTCTATAAAAGAATTAATAATATCAATGACATATTTCTAATGAATATTTAAGATTCGATTAAAAATGGTTTCGAAATATACGCTTTTACAAGTTTGTGAAAAAGACAGAGTGTTTTTTTGGTTTATCTATGATATGAAAATGAATATTGTTTCACTGGCTTACTTAGAGTAACAACCTGCACTCAAGCAAATGGTATTTATTATTAAAAAAAGTGGGTAGGAACAGTTTGTTGAGATGAAAACAGAATTTAAACGGTTATACGCGGTAAAATCTCTGTATCAGCTTGTTGCCGACTGACATTCGCGTCAGGCCTACGATGGTACGTCCAGGTGGGCCTACTATGAGTGTTCGTTACAACATTTTTTTTTTCAAATTTATCCTGTTAAATGGTGCCTGTCGGTGCAAATGTGCACTTTCTGACTCTCTCTCTCTCTCGCATTAAGAGACGAAATACAAGCCACTCACCCGCTTCTCCCGCAACGGTGAGTCCGTTTCCGGTGATTTTCACCAAATATCCTTGCCAGTTTGTGTAACCGAAAGAGGTATTTCCTTTAAAGGTGAGAGTGGAGCCGTTGAGTAAATTTAAAGCTAGGGTTTCGCCGGCAGGAACGAAAAGATTGTCGACGACGATATCCGTGCAGGTCTTCGTGATGCTTTGGACAGATTCGAAATCGTGTAAAACGCAGTCCAGAGCGAGAGCGCGAGGGAAGAATAATATTACACAAAATGAAACCCACGCTCTAAGCAACATCGCTGACGTATTTGCACTTACGAGCTTTGTACAAGAAAACAAAATTTTTTATCGTATATACACAAAACACTCGTTTTCAATAATGATCAGGAGTTGCCTGATTAGATATGGTGTACTATACACGCCGTCTCACGATTAATTGATTAGACCTTTCAGAGAAACTTGACGAAACAACTTGCTCAAATGTTCACTTAGGTTTTTGACTCTGTCTGAGCCAAGAAGAAGCGAGAACATGGATTTTAATCATCGGCTTCACGTTATATTTTCTTATGTTTACACGTTCTTTAGTATTATTGGCACATTGAAAAACTGAAATAAAAAAGACGAACTCTATCACATCCAAAGGAGCAATACGGGGAATCAAGTTTTGTACATCAAATCAAGTGGTGCGTTAGAAGCGATTTTGATATCTTTAATTTTGTTGATTAATTGAAAAGAATTTTTTATTGCAAATTTTGGTTGAAAATCTGTGTGGCCTAATGGACATATCTTGTTTATGTAATTCAACTAAAGAATATAGTTTCGACGGTTGTGGATTATGTTAAACTTCGATGAAATGGAGGAAGACGAGATATTGTTTTTCAAATGCGTATGAATTTAGGACTTCCAAAAGTGGCGCTTCTTTGTAATTGAATTCAAAATAAATATGGTTTTGTAACAAATATTCCTGGATTTGGCAAGGCTGGTGCTTTGCGCAACAGACGGCTGTAGTATCTTGCGTTCTCTACGAAAATAACACGGTTATTGGGTATATCCTTTCAAATATTGTTGTGAAACCAATTTTCGGGAAGTTTGTATTATGGTAATGCGTATTCCTTTATTTGAAGGTGCTTTCGTCTGACGGTTTTGAGATGGATCAACCCATCCTTATGATACAGTGTCATGTGTATAGAACCATGTTTCATCATGTTGAATTATGGATATGTTGTCTAATCTATATCTTTTAATTTCTTGAAGATAATTAAATTTCACTTCGTTTAATCATGTTCTTCAATTCTCCACTATTAATAATATCTCTTATCGACTGATTAAAGTTTCATACACATTTTTGACAACCCGTTTTGCATCAACCGAAACGCAGAGTAAAAACGATTGTTCAATACTGCCACAAATGGTTAACACTGAAGAAATATATCAGAAAAAAAGAAATATACTCGGCCCACTCACGCAAAAATATTTTTTTTGTTAATGGGTTTACCCAATAAAAATAGGTAATAACATCGTTAAAATTTTGTTGGGGAGGGTTCGTCAAAAGTCTACACGGAGAAGATTGAGACGAGCTATCGTTATATCAATTGTAATCTCTTTTTCCTGGTATTCTTTTCTTTGGTAAGTGCAGTATCATCGAGCCTTGCCTCACTTTCAATATTTTTATTTATTAAGCCAAACAAATGGCAACTACCATGTCGACATGAGGGTCGAACTTTAATTTCAAACCATGTCGGGGCATAAACTTTCATAACGTATTTTGCTAGGATAGTTAAATTACGGGATGGATTTTCCGTACCAATGTGTAATCTTAGGATCCTATTTGCGGCTGTTAACCATCTTGAGTGTGCCATTTTACCTGGTTCTCGGTGTATCGTACTTGCAGAGATTACTCCTTTTGAAACTCCGTTACAGATCTCATAAAGATATTGCCGATTTGTACTTAGTTCTTCCATATTAATTTGAGGAAAACTGACATCAATTCTTTCAAACTTTACAACAGGTAGTCTTTCACAACTTTCTAGACTTTTTCCAATTTCACCGCAAAAGCTTTTTAGTCCAGTGGTTTTTCCATCTAAATGCTGCGGCAGATGTCGCAATGGTATGCATTAAACAAATAAACCACTGCAGGGGACGCGCTAACGCAACTTCAAGTTGTCTTATTAATCCGTTTTTAATTCCTGTGTTAACCGCTGTCCCATCGGATCCTATCACTTGCACTTCTGAAATATTTACATTCTTTTTCAAAAATTCTAACAAACTTCTTTTAACATTTTGAGCACTTCCAGAAGATGGAGTTATATGACCGAAGTAGTTGGAACCCGGCTCTGAAACTAAAACGGTATGTTCTTCCGTAATTGTCTTTCTTGAGAGAATATTTCCTTGTCGTACTTGAACTAAGGTTCGATCTTTTCTTCCATCAAAATACACTCCGTAAACGTAGGTTAATTTTTCTTTATCCTTTCTTTTTATATTTTCGCGAGCTTTAGCCTGTTCTCGACAAATTTTGCTTCCATGTATTATTTTAGATGATTCGGATTTTCTTAGTGTTCCCATGTCTGCTAAAGCAGCATTGAATTGCTGCGGCTCTGTCTTAAGCTCCTGTTCGGTCACAAGCCTGTGCCAAAGATGGAAGTGCCATTCTCATTTGTGAAGTGGAAGGTTAATTAGAGATATCATCTTTTTTCAAGTTTTCTGATAAAGTTAGTGTTGTGTGGCAGGCTTTATTGTCTTCTGTGCAAGTCTTTCCTGTCCTCTTGTTACTTTTACTTTTACGCTCCATTCTCTTTTCTGTCATTTTAGTTGCCGTCACATCAATTTTACCGATCACCATTTTTCGTGTTGTTCGCTGGTCAGTTAAAAATGTTCTTTTATCTATGGGTACTTTAATTTTACAACTGCACTTGGAAAAGTCTTTACATTTACACAGTGAAATATGAAATAAATTTTTTTCACTAAAGCTGCCAACTTTTTTTGACATATTCTCTGATTTTATGTAAAATTTGTTGATCGGAAACTACATAAAGAGAACTTTTATCCCATAAAGTTTTTAAATCGTTTATTAACGGCTTACATACATCACCCAAACTCGGTTCCAGTTTGTTTTCATTTAAAACAAAGCCACTCTAAGCGGGTTTGAGGCATATTTTTGTTGCAAAGAAGCATCGCGATAAAATTCACAAAAGGAAAATCACGATAACAAAACACACGTACTGATACATTGTTAGTGCCAAACTGCAGGCAACAGGTAAAGAAGAAGAAATGTTTCGATACGAATCTCGGCGAGTATAAGCGAAGTCTGCGGTTCGTTTGTAGTAGAAATATTGCAGTACGGGCTAAAATGTATTTACATTTAATTTAGAGATAATTAAATAAGCACGCATTTTATGCCAAAAACAAAGTCCGATTTTGTTCAAATTTTGCACAGTTAATTTGTATGACGCTACTATACATATCCTTTAAATTTTTATTTAAAAATATATAACTTTATTTGACCACCCACTATGTAATTGAGCGGCAATTGAAATAGTACACGAAAAATAAAGATCATTTTACCGGAAACAACTTTTGTATTCAAACTTTTTTTAAAAAACTCATACATACATTTCGTGGCGGCTCAGTAAGCGAAAAAAGAAAGATGTTTTCTGCACGTTGCCGATAAAATTTGTACTTTATTGATATGGTCGTCACTTCAATAGCCTATCCTAAGACACAGAAAAAGTAAAGTTTGAAACGTTTAATTTTTTTATAAATACAAATCTTATAATGTACGGGTATGTGGGTTTGTTTCATTCATGAATAAATAAAAACGGACAAGTGCCGTTGTCCCACGCAGATGATCAATTCGTTTTTTTTCTCGTTCGATACGATAAGCAAACAGTCTTTACGTGAGTTTAAAAATCCTGAATCGTTCGTAAAATAAGTACGTTCAAGTACGAACTAATACGAATGGCGAGTTTAAATGTTGACGCTCTGCTTCAACTCCATAAACTGAAAAGGCACGTGCAGGCTACTGTGGTTATGTTCGACGATCAAATGGCCCCTTCTGTGGGAAGCGCCCACGACCAGAACGGTTTCTCCCTTGAGTAACACTGGTCCGTCTCCCGTACTATCCTCGGGATAGGACATTTTCATGATCCTGGTCTGAGGGTAACCTGAAAACCGAGTTATTATTTTTTTTTAAACTGGACAACAATTTTTTTATGGAAAATATATGGATAAAAGCATTTTGAATAATGAAAAAAAAAGTCGTGACAGTTTGAGCCCTTATTATTAACGGGAAGATTTCTACCATTTGCATGTTCAGTTGTTTGCCTTGGTCTCATCATTGTGTCATATTGTTTTCAACAGATCAATTCTTAAACAATTTTTTAAACGTTTTTTAATTGAACACAATTAAATTAGAACCAAAAATGTGCAGATTTTCGCAGTTATTAAATACTCAAAGACAGGTTAACGCTACCACAGAATAAAATTTATTGAATAGTGTAACCGTCACGGACTATGGATAGTCGTGACGCGGACTTTTGATTGTCAAATTTTCATGGACAATTTAGAAAATATGAAACTTCAACATCCTCTGAATAAAGGTTTTTTTTAGTTGTATAGATAACTAACTATAACTAAACACACGGAAACAGTAATAAACATAACTCAAAGTGCCATTACACACAATAAATAGCCTTTTTGAAGTTTTTGAGAAAAAAAAATTATAAACCAAATAGCTTTTCCCAAAGGTTGCGACCCTTCTTTGGTGGATAGGGTTGTAAAACATCTGAATTATATCCTCCATATTAAAACCCGACCCTAAAATTTAGAAAATAAATAAATAACAAATTTGATTTCAAGAGCTTTTTTAATACAAAAAACATCTTAGGAAACTTTTTAAAAAACAACGAAACTAAATTACGAAAAGTTTAAAAATCCTGAGTCCACAAGTTAAAATCTGAATGACGTCCCAAAATTTATATCGGAGATACCAAACGCATTAACGAGCACAAAAGAGTTGATAAAAATAAAAGTTCGGTACTATGGCATTCATTTAAATTCAGAAATGCCCAAGTTTGACGATGATTTGATATTTTACATAATGCATCAAAAGGTAATACTATGACTATGTGTGTTCTCTATTCGTAGTGCTTAATAAGTTGAAGAATAGCGAAAAAAATGTATAAAATATTGTAGGAAAGTTAATTTCCAACAGTGAAATTACATAATTGTTTTTTTTATATTATTAGTGATGGCTTTGACGAAAAACGGAAAAAATAAGGAGTTCATTTTTTCAAGTTTAATCTTGAATAACTCCTACCATAGAGACGGACTAACTTAACTTAACTAGAACTAAATTACAGAATAAATTAGATTTATCAATTTATCATAAACCCTCACTCACGGAAACAGTAATACGCTTTGAAAAATGAAATGCTTAACCCATATACCTTTTCACAAAAGTTACGACCCCTTTTTTGGTAGACAAGATTAAAACAGTTTCAAATAGATCTGAACTCTATTCACCTCATCTTTAACACCATGCTCAAAAATTATAAAACAATGAAATACATCGGAGAACCTAGCAAGAAAGTTTCGAAACATCTGTCTAATTTTGGTTTCAAAATTGCTTTTAAAACTGACAATCATGGCATTTTTTTTTGAAAAACAATGAAACTAAATCAAGAATTTTTATTAGTTTTACCTGTTTTTGTTGTAATCTAATTGTGTTTGTTTGATTTAAATTTTTCATTTTGAAATTTTGTAACTAGCAAGCCACTGGATGTCCAAAAAAGAACAATATTGATTTTTAACGTTCTATGGAAAAGATCTCTTAATATTTTATTATGAAGTTATTTTTTGAAAAGTTATTTACGATTGGACTTGAAGAAAAAATAAAATCTATTTTTCTTACATTTTTCGTCCATTTTTTCCACTCAGTGGATAGAATTCGTGTTCTACGTCATCCAAAATGATTGTATCATCAATACAATCGCTAAAATAATTTTAAAAATAACAATTGCTAATGAGAATTATTTATTTACAATATTTTACAATGGGCGGGAAAAGTTCGAATTCAAAGTTATTTTTTTGAAAAGTTATTTACTATTTTTCATCCATTTTTTTTGACTCAGTGGATAGAATTCGTGTTCTACATCATCGAAAATTATTGCATCATCAACAAAATCCCTAAAATAATTTTAAAAATAATGATTACTAATAAAAAAAAATTATATACAACATTTTACACACCAGCATAATATTAGATTTATGATGAATGTGCAATGAGTGGGGTAATCTAAAAATCAATCAGAACAGTCTAATGGCCGTAGAAATGAATAAAAACAGTCTCTCCACCTGTGTCCAAAGAAACAAGTGGCCAATGTGACGCTTATTTCAAAGTAAAGGTGTACTGAATGTAACCAAGGGTTTAATGGCAATTCAATTAAAATTTAAAATGAACCACAAATCTTAGGACATGAATGACCACGAGACGTTTGCTAACTTTATAAAGTCTAATTTCGGGCTTAAAAATATATCCCAAAATCATGGTAGCTCGCACACCCCGTATAATATACCTAATTTGGTGTTTCCCGTGACCGTATACGATCTGCTGGGAGGAACCGGCGGAGGCCTTTCCAGATCCAGACCGAATAGGTTACAGGTCTGCTGGATGATTTTGGTGTCGCATTTTTCTGCTGGATCCGGAGGAGGAGTTCCGGCAATCGGTTGAGGCCTCGGACGGGGACCGGTTCCGGTTAAATTCCTGGGTGCCGAAGATTTGATAGTTGCTGGTACGTTTAACAGAGGCTCGGGTTTTTCTCGACGCCGTGCGGACCATCTATGTCTGGAAATGGATTTTGTGATAAAACGGTAATGAGCGACTCTCTCCGTAGTTCCTCCCTAGCTCATTTAATAGAAAGATGAGTTTTGGGAATGAAAATAATGTGACAACGGACTTTCTGCAGATAGTTTGCCATAATAATAATAAATAAAAGCAAATAAAATTATCCAGCACACGATAAATGGCCATGCCTGCGAAATATAAACGGATTGCATTTTAATGTTCATAGATATAAGAAAGTGACTATACTGATACGAATTAAAGAAGAAAGACCCGGGCAAGCTTTAAGAATGGTCCGTACTTTGCTTAGAATTTAATTATTTGGGGTTTTGTTAGGAAAGATACTAAACAATATTTATTTATTTATGTATGTATTTATGTTTAAATCTAAAACAAAATTACAAATTATTTTTATTATGTACTTAAATTACTTAAAATTATTCACATAATATATCAGTATCACTATGGTTATCATCGCCTGTTCTAATTATTATTTGTTCTATATTATTCGCAATATGGATATACGATTGTTCTGCTTTTTCTATTTGTTTAACAGAATTTGCCCAACTTTGTGGAGGGATGTTAAAAACTAACACGGGGAAAAACATTGTCACGACGAATGGCAGATTTCGGTTGCTGCCAAACGTCCGGTAAACGGCATTTGACATTTTTGTAAAATAGCACGAATACATTCACTGACATGACCTTCAGAATTGACGAAGGTCAAATCGAAGGGAAATACCTCCAAAATCGGCGGCAAAATCTCGGAATCTGACGTGGCAAAGTGACGCTTCCGCCACGCTAGATCGATATGTAATTGTGTATTTTACAGACGGGAGCAGAAGAATAAAATTATGATATCTCAGAAACGGTGAAAAGTGGCTAGAAAACCTAAAATTTTAAAAATAAAATATTATAAATGGTGTTTAAAATTTGGTGACGCTCTGTCTAACCGGAAGTGACGTGACCTTGAAAATCTTTTTAAATGAAAGAAAACAGAAAATTTTAAGATTCTAAGTCCTTCTTAGCCTCAAACACTCTTAATGAACGGCCAGGGCGAGAACCCCTATATGTATTGATACTGGTAACATACTATACAGCAAACTTACAGGTAGTATACGAAATGCTTTAGATAGTATTTTACATCCTAATTTTACATATTCCAGTATTTTAGCTCACTCATCCACTTACCTGCATTTCCAACCTCTCCATGTCGACTGAATAATGGTGGCAGCTTTATGTCGGGTTGCATTCCTCATCCTTTCCAGCAACTGTCTAATCCCTTCGCTGAGGAAGATGTGCCTCTTTCCCATTGCCCACCTAGTAGACACTGCGCCTCCGACCGTTTTTTTGACCGTCGATTCGACAGCGTGTTGCAGAATGAGGCAACAGTCCTCTATGATCTTCTCCTCGCACCTTTGAAGCTTAGTGCTAGGCACGAGCAGCCGGTACCGTGAACTGAATGCTTTGAAACGCATCCGATGTGGATAACCTTGAATATATTTTCGGTTGGTTCGTCTTATTTATTTTATTTTGATCACACGATAATAGGAAACTAAATATTCAGCTGGAACCACAACTTCCAGGACTGATCTCTTAGCAAAAAAAACGAAAAATGGGTCGATTATACAATTATTAAAAAACGTGAAGGTCGTGCTTCAATGACTATCAAAGCTACAGTTAGAACAATGCAAGTAAATGAAAAAAAAATGAAAAACGTAGTTTGTCTGACATTATCGAAGTTGATATTGCGAAGCTCATTTATAATCTTAAAGAACGTAACTGAGAAGTGTACTCTTCTCCACTGACACCACCCAATCAATCAATTTAATTAATCTTATATTCTTATTCTTTAAAGCTGTGGTAAAGTATATTTGGTAATGGAATGCTTATATCTCTAATGTGGAAGTTATTTGAGAGAAGAGCAGATGTTAGGTGTTTCAATTCACGGTGCAATGATTCGAGTTGAGTTTTACGGCTCTGAGCCGGCTGATAATGGTATAAGAATGGAAGATTATTATGGCAAAACGTATGTTAATTAAGATGAGAAGATTTTCGGGAAGGAGTTTCAGGCTGGTGCATTCCACCAGATTTTTCAAAGTTCTTAATTTTGCCAGCACAAAAACATTTCATTAGTTTCCAGTTAGTAGCTTAGTGCGAATGGGGACAATAGGTCTTCGGGGTTCGCAATTTGAGGTAACCTAAAGCGACGCTTGACCGCATTTTTTGCTTCTCAAATCACGCAGTTCTGTGGAAACCTTATCCAAGGAACCGCCATTTGATAGTCCGAAAAAAGGACGAGTAAATTCCTACTATTCTATTCTATTGCATGTAGAAAATTGTGTGAATAATTTCGTCACTAACCTCCTGCCATAAGGTTTACCGTCTCGAGCACTTGCAAAGACCGGATCTGTCTGACCACGATTCCTTTGTCAAACTTGTTGGATGTTTCTTGATTGTTGCTGCATATGCATCTGACAAAGTGAGGCCTCGCGTGTACGAGGGTGCGCAGAAGGTTGTCCAAACGGGTATGGAAGTCTTGAGTGAGCGTTGACACCGGCTCGTCGCCGTTGAGGAGATCCGTGTGTGACGTCGGCGATATCCTACAAAGTCAGACTACTATGTCCTGTTTCTTTTGATTCCAGGTTTCTGAGAAACGAGTCAGGATTTTTGACATAAGTCAAAATTTATGGCTTATGTCCGAATTGCTGCGAGACATGTCAGAATTTCTGAGCAATATGTCAGACATAAGTCTCTCGTAACGGATATGGCGAATCGAAATATCAGATAAATATGGTAATTCCTCAAGAATCAAAACATTAAGCTCAACATACAAATGTCGAAGAATGTAGACGAAAAGGTACGGGCAACAATAAAAAACTAATATTTAATAATAATAGTTATAAAAAAATTGAAAGGCGTAATACTAATAAACAGTACACAGTAGAGTAATAAACAACTTTAGACACGCAGACGACATTTGGAGACTTGCAGGAACTTCTAAACTGCATAGCACACAAGAGATGGGACTCAAGCTAAACATTAAGAAGACCAAGTGGCTGCTGGTAAGCAAGCAGAAGTATAAAACGGGCCAACTAGAACACGTACTCTTCAGTGTGCTCATGTATGACATCATGTGCAGAAAACTTGAAGCTTTCCAAATGTAGGCCTATGGCTTGACAAAGTCAGAAACATAGAAGTTTAAGACCGAGTTAACAAAACAAAATCATACACACCGTCAAAAAATACACCATGAGTACTAAGAAGAAGAAGGACGCTAATTCGCCTTCCGCCATATTATTCGCAGGGTTTCTAGCAAGGCATAGCACCACCTTGAAAATGAGGGACGTTGAAGACAGTGGGTTGTAAAAATTGGGGAAGAACATCTGATTGAAAAAGAAGAAAGATAGTGGGAAGCTGATAACTTGCAAGAAAACACTGTAAAACCTCTTATTATTTTATCTGACTACATTTTCAAATGAATGTCTATCGTAGCTAGAAGTTTTTAAAAAGATAATAATATTTAACATCTAAATATTTTTTTCATCGTCTTTTTAAAAATTCCTGTTTTATGAGAACAGGAAAGATCATTATATGAGTTTAAGGGCAACAAAATTACCTAAACCTGACTCCTCTGGGTACCGTTTCCATCGAATAGAGCGCTTTGAGCTCGCTCCCAAAGAGGTGCGTGGCAAACCCGAAGTTGCAATTATGTTTATAGAAGACCGCCACCAAATCGTCTGGAACGACGTCCTTATTCGTGTCCAGAAAATCGGTGGCATCATAAATCACCCGTCCCGCGAAATGCTGGATTCCGAATAGTCTGGGATCTATCGGCTTCGGTTCGAAAAGCCTCTTGTTGCTCTTGTGCTGAACCTACGATAAATCGTAATGTCGCTCTCGAAAACTACGCGAAAGCAGTCGACTTACTTTAATTTTAGAAATATACGATTCGGCTGTACCGCGTATAGAGCATTCCACGTCGAGCATGCTCAATAAACCGGTCCTGAGTGACGAGACCAGGTCGATGCAGGGAACGTTGTCCACGTAATCAACGTCGACGTCAAAGTTGATGCCTTCGTCCCTGTGAATCAGGATGAAACACAATTAAAACGATTTTATTCAACAATCGATAATGACGCCAGAATTTTTTTTTGGTAATATTTGAATAATATCAGCAGTTGAAAAACATAAGAGCACACCAGATATTATTCGAGTAAACCACGTAAGCATGATGAGAATGATAATATTCGGCAAAGTGTTGTTTCTGTTTTTAAAGATATGAAACTAAATTAGAAATCAATATACAGGGTTCACGGCCAAAATTTTTCTTAAGTAGGCAGTTACACAAGCTGGATAATCCGATTTTACAGAATTGGCAGCAGCCAGGTCAGACCGAGGTTGTAAACCATGGTATCAGTAATAACACCACCATTACCTTACGCTGTCTTGCAATAGTAGCTGAGAAATACAATTTCAGAGCCGCTTTGAGTAGCTGCCTCGATGGAAAAACAGACAGACGCAGGAGCTTGCATATACGGTAGTTCTCGAGATCTCCCTAGTTCATTCCAAGCAAAGATTGATGCGATATTGTTGTGTGCTCACGAGAACATCAACAGAAGCTAACACTAATTTGCGTCGAGTACGCAATATATATTGAGATCATGTCTGGCTTTAGTTGTGAGACCTAGTTCGATTACTCAAGTCAATTGCTTCCCTATCTTTTTTGCACCTTATTTTTAGTAACACAAGAATTCGTATGTGGGACATAATGTCCTTACCTGCAAGATTCTATGCTAGATTTAAAGATGTGAGTGTTGTAGAAATGCTGCATGGTCTCCGCGCACAAATTGATGCACAAATGCTCCAACTGACCGGGTTTAGGGTCCTCGAACCCGAACATGTCCAGGATACCAATGAAGCCGTCCGTGGTCGCGTGTCGCACAGCATTGTTTAGAGCTGCCATGGATTTGCTCCCGGCCGAATTGCTGCCTCCTATGGTCGAGGTATGTTGACTTGTTACCTAGAAGATTTAAAACAGATGCGAAAATTATTACTATATCAAGTCTTTTTTCGAGGCAAAAAAACTATAGGCGGTGATTTCCAAGAAACGGCTTTAATTTATTTCATCCCATGTGGAAATTGCGAGATTACATACGTTTAATCTCCCAAAAGCTTGGCAAACATGTAAACCAACATAACAACGATTGTAATATTATGAACATAGATAAATTGGAAAGAAGTACACGTTATTCCCATCATTTTTTTTTTTGCCCAATTTCAAATTCTTTTCCCCATGAATTATACATACAGAAGGACTAATTTAAAATAGCCATGCAAAACATTATTATAAAACAAATTTTATTATTGTTTATGTTATTTTGTTATAATTATTATTAATAAAATTTTATTTTTTTTAACAATATTAACAATCATAACATACTGAATAGAAAAAACAAGTTTAAATAATTAAATTTGTCGTCAGTTATTTTTATTTATTTATTTTTCTAACTTATTTTTGTTTAAATAAATACTTTTAGATCCTTTGAAATGAGCCTACATTCTAGTGATAAATTTTCTAATGGTTTGTAATAATGAAATTGGCGAGTATTTTTTAATGTAGTTAAGCGTTCGACTCGTGGTTGGTATTTTTTTTTTAAAGAACTTTGGGCCCACTGATAATAGAAAAGTTGGGTTGTTATGTGGTTGTTTTTATCATCAACACCAAAATCATTTTTATGATTAACTAGATTGGCAAAATTATATTTATATAATAATTAAAACTAATTTTTTAATCACATAATTCTGATTTTTTTTATTTAACGGATTTTTTCTATTTAACGGTTTTGAATCACAGAAAATATTATTATTACAATTAAAAATTATAATACTAAAATATTAACTAAAAAAACCAACTGAACAACAAGTTAAGGTTTTCAAACGAAGGATCTCGTTTTTAAAAAACACTTTTTTATTTTGCAAACAGAACTACGAGGTTTTCTTTAACCTGCTACAAGGAGAACTGGACGCAAAGCACAGAGTTGTTATATATATAAAGTTTTTATGCAAGCGTCGCGTCGCAGATACCGGATATACTGAAGCTAGCATTTCATCAGCATTTTCTATCACATAATTCCTCCCTCCGAAGTGGAAAACAACAGGGACGAAGGGTTGTTTTCGGAAGACTGGTCGTTCTTGGTTTTCTTGGAATCTTGCAGCAAATGGCTCTTGTAGATTTTCCATGCTATAACTATTAACAAGATTAAAATAAACATCATTCCTGTTGAAGTGGCGAGACTCCAAGTGACTGGATGAATTTCATAACCAATGTCGGGGATCGATGATTTCGCAGCTTCTCGTAGTTTTTTGATCGTATTGAGATCAATCGATTGTAGTTGGAGTGGCTGGTACTTCACATCGTGATGTTCCATATTTTCAATTTTAATGGGTGGCAGTGAGAATGGGTTTGCTTTAAAAATTTCTTCTTTATTCCAAAGCTCGGTATTTTGGGTACTTATACCACAATTATATGGAACATTGATTAGGCAGGCTTCTTCAATAAAAGCTATTTCTTTGTTTTGACAATTCATTTGTAATTTAAGTTTCTGTTCCGATGGTATTATCAAAACAAATCTACTAGTGATTGGTCGTATTATATGCGTTGAAACATTTACATTGACTACGTGGCAATTTTTGTTTTCGGCATATTTAATGAGGGTTGTCACACAATCACCGATGGGCTGGGTAAGTTGATTTTCGCAAACGTAGGTGTCTTCAATGATTGGGCAGATTGATTCTTGATATTGTTGCATGTCAGTGCCCAATATTAGGTAGGGTGAATTAGGTATAATTAAGGAGTGATTCACAGGTACTGGGAACAGGTGGAATATTTCAAAAATATCTTTAAGAAAAATCGGAATATGGACGGCAAAAATTATTTTATCTTTTGTAAATTTAACTTGTAAGTTTGCTAACTGATAATAATTATTTTGATTTTCAAAAATTAGAATTTGATTATCACCATAGAGAACAGTCAATTTAAAAATTATTTGTTCTAATTCGGCCGCCGATATTACTACAGGATGTAATGTATTTAATTTCGCAAATGTAATGGCATTTTCTAAATTATCCAAAAAAGTTATAAAACTTTGGCAATTTAGAATAATTTGCATTAGTGTATTTTGAGCTTTAATGAAAGTAGTTATGTCAGTAATAGTTTTATTTGAATTATATTCAAAAATGTCTATATGTTTTTTAATAGCTTCTTGATTTTTCTGTAGAAGTGTTATAGTATCATTATAGTTGTCAATCAGCTGTTGAATCAACGAGGTTTGCTTTTTTAGTTGGATGTCAGATGAATGTTTACTACGCACAAGTTCTGTGATAATTTTATCGTATTTTTGTCCATCCTCTGAATCGAGAGTGCCAAAAAGCCATTTCGATAATTTACCTACAACATTTATTAAACCTCTTTTTGTACGGTTATTAGGTTTTATGTTACCAAGTTTAAATTTTACTTGAGTAATTAAATATCGAACATTATTAAGTAAATTATTTCCATTAATATAGTGTACATTCTGAAAATTATGTTTATTTGTATAGTTTAATGATTTTGAGATTACAGCGTAAGCGTATTCTAAATTACGTAATTGATTAAAAAGTTGAGATGTTTCTACAAAATGCAAAAATGTATGTTGATGTTGAATTATTCGAGCATTTCCTAAGCGGAAGGGGAGAAGTGGTGTTTTAATTGGGATAACTTCAATATCATTATTCGCTATCACTAATAACAGCGTAGCTGCAAGAAGGAACAGCGTTGTCCGGTTCATTAACCTGCGAAGAAGAAAAAGCTTTAGGTTTTTGGATCTGAGATTTATGAATTATTTTTTTATTTTTTGTAATAATTTTATTCCCAATATCTTGATCTATAATAACAGGTTTTCTTCGGGGTTTGTCCTTACTACGTTTTGCTGTTTTGTCAGTAACGTAAACCTTTGTATTTTGTTTCATTTCAGGTGGATTTTCTCGTTTTTCGTTTTGTTTTTCATTTAAACGTATTTTTGTTTCTAACGATGTTTCGTAAATTTGTTGATAGATAGTTTTTAGTCTTTCACGTCTATCTGTGATATAATTATTTACAATGATTTCATCCGTTAAATCAAAGGGATCTAAACCGTTTACTTTTCCATTAATAACGTCAAAAGGTTTTTGTTTTGTTACGCTATGCATTGATGAATTATAACCTATAATGGCGTATTTTATTAAATTTTTAGGGGCTTCTTTAGGTTCTTTTAATTTTAGTACCCTATATAATTCAACAAGAGTAGAGTGAAATCTCTCTATTGGACTATTACTATTAGAATTGCCGGGAGTTGTAAAATGAATTGCAATTTTATGCAATTTACAGAAATCTAAAAGCAAAGACGTTTTAAATTCCGTACCATTATCACACGTTATTTGTTGAGGTAGGCCGTGATGACTTATAAAGGTCGCTAAACCGTCTAAGATAGCAATTGCTGTGCAAGCGGGTTCTAACGGATAAGCTTGGGCGTACCGTGAAAATACGTCTATAATTGTAAGAAATTTTACGTTACATATTTGAAAAGTATCCATATGGATGGATTCTAATGGTTCAGAAGGGGTCGGTGTCAACATAAACTTTAATTTTGGTGGATGTCGATCATATTTTGTTTGTTGGCACGTGTCACAATTATTAATATATTCAGTTAGATCAGTTTTCATATTTGGCCAATAATAGAGCCTTTTTAATGCTATTAGGCTTTCATTAATTCCTCGATGACAGGTTTTTTCATGATGATATGCAATTAGGTCTTTTTGTTTTGTCCTGTCAGTGACGTCAGTTAAAAGAGTTTTCGATATTACCAATTTATAAGCACGGTTTTTAAATGTATTTGGTAACAAAACAGATAGTTCTCGATTTAAATCTATTTCGGTGTTTTGTACATAAAGGCAGTACATTTTTGTTGGATCCAAATAATCTAAAAAGAATTTAATTATTTCATTTTGATAGTTTTGACTTAAATAAACAGAAAATCTAGATTTATTTTGGAATGGGTAACTCCTAATCACGTGATAACGACCGTTTGTTTTTTGGTTAAATATTATTTGATTAGAGTAAGTATTTAAAATATTTTCGGTAATTGGTATATTTAATATTGGATCTTCAGCTGCTGAGTGTACTGTCTTACCAGTATTAGGAATATTTGGCGGTTTAATTTGAATGTCCGAGATGATATTAATTTTTGGAGTGTTTACATTTTCTAGAGGGTTAAACACGTCTTCAATTTGTTCCAATTGTTCAAGGCTTATATTTTGATCTTCTTCATGTATGTATTTATCGATATCTTCATTAATATCTCCAGGATTTCCGAAAAGTGACTCTTTATCTATCATATTTAGTTCAAAATTTTCTTTATGAAAGTCCGGAAAAGATAAAACAATTAGAGGTTGTGGGAAATTTAACGTTATATTTTTCTCAGTGTAATTAAAAACTTCTGTTTGCGCAAAACCGTTTTTTGCAGTAGTAAGTGTTTCTGGAAAATAGAGACCTTCAATGACTTGCTCGGGAATAATAACATCATTGTTTTGTGTTACTGGAATTCTTACGTTAACAATTTCGTGTGCATTCACAGTAATACAATATACTTCGTTTTGTGGTTGTCTAAATAAAATTGGTATATTAGTTGTATTATTCCTTAATTGTTTATTAACAAGATCGATAGAAAAATTAAAACGTTTTAGGTCGTTTAATCCTATTATACCGTCAAAGAATTTATGAAAGTCAAAAAGGATAAAAGATAGGTTGGTATTAGCCTTTAATTCTGGGAAAGCCGTAATATCTGCTTTAAATAGAGTTTCCTTTTCACCAGTTCCTGTTTTAATAATAGTTGGGGAATGATATATTTTTTCACAATAAAATTTTTCTGCAATGGAAGGTCGAAGAATCGAGTGAAAACAACCAGTATCAATTAAAAGTTTAATTGCGGGTTCTTTAATCTGGAT